TAGTCAAGGCATTTCGGGGCATGCAAAAAGGAATGCCTTCAAATGCCGCCTAAGCTAGACACCCGGCAGACAACTCACACACTTTTACTTCCTGTTTGTAAAGCAAATGATCCGGGGATCACGTGCAGAGATTATTTCCTACTACCAGGCGTCGGGTGCGTGCTGGTGAGATGGCACCAGAAGCAGAGTAGGGCGGGCCGTGATCTTGCGGCATTTCTGTGAGTCTGCGAGTATTTTCAAAGTAAAAGCCATCTAGTGCTTCACAGATTGACGCTTACAATTTTTGCTGTCTTGTTTTGGAAAACAATGACCGAGGTCAAAACCTCAGTGACCTCATATCTGGTTACGGCCATGGCGTTAGTGGACACAGGCTCTTTATCACACCTTTGAGTGGTGACAGGTCGACAGTATGTTAGTGTAACATGTGTGGGGCTATTATTTAATCTGAAAACAGATTTTGTTTAAAGGATCTTCTTCTGCCTTTCAGGGGATTATGGGTAGACCTGGACCCAAGGGACAACTAGGAGGAAAAGGAGACAAAGTAAGGAGTTCTAACCACTTCAGCAACTTTTCTGTATAGTGTAGTAAGTGCATGCCTTGCTTTACCTACAGTATGCAGAGGTTAAATGTGCACTCTGACTTACTTACACCTCTATCTTTGTGAATTTGCATGCAGATATGTTTAGTTGAATACATTGGATTAAAGTCTGTAAAACATATGTGTTTTCCATGGTAGTATAAATGATCTGTACATTTTTCTAAATAAATATAATTTGATCATAAATTCTTTAGATAGATTTGTTCATTCATAAAACTAAAGATATACTGAGAGAGAGTTATAAAAAGGCTCCATATCCTTGGATTGCATTAGCATTGCACTGATCATTTTCACAGGCATATTTTAATTTTTTTTTTGTGTTTGGCAGGGAAATGACGGACCTCCGGGCAGACCAGGGCTTCCAGGCCCTCCGGTAAGGTTATCCCGCCTCAACAAAAGTCAGACGTTGACGTGAAAAGTCTCAGAACCTTTGTTCGGGTCGGCGATTGTGATGCTCTACATGTTCACTTTTAACAACTTTAACAACTTTTTCTTCTGTTTGAGAAACTGACTCACATTAATACTGTACTCATTCAAATGTTTCCTTTTTATATTTCACTCCATGTACTTAAACAGAACATAAAAGGGGAGAACAAGGACTGAGACTTATTTGAACAAGTAACTCATGTTTTAGAGCGTGAGTACACCTTGTTCACAAGGCAGCATTTTCTCATACGTCATAAATCAGAGTCAGAGCCTCAACCGCTGTGATGTCACTGATGAGTCCCCGGTGGAAATTACAAATAAACTTATCAGAAAATAATCTTTACACAACTTTTAATTAAGAAACAACTAAAAGACGATACATTCAGTGAAGATTCAGAAGTAAATGAGGCTTTTGTTTGGTGGTAAAAAACTAAAATGGTGATCCAGATTTGCTCATGTTAGCATTAAATCAACTCCTTGCAGGAGTGGGGGATTTTCCGTTCATCTTTGGCCGTGCTCGTGACCACCTTCCTTCGGCCACTTTTATCCAGTTTTAACCGGTTCTCCTGACCAGGTGGTTTCTTGGTAAACCCCTCCTCCTAGTGACTCACTCTCCTTAGCTCCGCCTACACTGTCCCGTCTTCAGGAAAGTTCAACAAAAACACTGTGAAGGACTTCTTTTTTTTTTCATGCTTTTATCAGCACTATCCAAAGATGTTTGTTTATTTCCTCCATGATCCGGTTTTGCACGGATCGTCGCTGCACTTAGATTTCGCTCAGCCTTTACAGTATTTATAGTAACAAGAGAAACACAACTGACAAACAAGTACAAATGTGATGAAATTGTGGCGAGCTGGCATTGAATCATGTCCCCCCTCTCCTTTAAAAAGGCCAGTGAGTAAGCACTTCCAAAGGCAAATCTATAATTCATCAGCCGTTCCCTTGAACCTGCCGTGCCCCCCCCCCCCACACACACACACACACACACACACACACACACACACACACACCCTGGTCTCATAAACTGCAGTCTGGGAGGACAGGGGATGGCTCAGTGGCCTGAAAAGGGCACAAGCGTCCGCTTGCTTCTAAATGAGAACCTTGACTCCCTTTACATCTACAATAGCTGCTCTGTACCAACCTGTCATGGGAAAAAAACATTCTCTTATGGTTTGATGCTCCCAAAGAAGACCAGATTACCTAGTTCTCATACCCCAATCTCTTTAATCAGCGCGCTCTTTTGTATTTCTGAGATGCTCTCGTTTTTTGAGTTATCGCTGCCGCAAGGATTATGAAGTCTACTGTTCTCTGTTTTTCCTCCCTCTCTCTCTCTCTCTCTGTCTTTGTGTAATCACTAAATGAGCTATTGATCCCTCTCATGTAGCTTTTAAAGGCTTAACAGTGTATAACTGCTGCGGCCGACCTACTGTACAGTTTTCTCTAAGACTCCTGCTGGTGCTTTAAAACTCACAAGAAGATGTGAGGAGAGTCTGATTTACTGTTCATTGTGTTTTTTTTAAGGGTGTTCCCTATGTGGAAGGCAATGGGATGAGCAGTCTTTACAAGCTGCAGGTAAGGACTTTTAAACCTCGCTGATAAAGTCACTGTGATGAATTGAATGCATTGTTCGCTGCCCTCAATCAAACTGGCAGGAAAAAAGAATCTGTACTCGTTTGTTTAATGTGTCTAAAAAAAAAAAAATGTTTCTTTTTCAGAGCGGTGGAGCTATTTTAGGACCACCTGGAGCTCCTGGTGCTCCGGTAAGCAAAATCATTGTCACGCCTGAAGCGAATCCTTTACAGTGTTGCCGAGGAGAAACACAAGCACACAAGGCGTGTTGATACTGTCGCAGAACCTGGGAGAGCAGAATAACAAATAACCTGACCAGCCCTCCAGTGTTATCTCCACTTCAGAGTTCCTATCACAGTCCATCATGTTCATCGAGAGCGGGTGGTTGGTGAAGGCTCGGAGGCTCTCCCTGGCTCTCTCTCTCTAACAGGTGTCTGTGACCCGCCTCAGGACACACAACCTTATTGATATGCAAAATGAACTCTGCAGTTCACTCGCTCTCCACAGTGCAAACCGAAGTGACCCCGATTTGCTTATCAGGCCTACCCGTCCGCTGGTCCTCCTTATCAGACAGTTTGTTATCCGGTCCTGGGAGACACTCACTCACAAGACCTCGCAGGGATCCATCCAGCACAGCTAACACTGAAGGTGGTGGCATAGAATAGACACCTCAATATCCCCAGGGCGCAATACTAAAGAAGAACAGTTAAATCATGAGCCGGTTCTCCCAGTAGTGTATCCATCACAGACTAACTCGCTCCCTCTGGAGCCATCAATAAAAGAGCTTCTTCTTCATCAGTGTGAAGAGGGACAAGCGGCCTAATTAAATAATTAACACTTTCTGTTTAGAACGGAAGAAGATGCTGAAAGTGTTTAGAAAGCCACTGATAAGCTGGATCAACAACATCCCTCTTAAGGCACACTCACACTAGGCAAAGTTGTCCCATACTGTGCTTGAGCAGGATTACATTCCCCCCCCCGCCCCCTCGCCGTTCCCCTTGCTGGGCTGAACTCACACTGCTCCAGGACTAACCGGGCCTGAGCACGGTTACATCTTGTACATAACGTCGTAATGCAACACACTGATGGCTTCACTTAATCATGAAGCGTGTTTAGTTTACAAGACAGGCGGAATAGACGGTAGCTCAGTCTGTAGGGACTTGGGTTGGGAATCGGAGTGTCGCCGGTTCAAGTCCCGGCACGGATCAAGTCCAGAGGTTGGTCTTGTAGCTGGAGAGGTGCCAGTCCACTACCTGAGCACTGCTGAGGTGCCCTTGAGCAAGGCACCAAACCCCAAAACTGCTGTAGAGCAACTCGCTGTGGGCAGCCCCTTCACTCTGAGACCATTAATGCATGTCCATAGGATCCTGTTGGTGCATGTGTGTGTATGTTTGTGTAGCTTGTTCATTAAACAGAGTGTAAAGCTGAATTTCCCCTCGCGGGATTAATAAGGGATAAATTATTATTATTATACACCAGAGCTGAATGTGAAGCATTCTTCTGGTCGAGTGATTATATGTCCGTTTAACCTGACACAGCCTACATGCAACTTTATCTCCATTTTCTTGATCAAAACACTGCCAACCACTCTTCACTACAAAATGCCATCCATCCACTCTGACTTTTGTAGATGCTTGAAGAGACTATAACTGCAGGCTCCGATACCATTGTACATATACAAAGAACTGTTGGACTTTGCTTTGTGTCTCATATCTCCCTGCACAGATATCATGATGGAAGTTATTTATGTATGTATTTATGTCTTTCAGTATGATTATTAAGACGTATATCGCTTGTGTGAACCAAAGTTGTTAACTTAATGACCACTTGGGGAAATTAAAGATTTTCAATCCAATCCAAATTTCCAGAGACTTCAAGGAATCAGGGATAACTCAACTTGATTAAATTATCATTTGAGAAGAACACCATACAGTCATGATTTAAGGACAGAAATAGCAAGAAAAGAGAAGCTATAAGGAATGTACTGTCAGTATAATGCAGCAGCTGCTCGTCATTTCAGACTACATTTATTTAGTCTGTACGCAAACTGTTGTCACAATTCATGGGAGTAATTTGTCCTTTTCCCCGTCTCTTTTTAAAGGGTCCCAAAGGAGACGACGGACTTTCAGTGAGTAGAAGTGTTTCATTCTGGAGTGCACTGTTACAAAATATTTGTCTGTTTCTGAGTGCAGCACCGCCCCACAAAAAAAAAAAAAAAGTCGGGAAGAAAATAGAAAAGCAAAGCTGCCAGTTGCTTTCTATCATCTTCTCTGTGGTTTTCTGTACAACAGAAGTCAATACCGCCTCAAGCCCGAGCACTTAACCACTCTCAGTAGAACCCCCAACACACGGCATGGAAAAAAAATGATCACGACTCCTGCAAATGTGAAACTGTTGTACCAGATTGTCTTGCCGGTGGGAACCTATGAACTCACGTTGCACCTCGAGATGCCTCCCCGCCTACCCCACCCCACCCCACCCCCACCCCCGACGCCTGAAAACAATCCTCGCAGACACGGAAACAGTCCCCGACACGTCAGCCATCAACGTGAATTCTCTATTCTCATGGGGCCAATTGCAATTTTTTATTGTTTTGTGGCACAGTGATTTTTCACCAGGATGTTAATTTGACATTTTAATAAATTGTGTGAGCGGCTCCAGTGCTGGGGTTGGAATTGCCCCAATCCGTCTCACAGCTGATCCTCCGCACTGGCCCCTCTCTCCCCTTACCCTCACTCGCTTATTCATGACAATCTACATGTGTGACAATTACCTGCACAATCCGTCTATGTCAGGACCGGTTGCCCCTCTGTTCTGTGTAATGGCATTTCTCCATGGCAGCTTGAGCAAGATGAGGTAGATAGAGGCCATCACCTTGCTCCCGCTCCGGGGATGGGGCTCTATTTTTAGTGCAGAAAGCGACTCTGATCGTGATTGCCAAATGGGGGCCCTCTTTTTTTTTTCTTCTCCCCAGAACATCTTTAGCGTACAAAGTGTGACAGCATGTGTCATAGATCATACAATATTAATACACTCAGACTGAAATATTGTCCTCTTAGGATTATCTTCGTATTGACACATGGAGGATTTCTAAAAAAAAAACGATTATCGAGATGTGAGGGCGAAAAGTGTGAAATCTTGGCTCCTGCAGAATTTAATTTACTCGCCTTCACATAAGCTTTGATCTATATTTACTTGTTTACTGACAGCCTTATTGTTTTAGCTTTTACCGTCTTCTCGCTCATCACCAGCTCACCCTCCTATTCAGGATCGAAAATAACCAAATCTTTGATGCAAAAAAAGATGGAATTAACAACTCCTAGTCTTTGTGTGTTGACACAGCAGGTGTTGTGTTTTTCCTCTCACAGGGGGACGCAGGGGCCATGGGATTACCGGGGCTTGAAGGTCTACCTGGTGCCAAGGTAAGCAAGCTTATGGGGCCAGCAGAAGTGTCTCATCTAGTATGATTTAGCTGGATTATAAAGGGTTGGGGGGGGGGGTTCTTTTTGCTTTATACTCTATACAGATCCCTTGGATTTGGGGTGGATATATTTGAGACAATACACAAAGTCTACAACCAACAGTGGAACTTGATTAAAGTTTATAACAATATAACAAATACAAAAAGGACGAAAGAGACAAAATCAACAAACCCCGAACCATTCAAATGAAAACACAGCACCTCTCCTTCTCGTTGACTTATTTTGGGGATATCTTCTGTTGCTACAAAAACTCCTTTAATGCAAATATTGATGAGAAATTAATTTATTAAGAGTTTATTTATTTAAGTTGAATATCAAGCTAAGATACCTGCAGGTGTAAAATAACTGCTAAGTGAATAGTAGAATTGTAGGAATGTGTTATTATGCTGTCTGATCCTAGAGGAAACAAGGGGAGGATCGAGGATGTGACATGATGATACAGTACATGAGGACGTGAACATGTAGGCTATATTAACTAAGGTTACTTACAGCTTTTACACTGGAATTAATTGAACATACCTTGAATAGAATAAGTAAATATTAGCATAATAAAACTTAAAACACAACCTATGTGAACGTTTTCTTACCTAAATCACATCAGAAGTTTAACCATAAGGACAACAACTCCCATGATCCCACGCTATGATATTGTTTGTTCTACTTTGAATTGAGAGACCACTGGCGACAGGAGTTACACATGGTGCATTAAAGGAGCAATCTGTAAGATATCTACTGAGTGAAATGATAAAGCGAGCTTACTATCTGATCAGACATTAAGGAAACATGCTATGTTGAAGTGCTGGCTTCTCTGACAACAATGCAGCAGCCAGTATGTCCTCCTTCTAACTTTAGATTCTGCTCCTGAATGCTCTGGATTTGTTTGGACCAGAGAAGGTAGGCGCTTTTAAGGATCATCCACAAGGCCGTTTTGGACGCCCCTCAATTTGCCAGGCAAACGTCAAACCAACAGATGATGCAGTGATGGAAGCGGGCAAGAGAAGTGGTTCAGATAGAAGTGATTGTATTCGACCTAAAAAGCCTCTGCATGTTTCTAATAAGCTCCACGAGCAGAAACGTGCTCAGTACCCATTTTAAACACTAGGTGTCAGAGTTACATAATGCTCCTTTAAATGAATAATACAATTTCAGAGAATTTAATAACTTGTCTTTTTCCAATGGAGAAAGTTCTTTAACGAGATGCCCAAAAACGACTGCAGCTGTTGTGCATCAGTTACAGTTCTTTCTGATAAAACGCCGCTTTTAAAAAAACTAAATTCTTAAAAAAAAAAAAAAAACCTGCCAGAAACTTCTTACCCAACTTTCCGTATTTAAATCAGTTTGTAGAAGTTGCCGTTGATTGACAGTTCTTGACAGTGTATGCTTTGTGTGTGTGTGTGTGTGTGTGTGTGTGTGTGTGTGTGTGTGTGTGTGTGTGTGTGTGTGTGTGTGTGTGTGTGTGTGTGTGTGTGTGTGTGTGTGTGTGTGTGTTGAGAGGTGAAACATTTCAGTTTTCTATGACATCCAGGGTAATTTCTCCTTTAGGGAAATTCTGTCAAAGATGTAACATATGCAAAGTGTTTGCTGTTGAACTGTGAAGAAGCCTTAACTTCATAAGGAAGTTGTTTATCTTAATTCCATATTTGTGATTTTATTTCTGAGGAGATACTTTCTTGGTGTTAAGTTCTTATTTGGAAATATTTTGTCCAAACAAGTAGAAGCCCAGGAGCATTCATTGAAGCCAGCTTTAATCAGTTCCTTACATCAGTATCTGTGTTTGTGCTTTACATGACAGTGATGTGTGTGTGTGTTTCTTTATGATACGTGTATGTCATCTCTCTGACACATCTGCAATGTTTCCTGCAGGGTGATATTGGTTTGCCCGGTCCGCCTGGGATGTCAGGTCCTCCAGTAAGTGAGATTTCTATTAATTGACTCTCCTCCCTGATCAATCATCGGTCTTGTTTAGGTCTGCTGCTGGCAACAAATCGATGATGTTTCATAAAGCGCAGCTATACAAACACAAAGTCCCACAACGCAGCGCTGCTTCCTTTTATGAACCTGGATATGAACCTGTGCTGTGCTCTGTTGTTGATTCTCTGCGCAGCTATAGTTGGCTGGTGTGGTGTGGTTTATAAATGGGGAGGCTTGCAGAAGGTGCAGTAGATATGACTCCATTGAGGACCTGTCAAACACGCCTCTGTTCTCTCTCCCTGTCTTTGTGATTGACAGGGGAAGCCCGGCACTCGTGGCGAGCCAGGGATCCCAGGAGAGCCGGTGAGCAGCAGCCTCTAACTCTCTTTGAGCTGTCAATCCACGTGTCATTCCTTTGTCACTGCCGACTGACACATCGGCTGTCTCTGTTCTCCGACAGGGTGAGAGGGGGCCGCTCGGAGAGACAGGATTCCCCGGGCCCGAGGGACCCCAAGGTGTTGCTGTAAGGATGCTACATGAAGTCTGTTGCTCATCCATATATAATCACTTCTAGATTGTTGCCAAAGCACCTTTCAGCGATGTCCAAACTGGCTTTTGAACACCACACTGCGCCTATGAATATGCACATTTACCGATAGCTGTTTAACCATTATATGGAAAAAAAATGAAGGAACATGATTGAAGGACAATATGACCAAAGTATGTGAGCGACCACTTGCCCTGTAGGTGATTGCATTCCTCTGTGTAATTACCATCAGAGGTGGTTTCTGTAATTTTCCCTGTATCCGCACAATGGAACAGTGTTCGCTCAGCAATCAGGATCATTATCCCTCGGTTGAGATATCTCATTAACTGCGGAGATTACTAGGAGTGCAACAGTGCTGATCCAATCGAAGGCGGGAGCTGATTCAAAAAATGTCTTTGTTTGTGTTGCACTCCTTGAGCAGGGCAGACCGGGAAAAGATGGAACTCCTGGATACAAGGTGAGCGGTGTGAACACACAATCCCCTTATATAGAAAAGTGCTTTACATCAGCCAAGCTACAAAAAAGATGGCACAGCAGATTTTTATCCGTCCCCCCACTCCCCTCCCCTCCCCTCCCTTAAGCTACAGCGTCCTGAGTGCATTAAGCCTATTTGCATATTTGAGATTTTAACGATAAGAACTAAATGAAATCCTGCAGATTTAAGGCTTTGTTGACTTTTAGTCTTTTTTTCCTCTAATTACACAGCTAATGCCCTCAGGCTACGATCAAAAATGTTTGTAATAAGAGGGCAGCAGACATTTACATTAAATATGCATTTTCCTGCCTGATGAACCTGTCTCAAAATGGAAACAAATACCGCACCAACATTTGCTTTTAAGGTGACTGATCAAATATGTTATACACTATTCTCTACACGCTCACACGCTCACAGCATGCAGAACAGATCTGCTATGAATAGATGTGCCCGGCACATTTTTTACAGTCTCCTAACAAATTGGTTTGACGAGCTGTATTACTGTTTGGCTCTCTGATTTACAAGATTTTTGTCACCTAACGGCTTAATGACAGCCCCTACAGTTTATTCTTTTATTAATGTTATTAGTTAATATGCCTCTTCTAAAATCTCAGCTATTGCATACAGCTCCTCCACAGTTTTTATTTCCTCTGTGTTTCTGCCTTAAAACCTGACTTTGGCGGCAGTGCAACAGTGCCATCTAGCAGGCTGCTCGGCTCTCCCGCTCAGACTCCTTGCACTTTGAGGTTTAATGTAATGCTCAGGGAAGCACATTTCAGTGGCCAAGATGATAGATTTAAGCCTCCCATCAGGCGTTGGGGAATACAGAGTGCCGCAGATTAAAGCAGGCAGGGGAGAACAGCATCACAAAGAGATGCGGTTTTAAAACCACATCATGCCAGATTGCCTTTTGCATGGCTCCTGTAATCCAGCAGGAAATTGATACAAAGATGCTCCCACAGGAGTTGCTGCGTGCACAGTAAAAAGGAAGCAATGAGGAGTGACGCGGGGGGGGAAGGGATTGGAAGGCACAAAAATGTTGTGACATGAAGCTGGAGACAGGTATTTCTCTCTCTCTCGGCTCCTTCATGTAGTAGAGACAGCTGGTGGGGAAAGCAGACGAGGCAGGAGTGATGCAGAAAAGCTGTGACATTGCAGGAAGGTGAAACGCTATTCAGGGACATATTATGCAACCAATACACCTGAGCGAGAGTAAGAATCAATCAATGCACAGTCATCTGAAAAAAAGTGGACATTTCTCAAAGTCATGTAATTCAGGAAAAACTTGCTTTCGTTTTTTTTCTCTTCAGGAAACACAAAAGAAACTTCTGCGAATATTACATGCAATTTAAGAAATACACCAATATGTTGGAATTTCAGCTTCATGTGTTTGTCTACACTTAGTCAGACGTTACACCTGTACTTTACCTGTGACGAGGGAGCATTCAAATGTGTTTTTTTGCTTTTTCTTTCTAAGGGAGCTTCAGGTAGAACCGGCGACAGAGGATCCAAAGGAGAACGTGTAAGCACAGACGTTCCTGTTTTCCTAAAAAGGAAGCTGTTTTTTGTTTTTTTTTGACTCAGACTGTAATGCACAACAACAAAAAAAAAGAAAAAGGTTTTGATGAATAGTAATGAAAGTCTTCACTTCGGCACAAATATGACTAATCCCCACAATATCCGCATAAGCGCCAGATAAAGGCATTTTAAAAACTCAGCGCAGGTTCCCATTGTGTTCTCCAGGCAATATTAAAGAGCTCTGTCACACTCCTGCTGTAATCTGCTGCAAATGGAGGATGCAGAATTTGGCTTTTAGCTTAATAGTTGCTAACAGAACATCAAGACAGGTGACTGACTGGACACATTAGCAGAAGTAGCTCAGGGTGCTCAGCGTGTTGAGTAATGGTTTAGTAGGAGATGTGCCTGGAAATACGGACAGTGTTGTGTTTTAAGGAAAGCAGCTTTTACAATACAATGCTGCTTCATTTGGAGAAATGACTGATCTTCTTAAACTGCAGGGTGATCCAGGCATTCCTGGAGAAAGAGGCGTTCAAGGCGAGAGGGGTCGCCAAGGAGAAATTGGCCTTATTGGACCGATGGGACCAGAAGGCCACAAAGGCGATCCTGGCCCTCCAGGACAGCTGGAGAGCACGAGCCTCCTGGTGAGTCGTTCATACATCTCTCAGGCGTTAAAAAAAAAAGCTTTATCATCCTCCTTCTGCCCTTCCTGAGCTTGTGTAACTAGTTCAGTAGTTTTTTTTTTTGCTGCGTGGAAAATGGTGCAGCTACAGATTTCTGCATGAAAACATCAAACAAGGCTGTGCAAGGGAGGTTTGCAGTTTTTTTTTCTTTTCTGCTCAACGCTTCCCACTCCTCATCCAGGCGCGTCAGAAGGTCAGAGAATGAGAGAGAGAGAGAGAGAGAGAGAGATGGAGACAGAGAGAGGAAATAAAGACAGAGATACCAACGTGGGCGTGCCCGGAGCTCTGCAAGAGCAGTGAAAAACACCTCCATGTGTCACCAACATTTTACACATACAGAACGCAGTCGCAGCTGGTTATATAACGTTCACAGTGGAGATAAAACATTTTTTTAAAACGGCGCTGAATGCAAAGATTCAAGGCTACTCTTGTTTGCAGCCCTGGAGAGCTGTAACAATGTTTGTGAGAGAGGTTAAAATAGCTGACTTTAAAGGCTTTATATGCAATTTTTTCATCCAGCAGATGTCGCCCTCCAGCATGAAACCAAAACAACTCGCGGTGCATCGTTGTGTTAGCATGCTAATGCTAGCGATCTTTATTATGCTGGTATCTTCACACTGCATGTAAATTTAGCTGAAATGAGCGTGATCTAGAAACACAGTTAAGCAGTGAGTACAGTATGTTATTCTTCTTTTCTCTAGTCCCTCAATTAAACAACTTTTATACATGAGGGGAGGAGTCAGCCGGCCGTCCGGGCGATGTAAACAAAGTGAAGATAGGACTCTGAAAACTCTGAAAGCATCACAGACAGTGGGACTCGGGTGTTAGACTCATTCAACACTGCACCGACCCTCCTACTTTCAAATCACTTATCAAAACTCACCTCTTTAAACAAGCTTTAAATGTATGATTGTGATGTATTTTCTGTTTTCTGTAGTTTACCTTTATGTTGTTATCTTTATGATTTGTGTGTAATGCTGCAATGTCCGTTAGTCTGTCCTTCTGTGCTATTCTTTATGTTTTAACCATTGTAAAGTGTCTTTGAGTTTTTAAAATCGCTTATAAATAAAATGCATTATTATTATTATTATTATTATTGTAGACAGTCATGACTCACAGAGTTATTTTCAGAGGCTTGATTTATATTACATTTAAGTGTGAAAAATCACATATAAAGCCTTTAAGTATACAGTCTTACTTTAACCATGTTATTTTGTTTGCTACATTCTTTGAGTGGCAGTGTGTGTGTGTGTGTGTAATAATAACACTTACATGTGAAGGCATTCAGAGCTCGTATGACAGGATATAGTTCTCCTCTAAAGTAGAATCACAGAGAAGTGTCTTTATAGAGTCTGAACATCTGATTTAATATTCCCTGAATGTATTTCTAGCAGGGGTTTAATGCCCAGATGTTCTATTATCATGCAAGGTGGGATTTCACTATTTAGAGCCAAAATATATGATTCTCCTCGCTGCCTTTATTTTTCAGCACAGATGCTTTCTCTAAAACTGGTGGGGATCTTTGAGTCTAAGTACAGTTCTGGCGCCCATGCTGAGACACCTACTGATCTTTTCTGCTCCCACCTCTCTCCGAATGAAAGATGTCTTCTTAATTACCTTCTCTTTTTTGTGTTTTTCTTTGTTTGCACACACAGGGTGATCCCGGCTTCATGGAGGAACTCAAACTGTTTATCAGAAGTGAAGTTTTGAGGGTATTCGAAGGTACAAATTGCTCAAAATATCATCCCCTATTTCTTCCCTAATTTTTTCTTCTGTGTGGTAAATTTGAATTTTTGATTTTGTCCTGTCTTGCAGAGAGACTATCAGGCGCTGCCATGCCACAGAAGAAGACCCACGCAGGCATCTTAGCCTCACAAATCCAAGGCCCTCCAGGACCTCCTGGCCAGAACGGATTACCAGGCACTCCAGGAGAGCCTGGAACTCCGGGTCCTCAAGGTAGGAACTCTGGATAGCGTACTGAACAGCTGGATGTTTACAACAACTCAGACAAATAACCGCTTCAGCTAGATTAGAAATAACACTCTTAACCTTTGATTTGGTGGAATTTAATCAACCACTTGAGTACTGATCTAATTGCAATTTATCCTTTATCACACACGCAGTACGTCTATGGTGTTCAAAAAAGTCGGTTTGTAGTGTTAGGGCGCACTCACACTCGGCAATCTGTACCGTGCCCCCCAAAGCATGTTTGACCCCTTACGTCCAGTTCCTTTGACTGGACTTTTAATATTTTTGCGCTCTGTTTCATGCTCAAGCACAGTAACTTTCCCTGGTCCTGGCACGCTTAGAAGAGGCGGGCTTTGGCACAATGCGGACATGACATATAATCAATCTCAGCCTCCATCATCGAGAAATCACTGAGTGTTCTGGCTGTATCGGACCAAAATGACTCAAAATAAGCTACAAAGTCAGTAAAGTTACTACAATATTCTATAATACGTTACTAATGTTCTCTGATGTTCAGACGCCGACTCGACCCGCGTCCATTATATTTTTTTAGTCTGTCTGCCTTGTGAACTAAGCTCGCTTCATAATCATGTACAAGTGGTAACCGGGGTAACTCAGGGTAACTCAGGCCCGGTTCGTCCCGGAACAATGGGGAGTGGAGGAAATGGTGCTTCAGCACAGCAGGGGGCAACCGAGCCTAGTGTGAGTGCGGCCTTAGTGTGAATAAAACTGGACTTTTACAATACATATAAACATGTTAGCCCCACTGGTGTGGACTCGCTTCATAATTGGCCTGTCACAATTCTCTAATGGTTATTTGAAATTGAAATTAACATGAGACGTCGCCATTTGGCCGCATGTCACCGTCGTGCTCTGATTAGCAGAAGCTGCAGCCACTTTCTGTCTCTTCTTGGATGCAGGAGAATAACAATCAGATCATAACCTTTTTCCCCTAGGTAGTGCGGTTAGTGGTTGATTTACTCTTGCATGTATACACATAAATATGTTTGTATTCTAAGAAAGGACGGAAGTCTAACTAAATGGCCTACTTGACCTGTAAATGTAGGTCGACCCAGCTGTGCATGTAAACGTACTGATGTTTTAGAGAAGCAGCTTTTTAGCTTCATACAAAAATCTGCAGGTTTACGTGAATTGTGCCGAGTAAGCAGCTTTCATTACGGTTTTTCTGCATGCAGAGAGTCAAACTGAAACATTGCAGATTGGCTGGACTGCAAGGGGAAAAGGGGAGGGGGGTCTTAAATGCAGGTTGACATGTGCACTTTGTAGGGATTCATGGGTATTTTTCTCTTGCTTACACCCATATATCAATGCAGACTGAGGGGGCAGGAAGCAGAGGAAAAGGCTGGGAGTGTGGTGCACAGCGGCCGGCTCTCTGGGAAATATGAAGACAAACGAAGAATTGGCTGTGAATAAGAGAAAGTAATATCAATGTGGACAGGAAAGAGCCGCGGTATTGATACCTCACTCCGGGACAGAAAGCCTCTTTCCAGGGCATAGTCAGGAAAAGAGAGTGGACATTGTTTATCATGCTGGTACAGGCTGCTCATACAACACTTAATGGTTTGCTGGTCAGGCTTTTTTACCTCCAACTTGCTTAGATTTGTATCGTTGTCTGCAGCAGAACGACGGTCTCTCAACGTCAGGAGAGGAGGAGTGTGTAACGTGTTGGTGCACATCAAAGCACCTCCGCATTGGCTTTTTCTCTATGAGCTTTGTATCTACCTCACATTATTCAAGACCACTTAACCCAAAGCTAAAATATAAAAAAGGCTGCTCTCTTTCACAATCGAGGCCCCGTGTCCACCTAGCATTTTATTTTTTTCAATTGTTTTCATCGAGTAGAGAGTGTTCTCAGAAGAAAGCGGGCCACTTGGCATCTTTTCTTCCGAGCACTCCGCCTTCAAGCGCTCAAGTTAAAGATCTTTCAACTTTTTCAGAAAGGTGCTGTTGACATCAGCGGCGCTCTTTTCCAAATGTATGATATTCCCTGTAGTTTAGCTGCCATCATCCTCGCTCCATGTCTGATAAAAACGATCTCAAATATAAAACATGCAGTAAAAAGTAACGGAGCAGTGTTGGGCATAGCATCCGTTGTCAACAGACTGTTGTCATAGAGACAGGAGGGACTTGCAGCGTTCTCTTCTCAGCGCACAAACGCTTCATGCAAGAGCTCCTGATCGTACAGCCAGCACTTTTCTGCCCCAAAAAAAAAAAACGCTAGTTGGACGTGGGGCCTTATGTAGTTACGTAGGCAAGTAGTGGCCTGTATACATATTTGTGTCGTGTTGATGCTCTCTGCATTTCACGCGTCTTTGATTTTGTTTCGCTTGTTTTATTTTATTTTTTTAATGCTTGATTAAGAGTGTTTTATAGGTGATTTTTAATGCAGCTTTCCAATAAATATTTATTGAAAACAAAAAAAACAAAAAAAACAAAATTTCCCCCTTGATTAATCAAAAACCTCGGCCCGCTTCTTAATTTTTATTTTTTTATCTTTGTTGACTTGCGCCTCCACTCAGCTGAGGGAGAGAGTTTTGGGGTAATATTTCCTCATTATTTCTCGTCATCCTCGGCTGGAGACTGTGCTCCTCTGGAATATACAATTTGACTTCTTCCCCAATATGCCAAGATGAATTGTTTATGGAGAAAAATAACCCTTTTTTTCGTTGGGTCCCTCATGGTTTGAAATCACATGGGTGAAAGTCTCAAATGTGCCTCAAACAGCCAGAAGGACGCATGCTGGAGTTGTTGTGTTTTATGTGTTTTCCTCCTTTGTGTTTATTAAATGCTCATTTATCATTCTGTAATGAAAATACTCACTGATGTAAATCATTGTTTAAGTGCATATTTACTGGAATCTACATGTTGTTGTTTTCATTCATTTTTAATTTGTGTGTATTAATTACAACCCCATTTTCAAAAAAGTTAGAACGCTGCACACAATATAAAAAGAAACAGAATGTGATGATCTGCAAACCATCGAAACCCCGTTGTTAGTGAACACAGTTCATTGCTCCATTCACAAATTCAGGCAGAAACTCCACCACGCAAAGAGGAAACCGTATAAAACCAGATCCAGAAATGCTGCCGCCTTCTCTGAACCGGAGCTCATTGAACACGGACTGAGGCGAAATGGAAATTTGTCCCGAGGTCTGATGAGTCAAAATCTGACTTTCTATTTAAGAAAATCCTGAACGCCTCGTTCTTTGGGCTACAGAGTAAAGCTGTTATCGGTGTTCAGTTCAGAAGCCAGCTTCTGTGATGGTGTGGGGGGGGGGGCGTTAGTGCTCATGGCATGGGTAACCTGCACATTTGTGAAGGCTCCATTTATGCTGAACCATGTGCACAAGTTTTGAGCGACATATGCTGCCAAATAGACAACTTGTTTTTTTTTAGGGATGGCTTTGCTTATATCAGCCGGACAATGCACATTCTGGACATATAACAGCAACATGGCTCTGCAGTAAAAGAGTCCAGATGAGAAACTGGGCTTCCTGCAGTCACGACTTGTCGCCTGTTTTAAAATGTTTGGAGCATTATGAAGTGTAAAAAATGACAAAGGAGATTCAACTTTCCAAAGTAAAGCAGTTGCTCTCCTGAGTTCCCAAAACATTAACAGTTAAAGTGATGCAATAAAATAGTAAACATGTCCCTGTCCCAACTTTGTTTTTTAAATGTTCCTGGCAGTAAATTCAAATTGGGCATATCATGTTTCCAAAAAAACAAATTACAGCATTTCTCAGTTTCAAAATTTGACATGTTGACTTTGTGCTATTTTTCAATTAAAGGCAGGGTTTGTAATTTTAGAAAACTAGCATGACTTTGAAAGTAGCATTCCCTCAGTGCTCCGTCTGCACCCAGCCCCTCCCCTCTGTTCTCCCTCTAAAGCCACGTCCCCTCACTTACATGCTCCAGCACCGTTGCTCCAGAAGCGGACCTCAGCTCATCGCTTACATTGTGTAGAAACTACGTCGTCTCATGTCTCAGTCAGCTGTAAATGTGTGGGCTAGTGCATGCATGGGGTAGAGAACAAGCAGGGAGACAGGGAGGCGCGTGATTGGTTCATCAGATTGGTACCTCGTGGCACACATTGGTCGAACTTTTTAAAGGCTTACAACTGATACAGATGACGAATTTTCTTTTTTTCCTTTTTCAGAGAACATGAATTATTAATTTCTGTCAGGTCCTAAAGACAATTTCAACCCAAATCTTAAAAAGTGGATCTGGAGAAAATGACCAACCCTGCCTTTAAATATGAGGTTTTATTTTAATTTTAAATCATCACATTCTGTTTTCATTGTCAACGTCCAAACTTTTTTTTTAGGAAATGGGTCTGTAACTCTGACTGTGAAAACGTGTCTTTTATTTGATAAGGCTGCTCTGCTTTGTGCTGTACACTGTCGAAATATCAGTAAATATGTCTCAGCGTTTGTTCTCGATGGAGCAGCTGGTCAAAGGAAGCTGTTTTTGTTTTCTTTTGTGATCCACAGCATGGACAATTAGATATTCCTGTTAGTTCTGTTTACACCTCTGATAAAGTAGGACGGCAGCCCCACACCTGTCGTACAAAAAACACATTTGTCCATGAGTGCCTCAAGAAACTGTCTTTTCAACCAACTGCAGACACTGTGCGACCTTTTTTTTCCGATTTATTAGAGTGCACCGATCCAGTGTGCCACCAAAAGCTCATCTCCCTTTGTGCTATTCAGACTTTTTTTTTTTTTTTTTTTAGCTTAAGGTACAGTGCTCTTTTCTCCATGGAACGTCTCCTCCCTGAATGAATGCCCCCCTAGGCTCTGTGACTGCTGAAAGAAGTCTCATTATTGCGGCAATGTGTGGACAGCCCCTCGCTCTTTGAGACTCAGTTTTGGAGAATTCATAAGCCCCCCTTTCTCTCGCTCTCTCTCTCTTTGAGATTTTCTCTGACATGTAAGCGTTGAAGCGTTTCCCCTTTGGGCCAGGCGGTGTGATGCTTGATACTCCTGTCAATGTTTCTGATGCACTTCCATGCAACTGCTGGTCCTGAGACTCCATTATTTTAAGTGCCTCATGGGGGGAATATACTCGCAGAGCCTCAGATTCTTACTTTGGTATGCTGCTGTTTTTTTTGTTTTTTTTATGTAAAGATTGTGGGCTGTGCATGGAGTGGGAAAGCCTTTGAATTAAATGTTTGTGTGCAATATCGTCATGAAGCCTGACTGGAAGAGCGGTGCAAAATGCTTTGATTATGTTCCACTCATCAGACAAAGCATGCCCTCGAGTTCATCACTGCCTGTCGTTTTAATGTAATAGGCATGCAGCAGTCAATCGCCATCGTTTCAACGAGTGGGTGTCAAACAACACGAGATAATGCAGAACAAGCTTGGGGGGTCTCTGAATCCTGTTGTGATGAAAAGGCGTGATTGTTTTCTGCATCTGTTGCATCTTTGATTTTTTTTTCCCGATGAATGAGCACACCTTTGATAAGATCTCCGTGTACCTTGAGTGACCCACATCATGTCTGACCTCGGATTGAATCCTCTTTGCTCTGTTTTGAAATCTTCACAGATGTGTGTGCTTGTGGCCCCTTTGTTGAGAGAGCTGCACATCGCCGGCTCCCTTCTTGGAACACTAACGCACAGATGGCTTGTTTGATGAGTTTCCCTTTTTGACAGGATGTCAGCATGTACTTTTATTATTCAAAGGGTTTGGGATTGTAACTTGGATCCACAGTAGTCTTCTTTTTTTTTTCAGAGTCAACTACAAAAAGCTGCTTCTCTCACAATAAGTGCCCCTCTTGATGCCTGACATTGCAGTGGTTTTCATGATCTGTATATTCATCAAGAAGCTAATCTGTTTGAGCACATGGGCGGATGTTTTCAGTAGCAGAAGTGCACCCTCGTGTTATGAGCACTTTTTACTAATCATACTAACTTTCTTATGGCAACACATAGTTCGGCTTGATTTTTTTGAAGGATTTGTACTTAACCACATTGTTTTCCCGTGTCTGTCCTCAGGATACAGAGGTCAGAAAGGAGAAAGAGGGCAGCTTGGTCTGGGATTACCAGGAGATCCAGGACCCATGGGGCCATCAGGTAAGACATGCACATTGCACAAAGAGGCTTTTTTTTTTAAATGTCATTGTTTAGATGTATGCAATCAAATGAAGGCTTGAGCTATTGATTAAAAATCCCAAAGTATACTACAACTTTTATGTTGTCAGTCTGAAACCTGTAGAGCAGCTGTGCATGATTTGCAGCGACAAAAACCCCAACATTTTTCTGTAACTAGCTCCAGTTAAAACCCTCATCTCAGCCTCTGCTTTTAATAGATCGTTTCAGCTGATGTCTCTTTAAGGCCCGCCTCTCCATCATGCCCATTTCCTTCTGATTGGCTGGCTCTCTGGAGAGCAGAACGCTGCAGGGCTGCCAGGGCTGCCAGGGAGAGGGCTGCTCTCTTGTGCTCAGAGAACAGATATACCGGCCTATACAGAGGCTTGAAACCGTCTCTGGAAAGTCTTGGTTTCACATCGGGGAACTATCCCATGATTTGCAGAACAAGCCGTTTAGCGCCCTCTGCAGACTTAACCTGGGATTACTCCAACACATGTTCACCTCTTGAGCTGAAACGTTGCCCACGCCCAAGTATGGGCATCCAGCATTGTAACACTATATGTGAGTTTTAAAAAGGGGATGAGCAGAATAGGTCGACTTTAAGGACATCGAGGACAAGATGATACGAATTTGGGCGTTGACACATGAACTGGTGAATTTTTCATGAGTGCAGTGCATGTGTGAGTGGCCCAAAAATACAAATAAAACACACTGAGAGATCAAGTTAAAAGTTAGAGAATCACACAGCTACATTCTTCACTTAAACTATCAGGGATAAAAAGCCCTCCAGGCGAGCTGCAGCTCCACCGTTGTTGGTTCTTAAGCGGACTTTGAACACGGGAGAGAAGGCCAGGGAACATCTTGGTAAACAGCAACTACAAAGGATTTAAAGTCCTTTATGTGAGAGCGAGCACAATGTCCATCTGCTGTCTTTGCCCTCACAGCTTAGTACAGACTCTGGCAGACTTTGATTGTAATTAGCCCTGATGTTGCTGTTGCTAAGTCATGCTCACCTGTAGGGCATTTAGCCCTGTGATGTAGCCAATTAGCAGGGAGAGCTAACAGCTGTAAGAAGCCACATAAACATGCACGCTGAACACACTTTGAAGGTAAAAGAAAAACAGAAGCTTTGATAACGACTGTTACTTTGTGCAACAACACACTGCTGTGGACAGTTTTTCTTTTAGTGTGAGCTGTTAAGCAGGAGATGGATGAAGTGATGAAAAGGGCAAGTTGTGTTGTCAGGGGGAGGAAAAGGACTAAGGCAGTACCTGTGATTCCTCCTGTGTAAACTATAGAGGAGGCAGCGCTCCCTGCAGCTGTGATTGGTTCTGACTGATGTCATGGTCACTCCTGGGGCTGGACTGCAGTCTTTTGGAGAAATCACTGCTTCTTGTGTTGTTGTTTTATTAAGCACAAGGAAGCTTTGGATCTCTCTGCAAGCTGTTGCCAAGTAACGTGTGATTGTAACTTCTCGTCCTCTGTGATGACCTCAACATATTTCAGTATGAACAACATACTTTCTTTAGTTCCTTTATTCTCATAATGATAGTATTTAGGAGTTTATCAATTAGAAATTAGATATCCAGGTTTTAGAAAACATATATTTTACAATCTGGACAGCAACAGGCACAAACCAATAGTTATCTAACCTCTGAATTTAGCCAGGTCATAAGGTCATGTTCTGATACATATATATGAAAATTAAACACAAAAGTGTTTGCTGTAGAATTTGAGCAATATTAAGTGAAATATTGTCTGATGTAATTAATTAATTCTCAATCAGCCCTGAATTTGATGATTAAATCATGTATGGTCTGCCGCTTTTTTTTCAGTTGTCAAGTTGATAAAATGTCGGAAAGATCCAATCCGAATGTGTTTAAAAGCACATTTCAAAACAGCAAAAGTTGACCAATCACAACATAAAACACAGACCAATGAAAAAACAGCAGGACATAAAGTGTTAAGACAAAGAGGAAGGGATTAAAGGATAGTTATTGCATGAGGGATGGTGTCCCTCTGCCTAAAACAACAGTCTGAGTTTTATCACTAAACGAGGATAAAGTGCAGCCCTAAGCAGGACTTTCTAAAATCTTATTCTCCACCCAGGCCCCCCCGGGATCCCTGCACATGGTCCTCCTGGCTCCCCGGGGCCCCGCGGACCACCTGGGACATGCAACCCCCTGGACTGCCTCCCTCCACCCCTATGAGGCCAGCGGAGCGGGGTCAGGCTGCTTTCTCCGGAAGGCAGACGTCCAGCTCTGAGTTTGGTGCTGACAGACTCAAACCGACCTCCTTTCTTTTATTTTTTGTTCACTTTTATAACGACAACATTTTGATGCAGTCAGGTTTTATTTTGTTATCGTCTTCTGTTGTCGTTTCTTGTTTTGAATGCAAATAGGACGCCCTTACTTTTTTGTACACTCCATTTAGTTATTTCTTGTTTTCAAATCCCCGACTGTGTGATGTAATGCATTCCTTGTCATCTTTCATTTTGTCCTCCAAGACCATGAAATGACTTCGTTTCATCCATTCAGTTCTTCTTGAAAACACGATCTTAATTATTTGATTGCACCCTCATTGGGCGTCTTTATCCATTTTTCTGTTCTTAGTCAGATAAGCCAATATGCAGGCAGAATTTACATCTCATCTGGGTGTGTGTGTGTGTGTGTGTGTGTGTGTGTGTGTGTGTGTGTGTGTGTGTGTGGGTGTGTGTGTAAGGGCGAGATTAGCTGAATGAACGTACATGTTTTACTTATTTAACGTGTGAAGAAGAATAATCAAACTTTTGAAACCAAAGTGCATCAGAGGAGTCTGATGTTGGAATAATTTATTGAAGAATGTATTTAAAAGATTAAGATAGTTCTATTAATTCAAGTGTATGTAGCATCGGGTTGTCGCTAACTTTACTGAAAAAAGTGGATACATACTGTATATCTGGATTTTACTTCATGACATTATCACATCAGCGTTGTGCATGATGCTCGGCTTTTAACGAGTCAGCAGTATAACCATTGAGTTAAATTGTCTTCCTGCGTCCTTTAAGCCCGGCTCACACTGCAGGAGTTTTTAAAATCCTTCCCGGTTTTGAATTCGGTCGGCATCACATCACACACAGATATTCTCCTCCATGATCTCAAACATGCAAACACTACAAGATGTGAAAATCTGGGCACATACACAGACTACAGGATTTCCTTAAGATCACATGACCTCACTTGACCTCACGTGACCTCAAGTGGCCGGCGGTTAAATGTGTGATTATAATGCTTTGTGCAGAGAGGGAAACACATAACACAAAAAAATAGTTTTTAAGCTTAGGGTGAAGATATGTCTGCGGAGACGCGGTGAGAGCTGGAGGTCAGATTGTTACTATGAGCGTCACAGATTTCAATTGCACCTGTGCAGGTTACCTCCTGCCGCCGGCCGCCACTCGTCCACTTATTACCGTCCTCCCTCGTCTCTCTCGGTGATTCTAGTCTCACACGACTTCAACCAAACTCTTTCATGACGTGATCGTCAAGATTTTATATTCTGAATATCAAACGTGTTTGAAATAAATCAGGGCGTCCTCGCCGATCACCGAGCAGATCGGGACTTTATGATTGGCTCTTTGTACCGCTCACACTACGAGATAATCTGGGCAGATAATCGGGTCCGAGCATCCTTGAGTCGGGAGCGACCCTGGGATTGTCGGGAAGGAAGAATCGGAGCTCAGGATTATCCTGCAGCGTGAGCCAGGCTTTTTGTTTGTGCATCAGCACTGAGGGCGAGATTTGCCAAATATTTTGTCATAAATAAAAAAAACAGTTTTTCTAAGACGCACTTACATCAAGAGCAGATTTTCCACATGAAAGAATGTAATTTAAAGATAATTTGTGTTGTGTGCCGTGACCTTAGGTTAACCTTTACTCTAGGTTTGATCTGTTAAGTTATTTGAAGTGTAATTCTGTCTGATGGGGCGCTTAATGGGACCTGACCACATAATTACAGTCGTCATCGCCGGGTTCTCCGTTTGACTATCTCTTCGTGCATCGCTGCAAATGTTTGAATTTAAATGTGTCTGAGATTGCGATGATTCATTTTCTGATGTTTACATGGTGTTGTGTATGATGATTCCTCGGGGTTTATTTGTATATTTCTGACTTTCAGCCACTCATAGGATATCGGACTTTTACGCCATGATTTTAAACGTTTCATTTTGGTGCAACATGTCACTCAAACATGTACTTGAACTTTCTTTTGGTTGTTTTTTACGTTATCATGGGATACATTACGGTTTCACTCGCTGACCAGCACTGTGTGTATCCTCCACCGACTGTGTGTATATAAAGATGGACGATGCAACTCCACCTCCTTTACAAAAGTGAAGCCAAAATACCCCCCCCCCCCCCCGATGTTGCGCTGGCGACGTCCCTTTTTCATTTTTATCTTCATTTTCAAAATCTTCAGCATGTCATAGCAGTCAATCATACAATCAGCTCACATGTTGTATCTACAGCATGTAATTCATCTTCAGCAACATCTTGAGCATCGTTTCATCGCTTCAAGCGTCTTCAAATGCAGCAATATCGTCATCATTTCCATCGTCATATTCAGCTTTTTCAGCAATTTTTTAACATCTCCAACACAGAATTCAACATTTTCCGCTTCCATGCATCTTCCTCACCTTTTGGTCACATCTTCAGCATCTTATATATCTCCTCATTTTTAGATTCGTTTTCAGCATATCAGCAGTAACATCATGTCATGTTTGCAAATTGTCAGCATTGCAGCTTTCTCAGAAAAGTGGGTTCATCATCTGCAGCATATTAACCATTTTCAGAAACTTCTTGAGCACTTTCAGTACTGATAGCATCTTTAATTTTCAGCTATATCTTCATCATTCCCATCGTCATCTTAATTTTCATCTTCCTTCATCTTCGGTCACATCTTAATCATCTTATGTATCTCCTCATTTTCATCTTCGTTTTCAGCATCTTAATGATTTTCAGGATGTCATGGCAACTCTGTTTTCAGCAAGAAAATGCATTTTATTCAAATTGAAACTAAATTTCTCAGAAACTTGGGTCATAAAACAAGATTCTAAAAAGTTAATATTCTGACCCATGACCCTCACCTGTTTGCATAGAGAAGGTGGGCTTCATGACCTATGCTGTAGGGGACACTCCAAATGTTTTTGTCTCCACTTTCGGGGCGCTGTAGTGTCGTCCGTCTTTTTTAAAAATAGTTCTGGTGTGTCTGTATTCTTGGGTGTTTTTTGGGGGGCCGAATCTTAAGACTGGAGTTGGATTTTATTTATTTACTCTAAAGTTTAATTTCAATGATCTCGACTCCTTTCAAAAGTTCTTGAGTCAACTTTATTGAAACAGGCCATTTGATATTCCTAAAGTTAAGAAGAGATGTTTGACTGAGTACAATTTGGCCAAAACTTCTTCAAGAGGAAGACGTCGAAATCCTCGTTTTTCAAAGGTTGGATTCAATGTGAGGTTGTGTTCGATGGGTTTTAGGAAGACGCTCCATTTGTTGATCCTCGAGAAAAACCATGAGCTTCATCATCACCCTAAACAACGAACTTTATCTAAAAAGAGAAAGAGAAATATAATTGGCCTGCAGTGTAAAGAACTTCCAAGTTTCTTTTTGAGGGCTGTTTGACAAGAATTTGACTCAAGGGCTTTAATTTGACTTCTCCTCCTGTGATCAATGTTTGAAATCTTTTGTGGGTGTTCCTGATATTTTGTGACATGAAGAACTCTGTTCAATCTGCGTTTCATCTTTTTTTTTTTTTAGATCTGCTAGACCCTTTTTTACTTTGTCTCACATCATCATGCGTCTCTTATACATGTGAATTATAACTCCAATCTTACTTTGAAGCTGCAGAACATTTAATTTTTTATATATATATATATATATATATATATATATATATATATATTTTTTTTTTTTTTTACTGGTGTGCAGTCTTGGTGTTTTTTCAGCTCGAACTTGAGATGTGTGTTGAATCAAACGTGTGCAGCCGACTTCATTTGTGAGTTGAAAGAGCCCCCCTGCTGGACTTGTATTTATTCTCTCTGTTATGTGAATGGAAAACAATCTTTCTTTGGGTTATGGGCTTCATAAAAAGAAAAAGAAAAACCTCCTTCTTTTGGCTTCTATCCTTTCATCGCACTAATTTTCGTATTCCGTTTAATGGCTTCCCCTCCGAGACAAGAACGCTGACCTTGACCAAATTCAAATGAGACGATATCAGCAAACTAATGCCGCCTTAACTTATTTTCTTGCACAATGAGAGCCACTCTCTCTCTCTGCATGTATTGAATTTAGCTTGAATTGATATTAATGTGCCTCGGTTTGTGATTTCCATTTAGCTTAAGTGTGTGATGATAACCAAGGGAGGAAACAAAAAAGGGGGTGATGATGTTACAGCCCACTTCCCTGTGATTTCAGTGCCATTTCTCCGAGTTAAAATCCATTTATTCTAAGTGAAAAAAAATGTCAGATTCAAACGAGCTCAAAGGATGGAGGCGTTTTTAGGATGAAGCATCATTTAAAAAGTTGCTGTTATACATCCCAAGACAGGCGAGATCCACTTAGAATAATCACATCAGCTTCATTGTTGCTCATTATTTAACAGTAATCTAATCGTATAAATAAGCTTGTAATGAGAGGGAACGCGGTTCAGCCTCTCAGCATGGTCCCTGGGATTAAAAATGTCCGCCTGCTGCTCTCTCTGTAGCTCCTCTCCTCTCCTGAATAAGCTTCCGTCATGCTGAGTGACTTTAATGTGTGGGTTATTTTTTTTTGGTTTAATATCTACCTCAGTCTTGGTTCACCACATGTCTACATGAAAAATCACATCACTGCCTGTTGCCTTTTACAGAAAAGAAAAGCCTTATGTGCATTCAGAAAACATAGATCCAGGATGTGTCACTCAGACTCTCTGTGAAGAGGCAATGATGTTCCTGTGTTTGAGGGATGATCCAGTGTGTGTGTGTGTGTGTGTGTGGTTTCCAGGAATCAGAGGTTATATTTTACACTTTTTTTTTTTTGTTGCAGCATCTTTCATTTTCAATGATTCATGGCACCTGCCTTACTCGTGTGCAATAAATGTTATTCAGTGCTTTACTCCTGTGTGTTCTTGTGGTGTGTTTTTTTTTTTAGCTCTAACATGCATTTTGAACAGGAGGTCTTTATCTCTCTGTGGTCAATGGGCAGTAGTGACATTTGGTTCCATTCAAGTGAAGGATTCATATAAAACATCCGTTCTTTGAAACCTAGAAAACAGCAAATTATTTTTTATTTCAAATTTGATTCCCACCTTTAAAATAGATTTCTTTCAAACCACCTATAAGTAGCAGGCCTGGAGCTTTCTATCCCATCATACAATCCATATAAGAAGATAAAGATTAGTAATTGAAGTGTTGATAGAAAAGTAAGACGAGAGCTCAGAAGTGCTAAAAAAAAAGACGGAAACTTGAGCGTCTATGTTCCTACGACAGGTTGCAAACTCCATCTGCTACGAAAGATCACATAATGTACATAATAGATGTTAAAAAAAGAAGCAGAATCTAGAATGCAGTTCCCAGAGTGTCCACTTGAGGCTGACTTCAAAGTCTAAGAAATCCAAATTAGGTCTGTTAGTAAAATGGGAAAAGAAATTGCAGCAGAAGTAATCAATTTGGTATCAGTCGCTGTTTGCTTTATTGGTGCACACTGTTTCGGGGGATAGATTTTTTCATAACTCACCCATTTTGATCAAGATTAGCTTAGCGTAAACGCTACATTTGCACAATTGTTAGTGAAGGTGAGTTGACAGAGAGGTTTACGTGTTGTGGCCTTAACTCCTCTGCATGCTTCTAGATATATCTAAAGTTAGGGGGTGATAGCATTTGTAATAAGGCGGTTGCAAAACACCTCTTACAAAGCCAATGGGTGACGTCGCAGAGACTACGTCCATCTGTTATACAGGCTATGGTAATTTGATCAATACTTGCATAAAGGCTACTAAATGGATGTTGCAGTGGGATTATGTTAGATGGGGTTTTTTTATCATGCATTTTAGCCGTTTGTAGAAATAATTAGAAATGTCAAAAAAGATCACAGGCTGATACAAGTATTCAGAATAAATTAAACACTTCATGTGTTGTTTTCTTTATTTGAACCATCAATGAGGCTCTCCCTCATTCCTATCATGATTTATCTGAACATCTAAACTCTGTTGTTACAATGAGGCAAACTCTCACGTCAGGTGGTTTTGTAGGAAATATAATTAACCACAATTCAACACTTTTATTTTTTTTTTTACAGATTTACAACATAAACTGAAGTCAGTGTGACTTGTGACATTTCATCCTCCCTCCTTTTTTTTTTTTTAGAACTGCTGGACGTGTTGACATGTACAAAAACAATCAAAACAAAGTGAGGTGTCATCAGGTTTATCTTTGGTACGTTAGCGAGATCAATTTAAAAAGTCCTTTGACGACTCTGATTTACTTTGAGTCGTTATTGTAAATGTCTTTTTTGGAGTTTTAAATTAAGAAAACAGTTTGGGAGGAGAAAATGAGAAGAAATGCAGACAGAGGAACATGAGGGTGGGATAAATAAACATTTCTGGTCATTTCATATTGTCTTAAAAACAGGAAGAGCACTGTCTTGAAAGTATCAAACATCTCTCAGGTAAGAAAAACACACTGGAACCAGCTAGAGTTTTGCAGTGTATAAAAGCACAATGTTTTGTGTTTTTCCAAAACTCGAAGATGCTGGCTCCTTCTGATGGACGTGTGGCTTGCACAAAAACATGCTCACAGGACTAGAGGTTAATGGATTGAAGACACCACAGCAACCAGCAGCCCTTTGGAAGACGGTGTGAAAAAATGTTGTGTGCTCGGGGGGAGCTAATCAAACAGTCTGTCTGTCTCTGCCACAGTGTCTCCTAGTTCCCTGCAGGTCCCTTCACATCCAGAGACTGGTGGGCGGCTCCTGCCTGGAGGTTGCAGGCTGACGGGTCGCAGTAACCATTAGGACCAGCTGATCCGGGAGGACCGGGTACACCTGGCAGCCCGTGAGTACCTGGGGGGTCCCCTCTGTCCGTCCCGACCATCCTGACCGTAGCCCGGTTTGCCCGGCTCACCTGTGATCACAAACGTTCAGTTTAGGAAGCTTGTTGCAACAAATAATGATCGACTCGCTTTTATTTACGTCTTTACAGTCAGTCGTGAACATGAGCGAAGAAAAGATCTCTTCCGGCAATGTATTGCAAAAAGTGAAGGTGCACAATTTAAACAAAGGAAGTGCATGTAAGTTAGTGTAAAATAACTCAAAACTGAATATTGTTTGAGGCAGACTTGAAATAAACAGTAATATTTAGGATTTAAATAATATATCTGCCTTTGGACACTCAGGTTTTAAGGTCAAATTATTATTTTTATTTTTTTACAGATTCTATCTTTTAGTAGCTCAGTCTGTTGGGACTTCGGAAATCGGAGAGTTGCCGGTTCAAGTCCTGGCATGGACCAAGTCCGGAAATTGGCCTGGTTGCTGGAGAAGTGCCAGTCCACTGTCAAGGTACCCTTGAGCAAGGCACCTAACCCGCCCCCCCCCCAACAGCTCAGGAGCGCCCACTGTGGGCAGCCCTCTCACTCTCCATTAATGCGGGTCCACAGGATCCTGTTTGTGCATGTGTGTGTATTTCAGCCTATGTTTGTGTAGCATGTTCATGAGGACAGAGCGGGTGAACAGCATGGACGGCTCAATCGACTCACCAGGAAGTCCAGGAGCTCCTGGCTGACCTTTAGGTCCTCGTGCAGTGGGCCCTCTGGAACCCCTGTCTCCAATTTCACCTGTAACATGCAACAAGGTATTTTGAGCACAACAGATTGTATGAAAGAAATGGACGTAGTTGCTGTGACATCATCAATTGGTCTGTAAAAACAACAACAGTTTTGAAGCCTTTGTTTCAGAACATTTGGCCGCCCACATCTTTGTTTTTTTTTATATTTAATGTCGTTATAAATCACCTTAGAAGTACGCTCATTTTCCCATCTGGTTATAAACTTGACTAAAATTTAAATTTGACTTGTTTTTGTAAGCACTGCAGTCGCCCCCTGCTGGCCTTTCAAGGCAATTCTGCACTGGCTTTAAAGGCTTTATATGTGATTTTTTTGATCCAGCAGATGTCGCCCTTGAGCACCAGCATGAAACCAAAACAACTCGCGCTGCATTGTTGTGTTAGCATGCTAATGCTAGCGATCTTTATTATGCTGGTATCTTCACACTGCATGTAAATTTACCTGAAATGAGCGTGATCTAGAAACACAGTTAAGCAGTGAGTACAGTATGTTATTCTTCTTTTCTCTAGTCCCTCAATTAAACAACTTTTATACATGAGGGGAGGAGTCAGCCGGCCGTCCGGGCGATGTAAACAAACTGAAGATAGGACTCTGAAAACTCTGAAAGCATCACAGACAGTGGGACTCGGGTGTTACACCCATTGTAGACAGTCATGACTCACAGAGTTATTTTCAGAGGATATTCTTGATTTATATTACATTTAAGTGTGAGAAATCACATATAAAGACTTTAAGAGGTTAAGTCGACTTCTTCTTATAATAAATTATTGTTTATTTTGTCTTACTCACTCACAAAACCCCAGCAGTGAACCTGCCAGTGAAATCCTTACCTTTGGGTCCTTTCACTCCCAAAGCTCCTGGCGGCCCTTTGAGTCCTGGGAGTCCTCTTATTCCAGACTGCCCAGGGAAGCCATTGTCTCCCGGTGCCCCAGGAGGTCCTGGAAGTCCAGGTTTTCCAGGTAAACCAGCCACGCCAGACTCAGGTCTCCTTAAACTAGCAGCTAACTGAGCCAGTTGTTCTGTAGGAGCACAAACGGGGAGAAAAAAAAGAGGGAGAGAACTGGATGAACCACAGACACAAAAAAAAACCCTGTTTCCTAACAGTTTTTTGAGTTTACTGATGTCAGGGGAGCGTTTGAAGATAGAATACTTTGTAATAAATCATTCTGGAGAGAAAGGAGGCTTATCTCTAAAAGCCCAAAAGCACCTCTCTCATGGAGGAGATGGTCCAACGGGTTTTGTTGACGAGTTGAACGTGCAGAGAGGTGAATCTATGGGCATGATATCCCCTGAGCTGCTCCTGCTTTTCAAACTTTTTTCCATAGTAAATCGAGCAGAGAGGAGATAATACTCTTTATTTCCAGCAATCAGCAGCAGAAAAAGTATGTTCACGCTGCAAAAGATCTAATATTAATCTCCCGTGTTTCCTTTCTGCATGCTATCTTGCACTTAAGACTCTAGTTTTCCGGCTCCTGATGAAAATTCATGCAGCTGCTGCTCGACTTTTTCTCTTTTTTTTCTCCCTTTCCAGGCTCGGAGTCTTCGCTCCAAGCAGAGGAGTGCAGGTCTGCTGGAGGTGAAATTAATTTTTCAGCACAAGGGCTATAAAAAAATCATGAGCGCAGGAGATGAGTTGGGGAAGACGTAAGAGCAACTGAATGAAGAGAACAGAGGTTGTGACTTCAGCGAGACGTTTTCTCTAAAGCTCCTATAAAGGAAATCTTTCATCCATCATACAAACAAAGGCTGAAGCTTATTTCATGTTCCGGTTATGAGATCTTGCCTTTTTTTTTTTTTTTTTGAACTGCAGAGGATTCAGCAGCTGCACGGATCAATGAGACAGCGGCTCTAGTATGTGTGGTTGGTGTAATGAGGCATTGTGGGGAAGATTAAACCCGAGGAGCACCCGGCACTGGGGAATGATAAACGGGGGTCAAAGGCCTATCAGCTCTTACCTTGCATAACTCGCATGCAAACTTGTTTGATGTGTTGATCACTCGGCTCTTTTCCCTGGAAGGAAGGAAAGATGACTTAATAGATTTTCACGACAGTGTCTTAAACATTTATGAAACGACTCCACAGAACTGTTATCGAGTGAAAACACAACTCCTCCTGTTTTACTGACATCGGTCTCTCCTGGTGACCACTGTCCTCTCTAATAAAGGCACCAAAGCCTAAAAATAAATCTTAAAGGCTTTATATGTGATGTTTTGATCCAGCAGATATCGCCCTTGAGCACCAGCATGAAACCAAAACAACTTGCGCTGCATTGTTGTGTTAGCATGCTAATGCTAGCGATCTTTATTATGCTGGTATCTTCACACTGCATGTAAATTTACCTGAAATGAGCGTGATCTAGAAACACAGTTAAGCAGTGAGTACAGTATGTTATTCTTCTTTTCTCTAGTCCCTCAATTAAACAACTTTAATACATGAGGGGAGGAGTCAGCCGGCCGTCCCGGCGATGTAAACAAAGTGAAGATAGGACTCTGAAAACTCTGAAAACATCACAGACAGTGGGACTCGGGTGTTACACCCATTGTAGACAGTCATGACTCACAGAGTTATTTTCAGAGGATATACTTATACTTATATACTAATATTTCTACATTTAAGTGTGAAAAATCACATATAAAGCCTTTAAAGGGAGAATGTGGGATATTTTCCACATAAAAACATCACAAATCAAGTCTCTCCTGTGTAAATGTGTCTCTGAGTCATGACTGTCTCCAATGAGTGAGAAGTGTGAGTATAAAAGCTGTTTTAGTCAAGAACTAGAGAAAAGAAGAACATAGAGAACATACTCTCTGCTTATTTGAATGTCATGGAAGTGTTTTTAGATCTCGGTCATTCTGTGTCAAATTATGTGCAATGTGAAGCTAGGAGCTAACCACAGGGTGCTAACATTAGCACAACAATGCAGGACACGGGCAATTGCAGCTTGAGCAAAGGCCAATTATGTCCGCCGCTTGCTCTTAATGGTGTTTAATTTTGATGCGAACTCCTTCATGTGAACGCGAGTGGAGAGGGGTTGGAGGTGTGTCGCTGGAGGAGAGCCGAGGCTTCAGAAAAAAACAGCAGTTTGTTTTGGTTTCATGCTGGTGCTCAAGGGCGACATCTACTGGATCAGAAAGTCACACGTTCTTCCTTTAATAAATTACGCTGATGACAATGATCCCTTCATACATAAAAATTGACACAGTGAATTAAAAAAAACCTGCTATAAGTGCTGAATCAAAACGTTAAAGGCTGTAGTTTGAACTGCTTCATTCCTTCTGTCTTATTCCTTTAGGTGTTTATTTCCTCGACTCACCGCGGGACCCTGGGTCCCTCTAACTCCGGTTGCTCCCCTGTTCCCCTGCATGCCCCGTGGTCCAGGTGAGCCGGGTGGCCCCTCGATGCCAGGCTGCCCTCGACTTCCCTCCGGGCCCCGTCTACCAGGCTCTCCAGGGTTACCGACCTTTACAGCAAAACAATTTTTTAGTACACATATTACACAGCTGCAGAAGTTTCTGAAACACTGAAATACAAGGTGAGTGAATCAAGTCTGAGCTCACCTCTCCTTTAGCTCCAGCTTCTCCGGTCTCACCCTAAGAACATTTATTAAAAGACAAAGGATGTAAAACAGGGAAATGAGTGAGGCTCTATTGTGAAAACAGGAAATTAAATATATAAATAAAAACATTTGTGTTTGCGCAACAACTTACAAATTCCCCTTTGTCGCCAGGATTTCCTTCATCACCTTGAACTCCCTTTAAAAACAAAAGCAAATCATCCCACAGGTTATAAAACATGCAGCATCAAGACAGAGTTCATATTCAATGTCTGGATTCATACCTGCTCTCCTCTAGGTCCTGCTTCTCCACGCTCTCCCTGTAACAAACCAAACAAGTGTGTTTACTGACTAAAGGGATTGTTGTGAACTGCAGTATTTCAAAGTATTTCCATTAGTCCCCACTAGAGGGAGCTGATCAGCTGTTTGTTCTGTTGTTAAGACAATTGTGTGAAAAGATGTTCCTCTGAATGAGGACTGCGGTCTTGTCTTACCCTCTCTCCTTTCATCCCGGGCAGACCATGAGGACCAGGGAGACCAGGCAGGCCGGGGTCACCTTTAGGTCCCTGTGACGGATAAAAAAACAAACATCTCTCAGCAACGCTCAACAACACATCGGGACTGACAACAAAAGAGTGTCAGCAAATAAAAACAAAGAATAATGTGTAACATCTGCAAACACATTTAAACAGTGTGTAGACAGTGTTTGCACATAAACAGCTCTCTATAATATCACTGCACAACTATGATTCCCTCTATCACACATTCACACCTCTAGCTTCCTGCAGAGCTGCTTGTTTACATTTCAGTTGTTGACTTTAGTTTTAATACACTTCAGTTTGTGAGAACTTAAGTTTAAGCTTTGTATTAGGATTTAGTTCATGTGAGACTACATTTATACCTTTTCTTTTTGTTAGTTTTGTCTGATAACCTGCTGCTGTAACACCACAATCTCTCAGTTTGGGATCAATGTAGCGCATCTATCCATTAAATCTGCAGCAACGTCTCTTTTTAAAGGTTCATTTCGGGGCTTTTTATGTCCTTACTTAGAGAAAGGACAGTTGACAGTCTGAAATCGGAGAGAGAGAGAGAGAGAGTGGGTAACAGATGCAGAAAGGAGCCACAGGTCGGACCCGAAGCCGGTCCACCTGCCTGGAGGACCATAGCCTCCGTATATGGGGTGCGTGCACTAACCAATACACTACCGGCGCCCTGTGCAGCAAAATTTAATCTGCGACATGGTCTATAAAAGGAATATAAGAGATATTGTCCGTTTGCATTGAAATTTGTCTCGCTTTACAAACCCAAAGATCCTCACATCACACGTAAAAGAGTCAAGACAGAACGTAAAAACAGCATAACACTTGAATCTGCTTCTGTGTTATTTAACATTTTTATTACAAGTATATATACGTGTGTGAGTGCCTGAGGCCTTTGTGCATGTAGGAAATAGTGCATTTCATTGTTCAATGTGCAACATGAAGGCATTCTGTCCTTTTCTATTCAAAGTAGCTTTATTAACACACTTTGCAAAAGCGTAATCTTCTATTAATGTTGCTTAAACTAATCAAATATCAGTAGATTTAGACTGTAATTAACTCTGAACACAGCGCAGCGTCCCTTCTTGTTTCTTTTGGACCTGTTTGCATGTGCTCCCCCCCCCACCCCTTTGATCACCGGCCGACTGTCTGAGGAATGTCCACAGAACAGAGAGCTCATTCAGCCCTCTGCTCGCTGCTTCTCCCCTTACTGTGAAAATAGACCTCTTGTGAGATTCAGCCTCGCTCTATTCTCTGAGACATTCCAGTGAAACAACAGCCAGGACAACATATATGGAAATATACTCGGATTCCCTTTTTTCCTGCTTTTAATTATTTTTTATAGTAACAAAAAGGGAAACTATAATTATTGTAATGCACGTTTTAAATATGTATCCTTCTAAATATCGCTCTTCAGACAGAATGTAACCACATGTAACGTTCAGGGCCCTCGCCCTTAATCAGACAGAATGTAACATAATGTAACGTTCAGGGCCCTCGCCCTGCATCAGACAGAATGTAACAACATGTAATGTTCAGGGCCCTCGCCCTGCATCAGACAGAATGTAACAACATGTAACGTTCAGGGCCCTCGTCCTTCATCAGACAGAATGTAACAACATGTAACGTTCAGGGCCCTCGTCCTTCATCAGACAGAATGTAACCACATGTAACGTTCAGGGCCCTCGTCCTTCATCAGACAGAATGTAACAACATGTAACGTTCAGGGCCCTCGTCCTTCATCAGACAGAATGTAACCACATGTAACGTTCAGGGCCCTCGTCCTTTTTCACATATATTTTTACCCATAACTGATGCATTTACACCGGCTGCTAAAGTTTCCAGAAAGTTTTTAAAGATGTATGGACGGTCTCTTCACAAATATTCTTTAAATAAAATCAACTAGTAAAAGTCTAAATTCAATGTCATTGTGCTTTAAAACCCTTATTGTTACAATTATAATATTAAAAGGTGATTTATGAGCTTGAGCCAAGGGCAGCTGGACCGGTTGAAAATCCAGCTGCCTTTAGTTCAAGCTTCAAAATTTCCCATGATCTGGATGACTGAGAAACTAAACAGGCATTAAAAGGTAATGTGTTTCATGAACTTTAATGAGGGAGTAAAGTGATTTTCGTTAAAATAAAGAAACAGGAGAATCACACAGAACAGGGAAAATGACATTATGTGCAAATACGTTTTTTGATAAAGATGAGCTACGACAGGTTCAAAGAAGGTAGAACAAGAATTTGCCGGTGCTAAGGAAAACATAACAGACATGAAAACAATAAAATATGATAAAGATACAAATATAAAAGTGGAAGGTATAACTCACCCTTGCACCTGGCTTTCCGGCTGGACCTAAGGGGCCTTTCACTCCAATATCTCCCTGTTAGGAAGAAGACAAAAGATAGTCAGAGGTTGATTTTAAATTAACTTAACAAAGCTTAATAAACACATTTCCAAGTATGCCAAATACTCACAGATTCACCGATGGGTCCCACAGGTCCCACCTCTCCCTGCTCTCCACGCTCACCCTGTATAGCAACAAAGAAAATGACACAGTGACACGTCAGAGGTGAAAACAGAGGTGTTGAAACACTAATTTAACCCATGCTGCTCTGCTTACTGTTTTGCCGGCAGATCCCATTGTTCCAGAAAGGCCCAACTGACCAACATCTCCCTGTTCAGAAACAACCACATTTCAGATTAGGGGGGGAAACATGCAAGAAACAGCTGGTGATATTTAGTAAATGATAAAGACAACTACCTTAGAGCCGCTCAAGCCTTTCGGTCCGGGTGAACCAGGCAAACCCTAAAAACAGAGAACATTTCTTTATTAGAAACAACAATAAAAAAAGGAATGACATCCTACAACGAAGGAAATATTTCTTGTAGGCAGTGACAGCCCTTAAAATCAACACTTTTCACTTTTAGTAACACTTGAGGCCTCGAGGCGGGAGGCTTAAAAGATAGAAATATATATTGGTTTGAGCTTTTGACCAGAAAAGCTTGAGGTGATGAAAGTGCTCCGGATATTTAAATCGGGTGATGACTTTTACACCTTCTTAATCTTAGTCTTAAAGCTGCCACATGCAGGCAATTCATGTCTGCAAACTGATTCTCATTAGTGCCATTAATTAGACTAATGAAAGATTAGAGGGCTTAGAAACTGAACCCTCGCTTTTCATCCTGAGGAAGAAGTAGATCGCACCATACAGCCTGAAGTGTGGTGGTGTTTTCACACATGCACAAAAGCCCTGAATAGTTCCTGAAATGTTCAGGTAGGGACATTTTTCACTCCGACTTTAACTGGAATTTTCCCGCCAGGCCTTTTGGACATTTTTCACATGAAGTCGGGGTAGGAGGATATGTGAACGCAGCAGAAAATATACTGGAAATATTCCAGGCAAGCAAGTGAGTGGGAGGGGATGATGATGATTTTATCCTGTGACAGGTGCAGGGTTGGTGACTAGAAAAGTTCTGGCATGCATGTGTGAAAACAGCTTGGGTTGGAGGGACGGGATCGTATAGAATGAATAACTTTAAATATCAACCTACAGAAAAAAAGTTTATTGTCTATTGTAAAAAACAGGATTTAAAAGCATCTCTGATTGTTTCTTGTTACAACAATACGGATGTGCAGTTGAGTGAAGGAGTGTGATGTGTGTGCAACGGTGCTTTAAAGCACTCCCGGTGGGTTCACTCAGGTGCGTCCAATCAGTGTCTGTCCTGACAGTTTGGGGTTAAAAGTCATACTCACAGGAAGCCCCTGAAGTCCAACCTCTCCAGGAACGCCTGCCTTCCCAATGCCTCCCTGCAGAGAAACAGACGGTAAAAAGAAATGAAGCTTACAGTCTAAAAACAGCCAAATAGCATTAGCATGACAACACAACAATTACAAGTTTAAAGGCAGAATCAGGTTAGAGAGTGTGCTAGTCAATGCACTGTTCCTATACCATCATTTTTTATCCATATATAAAATAACTGACTTACAAACAGTAGCCTACACAGCCATGATATATCTATATTGCTAACGCTACTGTACTAGCAACGAGCTGCAAGAAGAACTGATTTCAGCTGATGTATCACGAGCAAACAATGCTCACCACATTTTTATGTAAAGCTGAGATGCTTTTTAGTTTGTTAAAGCCGACAAAGAAGCCTTGCATTTATTATCTGTGTTTCTCTGACTCTCTTCACCAGATACAGGATGTCAGGAGGGGATGAAAGCTAAGCTGCGTCTATCATTAGCTTAGCCTGTTTCTGAGGGTTCAGCTTGTTTTAAAGGTTAAGATTTCATAAGTTCACTGAGCTAGGATATTAAAAAAACCCCTTCAGGGTAAGAAGTATGCAGCTCTTAAAAAAATATATGTAGCCTTCATTTTTGTTTTGCATTTATTTTTTTTGTTATGGACTAATGCGTTCGATCTACAGACTGTAAAGAACATGGACGTAGTCTTAGGGACGTCACCCATTGGTTTCTGAAGCGGAACTTCATCCCAGCAGTGGCAGTCACCATGTTGGACATGCCGTCCCAAATTTACTTTTGGTCGACCTACTGTAGCAACAGGAAAAAAGGGTGGAGCTAAGGCTTAAGCCTCCTGGCTGCCAGCATGTCAGTCAGATCAGTGACGCCTCTAATTATGCATAACTCTTATTCTTTGTAAAATCAAAACGGGTGAGTAATTAAAAAACTTGCTACCGTACAGTGTTGGCTAAAAGTGTTTTTGAACCAGGCTGTAAACACATTGATTTCAAATGTCAAAATGGACATTTTAATTGGGTGTTAATTTCACTTCCAGGGATTTTGCAGCCAATCCTTTTTGAATTGCCCCCCGGGGAATAATCCTTTTTTTTTGTTTTTATTGAATTGAAGCCTCAAGTGGACACTTGAGGAACTGTAGTTTTTTGCCACCTCTGCATTGCTTTCATTTTTCAACACTGACAGTGGCTGCTTGGTTAAATCTGAGAGGTTTTTTTATGAGAAGAAGTAGAAATGATGCTCTACCTTTGCTCCAGGCATCCCAGGAATACCCTCACGACCATCCACGCCCGGCAACCCCTGGTGACAAAAGCACAAACTCATGTTTTAGCACATATTGTATCTGATCATTGAAGAAGTACCTGTAGTTATTTTTTAGACACTCACAGCGTCTCCCTTGGGACCTGGCAGACCGGTGATCCCTCTTGCCCCTAGAACGCCCTGAACAACAAAGCAACAACATATTTGTCAGTTTGTGTATCTTGTACAAATTAACCTGATTTCGACAGGGGGCGTTCATGTACTTACCAGTTCACCTTTAGGCCCCGGCTCACCCATCACGCCCCTCTGGCCTTGATCTCCCTAAAAATAATCAGTTAAATCATAAGCTGTTCATGCATTCATGATTTTCTGCAAAAAACAACAACAACAGGGCACTTGTATTGAGGACTCAAACTCACAGTTGCCCCGGCAACACCCTGAGGACCAGGCTCTCCGTCCAGACCTCGAGCTCCCTGCCAGAGAACAAGAATTGTGTTGTTTAAAGAATAAACATTTTAACACACATGTAAGAAGAAGTTGAAGTTATTAGCGATAATGTAAGAAGGGTATCATGAGCACTCACCAGCTCTCCTTTGGAACCCATCATTCCTGTGGCTCCACGTATTCCCTGAGGACCCTGAAATAACAAATGGATCCAACAGGTGCCTCAGTGAGCAGAGAAAAATAACTGAGAAGAACAGATTCTAAGTTAAGGAGGGTTTATACAATACAATGAAACGGTATCTAACCATTGGTCCCTGGGATCCGACCTCCCCTGGACTTCCCTGGTCTCCCTCCTCGCCCTGAGTGACAGAAAAAGAACAACAATGAAACATTTAACTCCCTCACAGGAGTCCATCTCCATCCTAACACACAAACATCCCACTTGATGTTTTTTTTTTTTTAAACCGAGGCTGCTCCTATGAGCTGTTTTGTAATTAGAAACGCATAACACAACCGTTTTTAATTGATTGCATGGGGGGCAGAGGCAGATGATTTAACTCCAAATTACTGTTCTCCTGCTTCGCAAATTACAAATAATTGATGTGCCGACTCTGAAGGACCTGAGGGGGGTATTTCCATTAAGACAGGCAGCGGTTCTGCCCTGAGGCTGTGCAAGTTTTTCTTTTATTAAGAAGGCAATTTCTTCTGTTAAATATGTGTATCACAATTCACCATTAAGAGATATAAACAGTGCATTACTCATGACCAAATACTGCCCATTAAACAGACCGGGAGGGAATGGAACGGTTCAGCATTTGTTTACATCTGAAAGTAGAAAGAGTGTTTTGTTCTGCTTGTTCGCCCCACTTTAAAAATGAATTAAAGCTCCAGTGAGGAGTTTTTAGCTGGTCATGAAACAGACTGAACTTATTATGGGTGTCACTTTATGACCTACAAAAGCAAACAAGATCATCAGGGATGAGACATTGTTTTTTTATTGACTGAAGCAGGGTATGTGGCAGACAGTGATGAAGTGAATACTGACAATGTTTCCCCTTTGTAAAGATTCTCAATGTGAGATTAATGTGACTGCTAAAAGAAAGTGGGATGAGATTTTTTGTTTCAAACAAAAAAGTTCCTCACAGGAGCTTTAATATAACAGAGACAATGAAGAAGGAAACTTCTGCTCTTAAGCCACTCCTTAGATGTTCAAAATATAATTCAGTGGACTCCTTCACACAGGCAGGGTCCAAAGAAAGTACTGGAGCACACAAATTACTTAAAGGCTTTATATGCAATTTTTCACATTTAAATGTAATAGAAATCAAGTATATCCTCTGAAAATAACTCTGTGAGTCATGACTGTCTACAATGGGTGTAACACCCGAGTCCCACTGTCTGTGATGTTTTCAGAGTTTTCAGAGTCCTATCTTCACTTTGTTTACATCGCCCGGACGGCCGGCTGACTCCTCCCCTTGAGTATAAAAGTTGTTTAATTGAGGGACTAGAGAAAAGAAGAATAACATACTGTACTCACTGCTTAACTGTGTTTCTAGATCACACTCATTTCAGGTAAATTTACATGCAGTGTGAAGATACCAGCATAATAAAGATCGCTAGCATTAGCATGCTAACACAACAATGCAGCGCGAGTTGTTTTGGTTTCATGCTGGTGCTCAAGGGCGACATCTGCTGGATGAAAAAATCGCATATAAAGCCTTTAAGGGAAATTTGAGATGCAGTGTGTCAAAACATTTGTTCTTTGCACATGAATAAATTTGCCTTCAGTGATTCGTGTGCTCCAGTACTTCCCTTCATAGCACAGACAATGATTCTGAAAAAAAGTCCCCGGAGGTTTAATCGGAGGTTTAAAGAAAGGTTGAAATTGGCTTTGTTTATTGTCTGATTTGTATCATGCTGATATAAGTTATATGTAGTCATGTGTATCTTTGTCTGTGCTCATTTTAGACACACGTGCTGCATGTTTTTGTGTGTACCTCCAAATGTGCTTCTTTTGTTTTACATACTTTATTAATCCCTGAGGGGAATTCTGGTTTAACACTTTGTTATTGAGAGACATGCTTCTAGCACACGTAGAGTACACACATGCACAAACAGGAGCTGTGGACAGGCATTAGCGGAGAGAGAGCTGTCTGGGGTTCACTGCCTTGCTCAAGGGCAGTACTCAGGAAGTGACCTGCCAATGACCTTTTTAAGCTACCAGACCAGCTTCCATAATTTGGTCCACAATTGAACCGGCGACCCTCCAGTTACCAACCAAAGTCCTTACAGACTGAGCTACTGCTGCTCCGAAAGGTAAGGTGCAATCTTTGAAATTTCAATATTCCTCTAGGATAACTTTAAAAAAAAAGGGGTTGCTCATATGTTCTATTCCAGAAAGCGACCTTCGGGGGAAGAATCAGGGGTGTTAGCAGGGCATTCATAAATTCAAAGGTTGGGTTTTTATTTTTATATATTTTGTATTTTAATGTCTTAATTTTGTTTTGTGTGCTTCTTTTTTGTCTTGTTTCACCATGTAGGGCACGTTGTGTTTCTATTTGTTTGCATGATGCTCTATAATCAAACTTGTTTTTCCTTACATGTTTGAAAAAATTAACTTTCAACCTTAGACACAACATCTGCTTGTTCTGTTGTGAACGTTGAGTTCAAATATGTGAATTTTCGAGCAGAAAACAGGCAGAAGGTTCCCTCAAATGAAACCTGCAGTGAAGTAGAAAAATCATTCTTGTGGACGGGGCGCAGACTGACAGTAAATCACACCCTGGCATGGGGTGATAAAAGGAGATGGGCCCAGACTCATTTCCATTTATATAGTGCGTAGACACATTACAGAGAGAGGGCAGTTGAGCTTAGACATCGTTTCAAATGAATCATCCTCCGTGCATTACGAGGAGTCCCGGGCTTTACATAAAGGAATGTATCACTTCCTCTTGAAACGGAGCAGCCGAATAATAACTCGTCTCAAAGGCGCTGGGAATCCCTTCTTCACGTTTAAACTATGCATCATTTATTTCTGATGTGGAACGCTGTGGCGTGTGAGACGCTTGTTGAGGGGAAATTTATGTTTTAAGTGATTATTTTCGCAGTTTAACGTTGGTTTAAATTCACACTGTTGTTGTTGTTGTTGTGGATGTTTCATAACATTCCTCACGTCTAGAAATATTCAGCTTTGGGTTGAAAATAAGTTAAGTTCCTCTTTAATAAACACATCTTACCTTGTGCCCTTGTTTCCCAGGTTCCCCTGCTTCACCTTTTACACCTTTGTGGCCCTGAAAACACACAGACAATGAATAGAGGCGACATTAATCATACGTTACTTTGCAACAATTAAGGCAGTTTAGGTTTTGAAGAAATCAAGCTGCTTCTCACCTTCATGCCAGGAAGGCCAGGATGTCCAGGAGTCCCAGGTGGACATGAGTTTGTACACTAAACAACAAGGTAGAAGTCAGACAATATTCTTGATATCACGTATGCAAAAAGAAATAACGAACAAACAAAAAATCTCTGGAAAAAAAAAAAATCTTTACCAGGTCGGCACTGCCCAGCATTCCAGCTGCACCCTGACGTTCAGAGAAAACTCAGGTTAACACTTTTTGTATCGGCATTATTCAAACACTGGCACAGACTAAAAACAGATGCACAGCTGTCTTAAAGAAGCAGCCTCTAGTTGGACACTTTCATATTCATCTTGACAAATAATGTTTAAGCAAAATGCACCTTAAAATATGCACACTCATCTCTTTTCAGAAACCGCTGAAGATGCGACATAAATGCGCTGTGCAGCTGTAGGTCTACTCTAAGTCATGCAGGTCTAATTGTAACACTTTTTAAATTGTACATAGGTCTATATTCTTATTCCTGCACGGGTTATTAACATTTTCCTTATACAGGTCTATATTTTAATTGTACAGGTTTAATTTTGATCTCTGTATGGAGGGACAGCGGGTGTTGTTCGATGTAACAAATGTTTTATGTTATGTGTGTCTTTGTGATTTGCTACTGGATGCTTTGAATTTCTCTCAGGAACAACAAAGTATCTATATATCTAACTGATTTCATGACCTCTACTCTGGTGAAATATAAATGAAGCGTTACTTACTCGGGGCCCTGTTGTTCCGCGAGGTCCTTGTGGTCCTCTCACACCCATGGCCCCCTGAGGAAAGACAAGAAAGGTGTCAAAAAATAAATAAAAAACAGAGAGAATACCTTCATCTGGGCGCTCCTTAACAGTTGGAGACTGAAGATTTCTAGTTTTTAATCGTATTAAATATGACAAGAGTCCTGGCAAAGATACATTTATGTTTTCAGCGCCCTGACGAAGGCCGTTTGGCTGAAACACGTTGGCGTTTTCTACTCTTTTCTTTTCCTTACTACTTTACTCTCTCCCACGCTAGTGTGTCTGTAACCGCTTCAGACACCACTCCTCTTCTACAGGGAGGTAAGCTAGTTCACTGTTGTATTACCAGATATAACCCGACACACAGCGAGCACACCAGCTTCCATTCCTTGTTTTAGAAACATTTATTATGTGTACAGAATTCAGCTTGATGAATGACGCTGCTTTATGGACTTGAACATGAAGTTAAAGCTCCTGTGAGGAGTTTGTAGCTGGTTGTGGAACAGACTGAGATTAATATTGATGCCTCTGTATGACCCACGGATGCAAACGAGATCCTCAACAACGAGACTGATCATTTCTATACAGTTTTATTTGATGTCTGAATCTCCTGCTGAGGGAACGCTGTCAGGACTGTGTTGCTCCAAAAAGTCCTGTACTGTGTATATGAGGAGACTAAATAGATGAGCTACCAACACTGGGTTGTCTAACTATTAAAGGGACAATTGTTTTGCATTGGAAGATTCGAACTCTGAGCTGTTTCAGTTTGAGCAGCTGGTCGGAAGAGTTTATTGACTTTATAGTAATGGAACGAGCTGCAGCCAAATGAATGTTTCCTGACCAGGGACAAGAGGGGTTGTGGGATACAGTAAGGTCTCCTTACCAGATTAGATGTTTTTACTTTTACTATTATTTTGTGATGATCGGTCATATTAACATTTTTCAAGCATCCTTTAAGTCAGTGGTTCTCAACTGGTGGGTCGGAACCCAAAAGTGAGTCTCAGAGCTGTTTTCAGTGGGTCGCAAAACTGTGGCAAAAAGTCTGTGAAGCGTTTTTTTTTTTTAACAGATTGTTTCTTTGTTCTGTCATGCTTTGTACCGTCTGAGGTCCAAACTGCACAATTTTTTTATCAAAAGAAATCTGATTGAAAAATATTAGAAATTTGGGTGGTGATTTTTCATATAGGCGGTGGAGGGTCCTGAGGCTCGACCAGTTGAGAACCAGAGCTTTAAGTATTTATTAGGATGAGATAAGATTAACTTTATTGTCAAAGTGGGAAATTTGCCTTTTCCTTCACAGAGCTCTGATGCAGAAACAAATATCAAAGTAGACAGTAAACAGAATTTAAATCAGTAAATGTCTGGGTCATAAGGTACCCAGAGGGAAGATGAAATTCAGAAAATGTTAATTTATGTAGATTTTTTAAGCATATAATCAATTTCTAAATATTTTTAAAATGTGAGTCCCTGTGTCTTTAATTTCATGACACATTTTTGAATGTTGAATGGATAAAACATATTATTTATTATGTGTGAACAGAGTTTGTACTATGTTTTTTTAATGTTTAATCATAAATTCATAAGGACTGAGTTAGTTAACGCAGCAGAGAGTTGGCTTCAGATAGACAAACTTCACTTCAGCCCACACTGACCTTCACTTATTTGATATCATAACCATCATAAAAAGATGAAGACATCTTTTCTGCCCCTGAAAGGTGCTGGTATACACCCACCTCAGTATTCACGCTTGTATATTAGATGCCTCAGTGTGTTTCCTGGTTATAATTTAACACAGAGTAACACTATTTCTTTGCCTCTACTCACAGGTGGTCCACCTTTTCCACCTTCTCCTGTAAGTCCTCCAGACCCGGGTGGTCCCTGTTCAAAGACACATTTCAAGGTACTCAATATCAAGTGATTTATGATTTAAAAAGAACTAAAACTTAAAAAAAAAAACTCTGATTTAGTGGCTCATGACTTATTTACTTACCGGGGGTCCATCTTGCCCAACACCCTAAAGAAAGACATAAATTAAAAACTCAGTGATCAACGTATTGAACTTGAACAAAAGAAGATTTCTAGATTTGGTCTTTTCAGATGTTCATGGTTGACCTTGTGCTTCAACTAAAGAGTAAATATTACTCACAGCTGCTCCACGAGGTCCAGATTTTCCAGGTTCCCCCTAAAAGAGGACGAATCAAACATTAAAAACACAAACAGGTGTTGATCAAACTGAAATACAGCCGGTTACAGTGAGCTATCTGAGCCTGCAGACGCTCCCAGTTAACATTCCTCCAGCTCATCATCACATGACTGTGCCGGCCGGGCACACTTGACCCGGCAATGTTTCCTCTAACGAGAACCGATGTTGGAGCTTCATTCCCCACGGAGATTACACAGAAGACCCGCAGGATTAAGTCTCATTTGTCACGAGGAATTGGTTTATGCACTGCAGCTCTCGTTTGCCCCGGCCAAAAACAACTGGACAGCAGCTTGGCACGCGTTTCACTGACTCTGTCTCTGAAGCAGGAAGGCAAAAAAGGCTCATTAGTCACTCACTTTCTGTCCGAGGGGGCCGTCGGGTCCGGGGTCTCCAATAGGGCCGGTCAGACCCTGCAGAGAAGAGACAACATGCTTAAATAATACATCATGACAAACCTCCAGGCGCTGTAAAACCTGTGTGTACAACTCAAAGAACGAAGGTTTTATTCATACTTTTGTTTTCTATTGGCATCCAGAATGAATACAAAAACAAAAAACATTTAAGTCATGCCTGTTTTTATCATTTTAAACAAATTAGAGTGCACTAAGTAAAGACACAAATGAGCAAGTAGAAGAAACTAAATATACCTAAGAGATGTTCAAACATAGATCAAAACAAAACAACCTTTCATAGATTAAACATATAGAATCATGCACTTTTTAATTCTGCCATAAAACTCTGGTAATAAAAAGTTTGTACAGAACACAAGAGCTAACTTCAAAAAGTCTAAATCTGAAGGTAGAGATGGTGTGCATCTCTAAAAATGTGTTCATTTAAGAAGATTTTAACCTACTATTTGAACTCTTTGTTTCACCTTTTTTACCCAGAAGTCAATTCTTTCCCCCTCCTTCATGTGATACATCACCATAACACAATCGTACATCAGTGGGAGGAGTCACTCATGTGTTCATAAGTGGGTTTTACTGAACTACAAAGCCCACCTCTAAAGTGTATTGAATATAAAGTGCACTACAGTTTCATTTTCAAGAGTATAAGTGTGATATTTGCACACGTCATGACGTCCCAGAGAGCGTGTTCAACTTCACAGGCAAACAAAAAAAAAAAAAAAAAGTCAGCACCAGGGGCAGAGGGCAAAACTCTACAGACTGTAAACCAGGCAGCGAGTTACATTCCTCTGTCTCATTTTAAACAAGCGCACTGAAAGAAGTCATTCCACACCGTTTTGAGGATTCTCAACAGGAGATACCAACTACAGCCAGGCCACAAAGCCGCCATTGTTTTCCTGAATCCTGCTGGATTCGACAGGAAATAACTCAAACAGAAACATTTAGTAAATATTTTAAAGGGAACACACTCTGAATGAGTGTTCAAATTAAACTGAACTCATTAGAGTCTCTCTCTGTCAGTCTGTCATCAGCAGCAGTTTTATGCTGGATGTTTTTCTAACCCTCCTTTAAACTCTAACTGGAGCAGAGTTAATTACACTCGGGCCCTGGTTCTCCCTGTTACAAAGGAAATTTGGATTCCTGCTTAATAAATTCCTCACATTTTTTCCACACAAAATCTCAAACATCATTGGTCACTTTAAAGTCTTATAAGTGCAATTAATAACCTTAACAGAGGGATAATCCCTGCAGATTTCCTCCCCCCTTGAAAACACTTTATTGTGTTGATTCCACTGATTCTGAACATATCTGTACCATGACATGTATTTAAATATATATAACAGATCAAATATTGAGCACTCACATCGTTCCCGGGAATTCCAGGTAGTCCCGAAGAGCCCAGTTTACCCGCATCTCCATCAGGCCCCTGGAAACAAAGGTTTCACATACACATGAGTTAGTGAAAGTGAAAAGCCGTTCAGTGAAACGCTGTTGAATGCATCATTTTAATATATGTTATTAGAGGTTATAGTTACAGGAAGACCCTCCTCGCCATCGTCTCCTCTTTCCCCCTGAAACAAAGACATGCAAGGTGAGCCAAAAGGGAACTATCTGCAGAGTTTTGCAGCACATAATCTGGACATTGTTACAGAGAACTTACAGCAACGCCATCAATTCCCGGGACACCTGCAGGTCCAGGAGGGCCAGCAGGTCCTTGACTCCTCTGGGGGAAAGTAGTGATAATACAATGAGAAAATATTAGCTTTAATATTTGATACAAAGATACCAATGGTGGCTTTTTATTTTGTTTTGCATACTGCTACACAGATATGACAAAAGACAACAGGTGCACTGCCTTTTGCATGTTGCCAGAGGACAAGACTGTCTTTGGGAGAAACTGGAATAGCTAACAGACTATTGAGCTGATTTCTGATTGCAGAATTGATCAGCAATGAGACAACACTTTGCAAGAAAAAAACGAGACACTTAACAAATGAGACACCTTGACTTTTTGTGTTGATGCAAACTTAATCTACTCGAAACAAACAATTCCAGCATCTGCTTTACGTGACATTTAGCATTCTGCACAAGGAGATCACTCACCTGCACCTCGGTCACATCCGTCTACAAAGCCAAAAAAAAGAGAACACCACATAGAAAGAGAGAGAAAGAGAAAAATAATGAGTCTTACTTGAGCGGAGCAGATAAGGACAAGCTGCAGGAGCAGGAGCAACAGTGGCCCTCTAACACTGGGGGCCTGAGCCATGATCTCCACCCGTGGAGCAGGAAAGGTTTTAGAGTAGTCCTTTCTCTGGGATTTGTTGGGCTGAAGGAGCCCCCGACAAAACAAACCCAACTGAATCTGCTTCAGCTATCTAGACCGTCCGAGGTCCCCAGAACCATCAGGGGGCTCATGCATATTCATGCTGATGTTTGGTTACAGGACGGGATTGGAGGGTTTGCAGGGAGGGAGGGGGGGGGGGCATCAAGGGGAGGGGCCAATGCGCAGACAGCACCAATAGGTAGGAGTAGCGGGTTATTTAACCTCTGCTGACCCCACAAGAGTTCATTCAGAAGTATATTTTACTTACAACAGTGCTTTTACGCACACAACCTGGATGCTGCTTGATTTCATTTCTCTTTCCATTAAGAGCAACTTAGAATCGTCATGTTAAACCACTACTTCACTTGAGTTCTGACAGCTTAATTTGTGTTTTCGTTCTTACCGATGTCCTGGCTGGGAGATCACGACAAACGTCCGCCCGGGCTCGCGTCACGTCACAGTGAATCATCATCGACTGGAGTTCAAACTTCATTAAAAAAAAGATGAAAAATAATAGATTAGCAACATAGCTCCAAAATAGACTTACAGCATTCAGCTCTTATCCTGATTTGTTGAAGTTTCACTCTTCTATATTTGGACTTCTCCCTGAGATTATCGGGTTTCTATAAATGATGAAGTCTGGATATTCTGCTGCGCACGATAAACGCAGAAAACGGGCAATGAGTTAGTTACAATCAGAGGCTCACTATCTAACAATTGTATGGACTTTAAACGCTTAGTTGAAAGTTAAAGTGTGGTAAACTCTGGCACATGTGAGTCCCCTAGATTAAGACATGATTTTGTGCGTAATTGTGCTCAACAAAAGGCGCCTGGATCTATGAAAAGCATGCACCCTGACCCATGTGGTACTGCAGAACGGTTTAGCTTGTGCGCAACATATTCTTCACCAGGCCCCTGCAACAAATTCCACATATTTGTCAGTAAAGCCATGAATGGAGAGGCAGCAGACGTAAACAACAGACACACCAAACAACAGGATGGTGAGAGAACACAGGGAATCCTAAACCTTTGCTTGCAGGAACAGAAACTCCTTTTGTCGCCACACGTTTTCAGGCATCTCATGCATTTAGTTAAGACAGCAGTAGGCTCGTTGTAATTCAATAGAAATATAAATTATCACAAAATGAAATGGTCACTTTATGTTATCAATTGGTGCATTCGTATAATACAAACTTGCGTCGTTTTCAGGGGAACTTTGGTTGCTCTAAAAGTTGGTTAACTTTAATTTCAACATCACATGTCTTGCTTGAGTTTCCACTTTCTCAGGGGCGTCAAATATTGACCCGTCACGGCCCCATGCGTGTCATACAGACCCACAAGGAAACCTTAAGTGGTATACGGAAGGGTCTTTCAGCTTTCTGTAATGTAAACTCGTTGCAGACGTCACCATATGCGTTTTTTTATGATACGCAATTACGCATAGGACAGCACATGGGGGCCAGGACGAAAACGCTCGCGTGGAACGTACCGGAACTGGCACCACTGGGTTGTCCTTGAGCTTCCCAATCAACGTGAAGCCATCCAGTCTGACTTTTTGTCGCGGCTGCACAGTTTGAGAACCGACCATGACGCAGTCCACGAACAGGGTGACAGAGCGCGTGCTGACGTTGAGCAGGACTGTGTGCCATTGGTCGTTGAAAAGAGAAGACGCGTCGCTGAAAACGACAGTCTGCCTCCTGCTGCCCTGCACCGGGAAGGTAAACTCCAGAGCCTTGGACTCCCCGTTGAGTCTGACGGACAGCTGCTCGTTACCGTTCACATCCTGCATCTGCCAGATATTCCACTTCTTATCGATGGTGCTGCCACTCATTCGCAGCACGGACACAAAGGCAAACTCCTCCGGAAGTCCCAGGGGATACGCTGATCTGGAACAATCAAACATATATTATTAAATCCCCCAGCTTGGAAAGTCGATATCCAAGAAGAGTTAATTTGATAGTATACTGAGCTTGTATATGTTATAAAAACAGAATAAATGTGATGGTACAGATAAGTCCAGTCTGTGATGTTCAGGACCATGGACAGGGTAGATGGCGCTATGCCAGCTCAACCACTAGATGTCAGTGTTCACTCGTACACAAACCCCGCATTGGGACGCCCCCGCAGCTTACCTTGTGTTGATCCTGAAGTTAAACGCTGGGCCTATTTGATAGGCAACATGTTGGGGAGATGACCCAGGGACCTGTTTAACTGTCCCTCTTCTTGCCAGCTCTGCAATGTGGAACTGGGACATGATGTAAAATCCTACATGTACAGGGGGTAAAAAAAACAACAACAACAGGAGAATCTTCTTAGATGTTATTTGAGACTTTGGGTGAGTTTAGTATTGTTAATATCATTATTTGGAGACAAAGCTCTTGCTGTCAGTCATTGTTCTTTTTGGTATTTCTATCACAAGGCGATTCTATTTTAGGTTCACACACATGTAGAATCTGCATGCTGTTTAAAGGTTTGCCTGAAAATATATATTTCATAAAGGAATGGTGTTGCCAGTTGTTTTCTAGTATAGGCAAAGGAACTGTGAATCAGAATAAAAAAAACAGAGAATGCTTAGTTTTTTGCAAATTCACCTGGGAAACGATCCTCCCCGACATTGATCTGAGGGCACATGAACTGCTGCTCCCCATGAATACCAACTTGAGATGAAAATCTCACAGCTGCAAGATGGAAACAGAGAGCAGCCTGCTTTAGTAGTCGAAGAGAGAGAGAGAGAGAGAGTGTGTGTGTGTGTGTGTGTTTGTGAGTATGCGTGCATGTGCCAGTGTGGAAAGGGAATAAAAGCTCAGTGTTTGGAAAGCTGCTCCACTGCCTTGAATAAATATTAGGCCATCTCTGACTGTTTGTGGTTTTCCTCTTTAACACTTAACTTCTACATTTTCCTGTTTTAACACATCTGGCCAGGAAGTTAAAGTTCTTTATCACGTTGGAATAAATGGTCCACATGCAACAGATCCTTCCTGTCTCTATTTTTTCACTGGGGGTGCCAGCATCATATTCAGGAATCTATCAATGTTCAAATGAACTACACAGGGTTGATACTGTATAATAGTACTCTGACGTTTAGTCATTGTTGTAATTCTTGATGCACTTTGTTCATATAATAGCATTTAGTGCACAGCTGAATCCATATAACATGCAGGCACACAGCTGGACTCCTTAAGTGCTGCTACGCAGAAACACACAAGGATACATCTCATAAAAAATAGATAAGAGTGAGCATGTGCATGGAGAGAACACAGCAGTGTTTTCACATTATATGTATGCTATAGAAAAAAAGGGCACAATATCCAGAGGAAAATATGCCAACACAAGCGTGCCAAGCATATTTGCAGCAAAACATCACACTGGTTATTCTGCTAAGGAAATACAGATTTACTTTGTTTAACGCACCAACCTTTCCTCCTTTGATAATTATCTCATCAATTGCACCATGCAGTAAGGAAGTCTACTTACACTGAGCGTGACGCCCTGTGCAAAGACATTGTGGGATCAGATAGCAGCAGCACAGAGAGTACAGGAGGCTGATTCTGAAATGCAATCAGAAAAAGACAACCTAAACATGCATTCTGAGCAATACATTGATGTATTGAGCATTAACTGCATGTGAAATTAATTACAAGGTCACTATTAAGTAAACAATTTACCTTTTTACTTCTCCCATGTCATAGCTTGTTCTTGAAATGAAAAAAACAAAACACCTACTGCTGGATATTTCTTGCAGCAGATTGGCTTCCAGGAGAGAACAAGACCCCCTGATAGATGCTCCCTCGGCAGGAGTGAAACACTTCAGGTCACACAGTCAGGGGTCTCTCTCTTTTAAAGGCCTCACTGTTGTCGTTTATTTGGGGGAGGGAGTCAACAGTCTCCACAGTGTCAACTTTACACTCCTGTGAAGTTCTCCTGCACCAACTTTGGATTTCATGTTAATGTTTCCTCGATGACACAATCTTGGTGTCTTCTGATTGTTTTTTACTGTCATGATTTTCTGCCAAAAAAAATACTTCAAGTAAACGAGCTGTGGAAAAAAACTGTGGTGGCTTTATTTGTGGCTTCAAATGTGACTCCGTGGTGGCTTTATTTGCCCACCACTCCAATCTACATTCTCCGTAATCTCTATGGTTGCACAGTATTCAAAAAGCATTATGTGCAGTGCTGTGCAAACTGAAACTCAAGAGCCTGAGGCAATTCAAGCTGAGATGCCGGATGAAAAGAAAAAAAAAAATCTCCCTTTAAGTAGCACATCCTGACATAATGTTTATTTTTTATTTTTTTCCGGATGTAATGATGCAAAAATCCATTGAAATATCAAAATGAAATTCTTGATTTCCTGGTTGCACATGGAATTATTTTTTAAAAATGGAAATGTTAGTGCAGGAAAATAAGAAATGAAACTGCTGATTATCCACTCATGTCCCTTCTTTACATTTCCTTCCTACATTTTGCCCCGTCTAACTTGCTGTTAGTGATGAATGGATGGTATCTGAGCATCGTAATGTTAAACTTCTATTCTAACACGTACTATAGAGAGGTTATATGTTTGTTGGCCAAGTTAAGTCATTCCTCAGGAAGTCTACAAACAACTCTTGGAAAGTGTTTTTTTAAAGCACTTTTTTGACCTTGTGCTGCTCTCAGTGGTGGACAGCAGCAAAGTAAATCTGTACTTAAGTAAATGTTTTGACTATCTGTTCTTAAGTGGAGTAATTTTTATTGGGGAAACTTTTACTCTGCTACATTTGAAAGACAAGTATCCTACTTTTGACTCCACTGCATTTCCATGAATGTTCCTGTTACTCACTACATTTATTCTTTTTTTGTTGTTGTTGCTAAAATCTAGTAATATGCTGCACAATTGCATAGTTCAAGAGGCCGTGTAATGTAATAGTGTAATATGTTCTGTAAAATCTAGTTCCTGTTAACATGGTGTGGGGAAAGTGGCAACTGGCAACACTGTGGGTTGGTGTATAAAGAGCCTTTGTATGTGTTGTTGAATGTGTCTGTGTCACTTGTTTTGTATGTTTTGTGTTGGACCCCCTTCGAAAACGAGACGATTCATCTCATCAATACATTTACAATTTAAGTAGCCTACTCCTGTAGTTTAACTCTAGTAAGGATTTCACTGAGCAAATTGCAAATGTATTGGAGTAATATTGGATCAGGATTTTCTATACTTTTACTCAAATCATGACGTTGTGTACCTTGTCCACCACAGCTGCAAAATATATATTCAAAACGGAACAATTTGAATTTACTCAATTTAAAACTATTGTATGATGCTTCATGATTAAGTATGGAGGCCTTGAAGTCCCGAAAAGTATAAAAATGTTGTGTGCACAAGTTAATATAATTATATCAAATTAAATTAATAATATAACAATATAGCCTAGACCAGGGGTGGGCAACTGGCAGCCCCCATCAACCCTCAACGTGGCCCTCAGGTTAATTTTTTACACATCAATTAATTGAAAACATGAAGAAAACATGATGAAATCTGCCATGAAATCATGAAAACCAGAAATATGTCCATAATAATGTTTGATCACTGGTATATGTTGAGTTAATCTGAGACATAATCGACTGTAATCGTTTTTGTACCTACAATTTGGCCCTCTGGCAGTGAGAATTAAATGAATGTGGCCCTTGCTGTGACCGAAGTTGCCCATCCCTGGCCTAGACCTACCAGTAGCGGAGTAATACAAATATATTGTGCGCATTATTTTATTTTTATTTTTTTTAACTTTTTGGGATTTTAGGAGTTAAAGATAAGATAAATATAAACTTTATTGATCCCCATGGGGCAAATTTCTTTGCATTACAGCAGCTCAAGAAAACAGGAAAAAATGAATAAAATTATTAAAAATCAAAATCAAAATCAAACATATGTACATCATTTAAATAAAGGCAGAACAAATACAATAATAGAATAGAATAATACCAGGTAACCAGTTCCGTAATTAAGTCAAGAATATATAGGCCTAGACATTATTTAAAATGTTTGACAGCTCAATATTATTCACCCTCCTCTTTAATGGGTATTTTGAGAGTTGCAATTCTGCCCTTAAACTGCGCCTCTGGTATGTGCATGACCGCGCAGTTAGATGTGCGCGAACGGGGCAGCAGAGCAAGAAGCAGAGCCTGCTGTCAGAGCGTCAGCAGCGGTTAGCTCGATGGCTAACAAACAGCAGCTGAGCGCAGAGATTCACGGCCAGTTCACTCAGTGTAACGTTGTCGTTTAAATGGGCGTTTCTCGCGTAACGTTATCAAGAACCAGGAAGTGTAATTTTCTAACACAGTGGTGTTTTCTGTCGGCTCTCTGCGGTGAACGGGGGACGAGAGGACTGGATAGCTAGCTCCTGTTAGCCTGCCAACGCAATGGTAAGTAACTGTTAGCTTTAGCTTTAGCTGCGCGTTTAATGTGACGCGGGTTGCTAACGTTACGCTAACTGGAGACAGACCGTGAAGTCAGACTTTCTTGTTGTATGTTATTTCATCAATGTCTCGGTTAGTTTCTGACCTTTTTTCTGGGCCCCTTTGGTAAAATGTTGCTTCCCACCTGTAACATCATTATTACCTTTATAAACCGAGATTCTGCACATTCACCGCCTCTCTGTCTGTAAGGCATCAAAACCCTGTTGCTAAGTTTAACAGCTGTTTTTAAACTGCTCTGCGTTTTATTTGTCCGGGGGGGGGGGTTAGCTATTACCACAACGCTTTGTCAAGGCCCGGTTGTATTTATTTATAATCACACCGACGTAGGATGCTTTAATTTTTACTTTCTCTGAGAGAGATTTGTTGACTCAAGTGCCAGTTTCTTATTTCCTTATCTGCGCCTCAGAGATTGGTTAGTATGAGAGGCAAAAAAAATGACTAAAGTATAAATAACTAAATAAATGTTGGGAGAAATGCATAAATAAATAAATAAATAAATGTTGGGAGAAATGCATAAATAAATAAATGTTGGGAGAAATGCATACAATAATTTATAAATAATAATTAAATAAATGCATCAATAAATATATAAATGCTGAAAACAATACATCAATGAATAAATAATAAATACACTTTGTTAATGAAAAAGGCTATTTATATATTTTTACATGTATTTATTCATTTATTAGCATATTTCTACAGTTATCAATCAAACTTTATGTATATAGCACCTTTCAGACAAATTAAATTGCAGTTCAAAGTGCTTAACTTAAGAGTGCAGAAAAGTTGTTGACAAAAAGTAGTTTATAAAATCATTGAGAGACCAATGCACACCAATAAGAATTAAAAAATATGTATAAAAAGAAAAGAAAAGAAAATACGACACTTAAAAGCAACAAGATATTAAAGTAAATACATAAGAGGAAAATATTTAAAATTGTCATAGGCTAAAAAAGATAATACAGTAATGTTAAGATTTGAATTGATATAAAAGCCAGACTGAATAAATGAGTTTTAAGGCTGCGTTTAAAAATCTCGATATTCTGAGCTCCTCTCAGACTCTCAGGAAGGTTTGTTCCACAGTCTCGGAGCGTAACAGCTGAAAGCAGCTTCACCAAAGGTTTTTGTTCTGCTCTGTGGAACAACTAAGAGAGAGGAACTGGAGGATCTGAGGGGCCGTACTGGTTCATAAGCTAAAATCATATCTGATAGGTAGTCTGGTGCAAGGCCATGTAATGCTTTATAAACTAATAAAATAATTTTAAAATCAACACGAACACTATTCATGTTTTTATTTATTTATTTATTTATACTTTAGTCATTTTTTGTCCCTCATAGGTTAGGCGTCTTGTGGCATCTTGGTTTGTTTTTGCGTTTTGTTAGATGAGGACGGTCGGTAAATTGAGTATGTATCGCCTTTTAAATACTTAGTGTTTTTACTTGATGAGTGATGATCAGCTTGTCTGTCAGGGAGCACATTCAGCATGTTACTAAAAAAGCTAAATGTTTGACTGGGATTTTATTCCAGAAACAAGTCCTGCGTTTCCTTTTATTTACAAAAAGAATCCACCTTTTTATCTGTCCTTGATTAGAACAGTGGAGGTTCCCATCTTTTCTTCATTGGAGCCCCTCTAAAATTAAGATCAGCGTGGTTTTACTGATAATATCCCATCAGAAAATGCCTACACGTATTCTTACCAAAAGACCTCTCCATAAACTACCCAGGAAGTGTTTTTAATTTACTTAAGTTAATTTGTGTAAACTAATTTTGACAACCTCAGAGCAGAGAAGGCCACACGCCTCCTCTCAGGGCCAGGTTGGGAACCAATGATGTATTGTACATGAATGCCTCTGCTCAGAGTCTTGGTAGGCTGAACATTGGTGTATCATGGTGCAATGGGATCACAAATTGTGGATTTCTTACTCATCATTGTGCTTTATATTGTAGAGCCAGCTGGACTGATTTATGTAGGCTACACGCTGGCTTGCACATTGGTGTATCTTCATTTACAAAGCTATTCTGGGAAAGATTCTGGACTACCTTTCCTCTCTGTTAATCCTTGAGGGACAGAATCCTCAACCTTTGTTTGTTTGACTTTGTGCAAATTTGTCATTCTCAAAGTTAGAACTGAGTTGGGAAAGAAAGCTTAAAGCTTTTCTGCACCTTTGAACAGGCTACAGTCTGCTGACAAAACTTTACCCTGAATGTATTTAAATCCTCCGTTAATCGTTTGAATCCACTGTTTTAGCTGAAGATTTGTATGATTGTTTTTTCTTATTATGTAATGTGTACTGTACGAGTTTGAGTGTTTTGATGTTGAAAGTTTCAACTGTGTGATGTTTCTATTCTTGGCCAGGTCTCCCCTGAAAAAGAGATCTGTAATCTCAGTGTGACTAACCTGGCTTAATAAAGGTAGAATAAAATACAAATAATTAGCCAGGATTTTAAGAAATGTAGCCAACATGTTACAATGAATTTTGCAGACATTGTTTAAGAACCAGCTTGGATGAAAGTAAACAGAATCACCTATTTCCAAGAAAAATCATGAACATTAGCTGCATCTGGCCAATTCTGAAAATACAAGACTCAAGTAATACATCAAAATTATTCATTTCTGACTCTCCCGAGGTCATACCTAGATTTCCCCAGAGTTTGGGTTGATTAAACGCATGGGCGGCTGTGGTAGGGTCGGTCGTCTCCTAACCGAAAGGTCGGGGGTTCGATCCCCAGCTCCAGTAGCCACATGTCCGACATGTCCTTGGGCAAGACACTTAACCCCAAGGTGCTTTCGCTGCTTCATTGGCAGTGTCTGAATGTGAATAAATGGGTTAAGTTACTTCAGATGGTCACTTTAAATAGCAGCCTCTACCATCAGTGTGTGATCGTGTAGGTGTGACCTGCAGTGTAAAAGCGCTTTGAGTAGTCAGAAGACTAGAAAAGAGCTATACAAGCTCAAGTCCATTTACCATTTAAATGTGGCATTGGGCTTATGACTTATGATTCTATTGGTCACTGTAGCTAGCTCACATTAACAGGTTAGTTGGTCTGTTGGCATCAACATTGCAGCATTCTACTCAAGAGTTTATTTTAACCTCGTTAATTATCTAATTGCAGTAACACTAAAGGCAATAGTGTTGGCTTAAGAATAAACCTGATAAACCAGTTACTCCGACGACCCCCAAACACAACATCGACTTTCATTTGATCTGTAATGTTGACACTACACGTTAATTACCTCGCTTGGGTTTTTTTTAGCTCGATTGTTTGTAAAAAATGACACGTACCTGCAAAAGAAACTGGTTCACTTCCTATTTTACAGGTTACACTACTTAACAATTCCTTATTTCTTCCTTCCTTATCCCAGTATTGGAGCTCTCGCAGAGTAAAATTACAAAGTAGGCTCGACAAAGCTGCTTTCACTGCTTTAAAGTAATCGTTCAGCTTGTTATGTATTGTACTTGATCACTTAATTCACAGGGCTAAGAGATGTTGGACTTTCTGTGAAGCTACTTTGTGTTCCTTTTTGCTATTTCAAGGTTAATGGTAGGGAATTAACACCCACCCAGAATACTTCAGATACAGCCAGTTAAACTATTTTACTATTTGTGTCCTTGTTTTCCTGTGTTGTGCACATGGTAACTCACTGCTAAGTACTTATTCCAGGAAGGGATGCACATTTAGCTATTGTGTTGTTGCCATGATTTTTTTTCAATCAACTGCCTTTAATATAATACTTCTTCCAGGAAGGAAGCATAATCAGCTATTAACAATACCTGCTACCACTGGCTTTGTCTCAGTCATAACCCGTCAACCGGGTCAAATTCAATTGTGTCTCATTCACATGTTTTCACTGGCATGAACAGAATGACATGTTACCTCCCACTGGATAATTTATTCATTTCATACATGACTTATTCAGAGAGTGTCTGCACCCTTGTTTCTGCCAGTTTCATTTTGCCCCTGCTACAGCCAGAAACAACCACACGACACTTTCTTAAATGATGTCTGAGTATGTCCTGGTCTAAAAATGTTTGCATTAAGAGACACTGGTGTCTGTGTTTATTTCTAACACAACCAATGGCTCATATTATATTTCAGGCCTATCTTTGTAGGGTTATTCATAGTATTTTTCTTCACTCTGTCACACTACTGCTGTAATTATTCGGGCTGTTGAAGAATTATTCGGGCTGTTGAAGAATTATGCCCAGAGGATATTTTGCCTCCTTTGCCAAATGTAGACATCATGTCCTTGTAATAATTCCCCTAAAGGCTCTGACACACCAAGGAGATCGTCGGCTGTCGGTCCTAGTTGGAGCGTCGCTGAGCGGTCATCGCCCTAGTTTTTGCAGTATGTTTGGCTCTGTCTCTACCTGTCTGACTTTTTTTTGGACGATTCGACATGTTGAATCGGCGTCGGTGAGAGGAATCTCTCTGATTGGTTGTTTGGAGGTTTCATTTATCTCCAGCTCTCGATACAGGTTCAGGAAAGCCCCTTGAGCCGGCCGCTGTAGTATCCATGCTTTCACCCATTTGTGTGGTTTCTCCTTATTTGTCGCCTCTACCTCTTCTTTTCTTTTTCCACTAAAAGAACAAGAGCTAACAAAGCCAGCGCCATTTTCAACTTTTTATCAGACATTATTCCCAATTAGTAGGCTACCTGTAATACAAGTGGTGCGCAACAGTGGTGTGAAAATGGTCTTCTCGTATCATAACAACGGACTACGGCCACCTGTTGTCCTGGAGAGTTATTTGCTCTCATGCATGCGCAGAACGTACGTGGTGCTTGGCCGTCAGCTGTAGTCTTTGCGGTGTGTTTTAGTGCAACTTTTTGTCCAAGAAAAGAGGCGTTCTTTGCTGTCTGCTTGGTGTGTCAGGGCCTTAAACAAAATAATGCTGCTCAATCATCACTTATAGGCCTCTGTACATGTGTGGTGGAGACTGTGTCTGCAGAGTCCCTGTCTTCTGCCTGTATTTTGATGTTTTGGTTGACGACAAGCCATTCAGACTCACAAATACATGGGATGCGGACCTAGCATCAAAGATTAAACATTGAATCTTGTAACTAATGCCCACGATAAACCGATCGCATCTAGTGAAACACCTTAAATCTTAGGAGTGTGTAAACTATGTCCTAAATTAGATATTATGTTCAAACAAGGCTACGTTTGAATTTACACAGAGCTGGTGCTACCCAGTGCAGATCGTCGTTTCTTAATGGATTCTTCTAAGCAAAAACGTTAAGGTATTTACCCCTATGTCTCTAGTGGAAATGCTGTATTTTAATGAAAGGAAAACATGTTTTCTCACGCCAAGATTTATTTTTCTAATATGATTTATTTTCCTTTCAGGCCAACAGATGTACCCCAGATGATATAAGGCACTTCTGCCTCTAGAGACCAAGATGACTGAAGTCCAGGCAACAGTGGAGTTCTCTGTGGAGCTCCACAAGTTCTACAACGTGGACCTGTTTCAAAGAGGGTGAGTATTGTTTCCATCTCACTACTCACTACATAGCTAATATACCAGCATTTGTTCTTGTAATCCATATAGCGCCCTCCTCTGCTGGTGAAAGAGAACTTCTAGTGCAATACAATGATACTCAAATTAAATGCTTTCTGACTGGTGAATAAATCTAGTAATATTGGTGCATATCTGATAAAATTAGCAGATACTATCGGCTAAGATTGCCAGATATTATCGGCTGGCCGATAGAGCCACACTATCCAGCATATTATCCTAATGATTATAATATTTTACCTATGACTCATTTGCATTGTAACATCAGATGTGTTCTATTGTAAAATATGTGAATCCTGATTAATTTATATATTTTTTTAAAACCTTTGCTGTACCATAGAGCATCTCTCCTTTTGCTTGGCCGCTGTCAGTCGAAGAGTCAGTCATAGTGGATGTCAGACGGACATGGTGATAATGTAACCACCGTCTGGTTCAAACGCGGTTAGGTGCAGACAGTCATCAGCAGAACAGGAAGTTTGGTGGTTTGCGGTCTTCCTGAGAGTCAGTATGGGAAGTTTTTAGTCTTGCTTCTACTTTTCTTGGTGTGAAATGACACAAAAAAAACAATGGTGTGATTACCTTGTTTAGTATTAAAAGCATGTTCTTCTTAAATACGTGTGTGTCACAAGACTATTAACCTGTAGGCAGAAGTTCAGATCATCATGTCAGAGTCAGACCAAACAAAAGGAGCTTACATTGCATTGTAGCATAGTAAAAAATAATCCATTCTGCTGCTGTTACTAAGTGGCTTTTATGCTATTTAACAAGCTACACATGTTATTCCTATGTTTTCCCAGTTTCCATGTTTCTTGGAAAACTAAGAAGGAAAAACAACTCGCATTTCAAACTGCTGAGCTCTTACAGTCGAGGTCTTTAGCATCTGGAAAATTCTTTCGACAGCAGCAGTGTGGTGATACTTACTTTTTTGCTGAGACAAAACTCCTGCTCTATTCTCCCTGCTCATCGGTGCTTTAAGAGCTCAGGTTCACCACACAATCGACTGCAAGAGAAAGTGCTCATTATTCATTAATGAAAGGTGTGTAGTGTCATTTTACAAGTAGAGGCACTTGTCGCTGACCCGTGCGGTTTGTTTCCATTTCACAAGTCTCTAATGATGCTTCTGACCAACCTCATAGTGCTTTGTTTTCATACCATTATTGATTTTTACAATATGAGTTCATATTTTCAGGTTCTACCAGATCCGTGCCAGTCTGAAAGTGCCACCTCGGGTCCCACACAAAGTTGAGGCCAGTCTACTTCACCCGGGAGGTAAACACTTTTTTGATGTTTTGTCCCCTTTCTGCAAAAAACCTGATTCAGATTCATATCTGGGCGACCTGCATGAAGCAACACTGCTGAGTTCCTTACCAGGGATTGGTTGTTTCCTTGTAAACACAGACAACATGTTTTACTAATTCTCCAGTTGAATTCTTTTGGATTTCACTGCAGTTGTTAGAAAAATTATCACTTTTCAGGGACAAGAGCTGTACTAATTGAACATTTGGTTTGCTTATTTTGTTGGCAGGCACTTGACTGATGTCTTATGCCACTCCTTATTCTCAGTAATTTCTCTTCAGCTTTGTGCATATGCCTCGCCCCCTTGCTAAGAAACCTGCAGAGATTCTTTCACACAAAGCTCTCAATTTTCTGTCGAATAAACAGGAACACCAAGAGAGTGTGTGATTTTCATGCTTAAAAATTTAATTTCCAAGACTATGTCAACCTCGCTTAATAGAGTAAATTTAGAAGCAGCCACACTTTCATCCAGACCTAATACAATGTACCTCATCAGATAGTTAGCTCATTTACAATCGTTTTTTAACTTTAAATCTGAAAAATACAAATGCATTTCTCTCAAACTCTCTGTAAGCTTTGATGGTTCTGTTCCCGCTCACATCACCAGCTTGTGTATATTATATAATCTACTCGGATGTTATTTACATAGTTAATTGTAGTTTTTCTTTTCTAGGCTCTGATCTGGCATTTCCTGCTTCAATCCAAGACGATGTAATCAGCAGCAAAACTTTCCAAATCCTGTACAAGAATGAGGAGGTTGTCGTCAACGACGTCCTCATCTTCAAAGTTATGATGCTGCTTGATGAGAAAAAGGTAAGTTAACTTGCTTTTCCCCTGGTTCTATAGCTAAATGCAGTGCATTATTGTGTTTTTGCCAATCTGGATGGCACAGTTCAGCAGAAACAAGAGGCTACAGTATTTTATAAATCTTGCTTGTTAGTTGATTCTTTCCTGTGATGTGTTTGCATGTTATGCCCATGCTTCTGTCTCTTGATCATTGTCAGCTTGAATTGGCTCCCGGCATACCAAGCCGTGATCCAATAGACGAGTTGGTATAACCTATGCATGCATCTATATTTTTCACAAGGATTCACACCATTGCAGAATGTTCCCTTTCCATAAAGATTAGTAAGAGTACAACATGATGAACCCAGTTTGGCTTTGTTCCAGTCTGGCTTGGAATGCCGCACTAATTCTGTGTTTGCAGCCACACCTGCAAAAGGGACTTGACTGTTTATCCAATGACACATACTTGAGGCTTCAGTACCTAATGAAGAGCCAACCTGGGCTTGAAGCATTCAACTCTTGTGAACTTAATTTAGGGAACTGCATTGGTGTTTGCAGGGAGAGCTTAGCAGTGTTTCAAGCCCTTGTGAAATAGATCTTATTATTTTTTTAAACTCTGGACTTAGAAAGTGTAGAAACAACATCTTACAGAGTGAGGACCTGCAGGATTTTCCAATACAGAGTCCCAAGCTTGTTTTTAACTACATTTTGCCATTAATTCTTTATGTACTTTAACTTATTGTAAACGAGGAGTGGGTTTCTGAGGCTGCATCTGAACTCTGGTGAGCTGGTATGGAGGTGACTGGGGTGGACGAGGGTTACAGCGATCGCTCTGAAATGACAAACTGACTGTGGAAGAGAGAGAACAGGTTTTACAATTTGACCACAGCAGGATGATTGGTTGAGAGAGGTTGTGGCAGAGTCGGGTTGGATTATTTCTTAAAGAGTAAACACCCTAAATCAGCTGATCGTAAGCAGGGAGACAGAGGAAGTGGTATCACTGTATCACTGATTGCACAGCTCCCTATGTCAATACTGTCCATTTACAACTCTGTTTTTGCACATTTACATTTAATCTTTCATATTTAAGACTAGTAATGCTTAGTTAAATCCTGATTGTATATATTCACATTCTTAGTTTTGATATTTTTAGTGCTTATTTACTCTGTATTTAATATTATATTGTGTTTAAATTTGCTAATATTGTGTGTTTGGACAACCTGCTGCTGTAACGCCACAATTTCCAAGTTTGGGATCAATAAAATGATTCTATTCTATTCTATTCTAGAGAGGGGCTAAGTTGAATGAAGAAATGTAATAAATGTGTGAGAGAATATAACCAGGCTTCTTGCTTGAATGTACTCAGAGCTCCATAAAGAGTCCAGTGTTTTAACTGCAGAGGTTGACTGTTCTGTCAGGTCTGATAATGTGATTTTAAAAGCTGATATGTTCTTGGGGCGATGGATTAGAAATGTGTTACAATGATTGGAGCTGATACCTTCAAACTAGAATAATGTCTTGATGGTTGTTATGTTGCAGATTCACTAGAGACAGCACTTGCTTTTACTCACTCGCTCTTAATTTGACTCTCTCCTCTTCTTGTCATCAACATCAGGTGGAGGAGTCCCTCAATGACATGGATTTTCAGCTCTTCTTGGATTTATATTTCACAGATGGTGATTACACGTAGGTGTTGTAACATTTTAACTGAATGTACTTGTTTAAGTGTTTGTGAATATGAAATGTGCATCTCTTTGTGAACATGAGATGTCAGCTTCGTCTTCATCTTTTTTTCTCTACAGGCCAGATGATCCAAGCTCTCTGCAGAATATCAGCAGCCGCACTCTTCGTTTGCACTTTAGCCTTCAGCGAGGCATCCACCAACATGTCAATGTCATGTTTGACTATTTCCACCTGTCTGTCATCTCTGTAGCCATCCATGCCTCCCTAGTGGCATTACATCAGCCCCTTATCAGGTACGACTGACATACCCACATCACATCACACTACATATTCAAGTGACAACATAGCTGTCACATCTTTACAGTGAATAGAGGTCGAGGAAACCAGACTGGCTGTTTCTTATTAAGCTTTGAATTCTCCCTCCTTGTGTTTTCCTAGTTTGCCTCGACCAGTGAAAACCACATGGCTTAACCGCAACGCTCCAGCTCAGAGCAAAGACTCAGTCATCCCCCCTTTGGAGAATGTGGTGTTCGGCAGCAGTTACGTCAAGCAAGTATCACCAGATGTAAGTGAACCATCTTTATAGCAAGGACAGTGTCTTCTAAAATCTCCCTTTCTTATTAGATGCTAAACTTGACAGTGACAGTATTTTATGTACAGTTTTTCAGGTGTTCTGTTACACACTGGGTTTAATTAAACTCTGGATAAAAAGTAAATAACTTTCACAAACACTCAAAAATGTTCTGTGGATTTCCAGCTTTGTTCCTTTTTATGAGCTTAAAAAACAAAAGGCCTGTTATGTATTAAAGCATGGCTGCATTCAAGTTATACAGGTTTTGCTTATGAACTGGACATGGCTGTCTTCTCAGATTCAACAGTTCTACACCTCAGGTAAAATTGTGTTCTGTTCACTGCACTGGAAGCTCAGGACTATGTGTCATGCTGTTGACAGATAGAGTAGACGAAGAGGAAACTATCCGACCCACCGTCACATTTGGCCCGGAGTAATTGGCCTCTCCTGACAGAGGAAGGTGGCCAGCTAAAGTTTCCCTGAGATGCAGTAGTGTGAATGTAGCGGAGTCATTCAGGCAGAACCGAGGCAGTGCCCCTCATAACTCCTTGATGCATCCGTAACTGGCTGCATGGGAATAACGAGCCATCGACTGCTATTCATTTTCTCTGCAGGGATCTCTGCAGAAGCTGCTATAAAACACTGCCTAGTACATTTAGCACACTAAATGATTGCCTTGAAATAGCTGGCAGGTTAATTTGTTGTTATATATATATATATATATATATATAAGGTCACAGTGGTCACTGTAATACCAGAGTATTGAGATACACTGTGCAGTAGCATTCATTTTTAAACATTTTCTTCTTTTAAAGGTATAGTTCTATTTATATCCCTGTACTGTATATACCTGTGGTTATATCATCAACCAGTCGATGAACAAGTCTTTCATTTTCAGATTTTGTTTGACTCTGAGGAAGTCCTTTGCACCTACATAAATGTGCCTTTTTGTATGCTGCAGTATTTTCTTTAGATGTTGTCTGAGCGAAGGAGTCTACTGAATTATATTTTGAATGTCTATCATTTATTAGATGTCCATATGCTACAAGAATATATTTGTCTGTGATCACTGACTGAAGATTTTATGGGTTTTTTTGTTTTGTTGTATGATAGATTTAGCATTTAACAGAAAAAAAACTGTAATCAAATCAGCAAATATTACAGATTTTATTTGCTGTGTCTGCTGCTGTAAATATTTTCTGCTAACCCAAACACTCAGTGATATTGTTCAATTGAATCATCTAAAACCTCCTCGCCGTGTCCTTCCTATTTCTCAGGGCAGGACGTTCTTGGTATCGGACCACTGTCTGCAGCATGCCTTCGGTCTACACAACAGCCTTTGCTCCAATCTCCTTCAAGCTTACAAGGGTCTCTTTGATTACTTCACCTCTATAACCAAGGACCTGCCCTCCTCCCATCGCATGGAACTAGGTAAACTGCACTACGGCTTCACATGAACTCATGTCAGAGGTTGGGCCTACACCGGATGGTAAAGTAATAAATTCTTAAAACCCAGACATCAAGAGATGCTTCTGCAATACTGTTTATTAAACTCACAAGCACTTAGAAGGAAACAGGCTGTATAATGATATGCCCTCTGATTAATTTTGCCTTGATTTTTCATTGTTTTGTTTTTCACTGTCTGTTTGTTGCATATTGTTTTTGCCCTCATGTCATTTCACCTGCTCCCTACACATTAACCTATTCTCCCCTGTGAGCAGACTTCAAAGCCAGCTACCTGATTAGTTTATCCAGCAATCTACCTGTGCTTTACTTATCTTAGTTTACTTACTAAATCGTACTGTCAACAAGTAGTCTGATAACCAGTGGACTATTAGGCCACATTTTAACAGCTCCCAAACACATCTTTGTAACTGTTGCTGACTGAACCTTTTCCATGCAAGTGGAAAGATGTTAACCCATTCCTAAGGAAAAACTATCAAAAGGTTAAATATGCCTATATGTGCAATCTTACTAGCCAAGCCCAGCATGCAAGTCCTATATGAGAGAGTACTCAGAAGACCCTATCCCAGAAGTCAAAGGCACGTCTACATAGGTATGTCCTGACCCTTACAGTACCTCAAATAAACCTGCCTATCTCTCACTTTTTCTTCCTCACTCCAGTTTCCTTCTCCTAGAAAACACCATTTCCTTTCTATGTCCCACTCTGCAGAATCAAGTGCTGTCATTTCACTTTTTCAGTACTATGTGTATATAATCCATCTGCCTTCCAACCTTTTATAACCAGACCTCGTACAAAGACGATTCTAGGCTGTCTTTGGTCATTTTATGGGAAAAGTACTTTCTAACACCACTTCCTTATTCAGCCTGTTTAACGGGTTCTTCTAAACCTTTCTTCTGCTAAATTAAAGAAATAAATCATGAAAATGATTCTCAGTAATACTGTTACTCTGCTTCTTCAGAACAACTCGACTTAGAGGCCCGCCTTGCTGATTTATGTGACCAAGTCAAGGTGAGACCTGTTTACTGCTGGGTTTTTTTTCTGTTTCTGATTCTTATCATTTAACATGCTATATATGCATATGTGTGAAGCCACAAGCCTGATTCATCATCAAACTAGTGCTTAGTGTTTACTGCAGGAGGTGTTAACTGGAAATATGGCAGTAGGCCATGTAGAAGCTCTCCAGTTAGTGAAACTGTTTCATTGGATGAATGTGTCTGCATGACTGGAGGGCATGGGCATGATTTATTGGAAGTATGCAATCGTGATGAGATTTATAAGTGATGAGAGCAGTTTTAAGATTTGCCAGGATGTGTTTAAGCGTAGCTATAATCTCTGATACAACGGTAGCAGTTCAGTAGGTTTTTGTACAAAAGCAAAATGAAGCAAGCTGGACCAGCCAGAGGTCCACCTAAAGTACCCAGAACTTTTAGCCCCAGGAGCTGCTTTTCCAAGGGATTAGAGTGTTCCCCCAGCTCATTGTTCTCTGTGATTCAGCTTAAGTCCAAAGACCTGTGAATATTAGGAAAATGAGTCTGCGTACATATGAAAGAGTGTTCTAACTGCTGGAAGTACTTTACCAATCATAAATATGTAGTGCTGCACGAGTCAACCTGTTTTTCTGTAATGCACTTCCTCCTAAAATGTCCCTAGGCCTTTATTAAGACCCTGATCCCTGCAGTAAAAACCCTCCTACAGTGATCAGTCTCTAGTGAAGAATCCCGCAAACAGTAGCATGCAAAGTGGATCTGTTGATGCATGTAAAGCATGCAAATCTTTTAAGTGGACTGGAAAATGTTCGCATGCTTCTTAACAGTTTGTAGAGTCACATTTAAAACAAGCCTTTAAAGGATTTCATGATTGTGTAGGCGAGATAGTCTTTAGTGGCTGGGTCCTTGAGTCCTAAGAGGTTGGCTCTCTCTTGATGAGTAGTGATAGAGTGTTTTGCAGAGCTGTTGAATTATAGATCTTTCTGTAGATGATAGTCAGGGTTGCACATTACACGGGTTGAAGTGAAATACAAAAACACAGAAGAGACACTTGTTTCCAAATTAAGTATTTCATATCTAATGACAATCGGTCAAAACAGAAAAAGGGAAATACAAAAACGTTTGTTTATTTTGGGCACTTACAATGTCTCATGATAAAGACTGCTGGTAAATGCACTTTTTTTGCAGAAAATTGGATTACAGTGCTCCTCTGTCTTTTGTGCTGAAGAGGTCCATGATGCAAACTCGTGTGTAAAACAGACCTCTGACATAGAACTGTGCCACTGCATGTAATGCAGGTGTAAGGAAAGGATGCACACTGGAGCCCTCTGGTGGTGACTTGTGTCTTTTTGCTTTTAGCAGAAAGCCGAGTCTCCTGATGAGCTGGCAGAACTGGTCAATATGAACCTGGCTCAGCTCTGCTCCCTGCTCATGGCACTCTGGGGACAGTTCCTGGAGGTCGTGTCCCTGCAAGAGCATGTTGCTGCCCTGTTAGCTATGGAGCATCACACACTAAGAGTGAGTCCCAGCTTCTTAAATCAACCACATTATTGATAAATGACTAGTCACCTTGCATTGATAACTGATCCAAAACTATTCATCATTCTGAACAATATTCTTAAACCAACCCTTAATTCTGTGAAAATGCAGGTAAGACGGTTTGCTGAGGCTTTCTTTTGTCTTGAACATCCAAGACAATCTGCACTGGCCTATCAGGAACTACAGTAAGTTGCAGCAGCATGTTCATCTTGATTGTGAAATATAGTGTTGCTATTATAAAATCTGTGCAGGTACTCGCTTATCTGAAATACTCAAACTCCAGGTATGGAAAAACCTGACTCTTTTTTTCTCTGACTCTTTCTGCTGCCCCCTCCCCCTCTCCCTCCGTCCTCCTCCACCTCCTCCTCACAGTGCTCACAGTCACCAGCAGATGACTAATGCTATCAAAAGCTCCAGCTACTTCCTGTCTTTGCCTCCTCTTCCAGTGGAATGTGTGGACCTTGATGGTGATGTGAGCTCACTGCCAATCATCTTTGAGGATAGATATCTGGATTCAATCACCGAAGGTAAGTCACAGTCTCTCCATCAAATGTAACATACATCTTGTAAATTCTTTAAGTGTATTTGAACCGAATGTTTTGTCTTCTCTTTTTTAAAATTTAAAACCTGGTGTGATTCTGAAGATCGTGATGGACCTTGGCTTGGCGTGCAAAACACGAGGACTGGCTCAGCGTCCAGCAAATTAGACAAGCCCAGCTCCAAGGACTGCAGTGCAGCAGCCAGCCCCATACCCGAGTCTCGCTGTGCCCCTACGGATAACACCTGGCCAGACAGCTATGATCCACCACCTAAGTCCAAAGGGAAGTCAGTCAAACTGAAGAAAAACTCCAAGACCGATAACTCCAAGAAGCTTATTAGACAAGGTTCAAAAGACTCTGTAGTTCTGGTGGGTTATAAGAACCTCAAAGCTCCTTTTAGTGACACCAGTGCAAAGTACAAGGAAGGGGAGGCTCCTCTCAACCAGGAACAACAAGATACCTTACAGGGTGACTCTAGTCATTTAAGGACTAATGCCAATTCTGTTTTCGACTCTGGTGCCACATCAACACGTACTGTTGACTCTGTTACAGATGACAATGTAACTACTGCTGCTTTTCAAAAAGGTTTTTTCAAAAATCCAACAAAGTGGGACGGACAGAATAATCCTCAGGCAGGTACTGGGGCTATTGCTAAATGCAACCAACCACTTCAAAAAGATGAACAAGCTGACCACAGTGGCAAAAAGCTACCACCACAGTGGTCCTCTGGGCTGAAGCAAATCGAGGTGAAGCCAAGTAACAAGGACCCATACCAAGGAGACAAAGTAACGGTTCTGCTGCCGTGTCGAACCGATGGCACTTTCAGTCGTAACGTTCCCGAGATCACCCAGTCAGACCTCTGTGATGCAAAACAGTCCATGTTTGACTCTATATTTGAAAGACCAAGTAAAGAAGCTGCACAGCAAAGTCAGTCCTGTCTAGTCTCAGTAAAGGTTAAGAGTGATTGTATCAGGCTGCCAGATGGAGCAGCCCCTAGTGCCTCGTCTCGCCTTTCAGATTCAGGAATTGATAGCGAGTCCAGCTCCTTTGCCACTCACTTTGTCACAGGACCGCCATCCAGTGCAGGTCCAGGTACTGTTGAATCCAGTGTTGCTGCCACACAGCCGACAGAGAGGCCTCTATTGAGCCCCGCGACGCGGCCTGTTCAGCACAGCTCGGTGCAGAAGCCTGGTGGGGCTGCAGAAAATCTTTATCCAGAAAATACTAGCGCTGTCAGTGGAGTCCAGTCCTCTCTCACTTCCATTAACTCCTTACCTTCTGATGAAGAGGGCGAAGGGTCCTCTAGAGGCTCTAGTGGAGCTGAAGTCAGAGGCAGGAAGTCCAGTGTCCTGGTGCAGGAGCAGAGTCTAGTTTTCTCTGAGGATATCACAAACAGACCGGCCATCGACGCGACCGGCAACCCTGAGCCAGTTTCAGATTCCAAACTTGTAAAACCTGCCTTTGACTTTGAAACGGACTCCAAATTGATCGGCTTTTCTGAAGTTGGACAGGAGGCGGCGGCTAGTTCTGGGGCCAGTAAAGAATCCCGTAGTGAAACCAACACCGCCTGCCCCTCCAGTAATTCTGGCACCAGCAGCACTGACCTGGTAAAGCGTGGGATGGTAGAAAACTACTTTGGCTCGTGTTCTAGCACCGATGTGTCAGAGATCAGCCCTGTAGAGACATCTGCTATCACGCTGGGCATCCAGACTGCACCGGCGCCGGCTGAGGAGGACGAGGAAGAGACAGAGCATGAGATGATCGAGAACGGCTACTACGAGGAAGGCGACGGCTACGCTTTTGTGAACGGCGTCGCCGACGAGGAGCAAAGCGGGGCTGACGCAGCCGCTCAAGAGACAAGTCTTATTTTTGAACATCTTGGCATAGGTTACATCCATGAAACAAAAGATCTATCGAAAGCTCCCATCTGCTCCAACCAAGCCTCTAGTGGGTACACTTTGGCAAGACCCCCTTGTCCCTTCACTTCCTTTTCCATCAATCTGCGGTGGTACGAATGTGCACCCACGCCGCACATGAAAGCGTGAGTCATCTTTCACAATCCCACTGGATGTCAAATAACTTGCAGATATTTGTCCTGACTATTCATAAATGGTGTTTAATTCTAACACACAGGTTCATTAAAGCCAAGGAAGACATGAAACAGCTGAAGCTCCCTGGCTTCCTGTATAGTGAGGTACCTGAGCTGGCATCCACCGTGCCCTACTTTAGCTTGGAGGAAGATGAAAGCTGTGAAGAAGGCATCCATCTCATAGTCTGCGTCCACGGCCTGGACGGTAGGAAACAATCTATTCCAGAGTAAACAAGTTGTTTTACCAAAAAAACCAAAAAAAAACACAGTGACTTTTACTTTTACCTTTATCACTGCAGGTAACAGTGCAGACTTGAGACTTGTGAAGACTTACTTGGAGCTTGGACTTCCTGGGGCTCGTATAGACTTCCTCATGTCTGAGAGGAACCAGGTGAGGCACTGCTCACGTCAGATATTAATTATTATGAGCTTAAACACCCCTTAAAGGCTTTATATGCAATTTTTCACACTTAAATATAATATAAATCAAGTATATCCTCTGAAAATAACTCTGTGAGTCATGACTGTCTACAATGGGTGTAACACCCGAGTCCCACTGTCTGTGATGTTTTCAGAGTTTTCAGAGTCCTATCTTCACTTTGTTTACATCGCCCGGACGGCCGGATGACTCCTCCCCTCGTGTATAAAAGTTGTTTAATTGAGGGACTAGAGAAAAGAAGAATAACATACTGTACTCGCTGCTTAACTGTGTTTCTAGATCACGCTCATTTCAGGTAAATTTACATGCAGTGTGAAGATACGAGCATAATAAAGATCGCTAGCATTAGCATGCTAACACAACAATGCAGCGCAAGTTGTTTTGGTTTCATGCTGGTGCTCAAGGGCGACATCTGCTGGATCAAAAAATCATATATAAAGCCTTTAAAGATTTAAATACATGTAAGAAAAGGTCCATCCATCTTATTTGAAACTCCTTTCTTCCTCAGAATGACACCTTTGCTGACTTTGAGTCAATGACAGACCGATTGCTGGATGAAATAGTCCAGTACATCCAGATATACAACCTCACAGTGTCAAAGATAAGGTACAACGTTTCTTCTGAGTAACTTACAGTTTGTCAACGATGCATGTGGATTTGTTTTGTGTCTTCACAGTCTATCATTTTTCTTCTTTTGCAGCTTTGTGGGTCATTCTCTGGGTAACCTTATAGTTCGCTCTGTGCTAACTCGGCCAAGGTTTAAATGCTACCTGAGCAGACTGCACACCTTCCTTTCCCTCTCTGGACCTCACCTGGGCACGTTGTACAACAGCTCTGCTCTCGTCAACACAGGTTAGTTTCAGACAGCGAGCTTGAATGGCTATGGTTTTATTTATTCATTCCTATGAAGTCTGTTGAATTACAGTTACTTGTTTTGTTTTTTTCTAAGGTCTTTGGTTCATGCAAAAGTGGAAAAAGTCCGGGTCGCTCCTGCAGCTGACGTGCCGTGATCACTCGGACCCTCGCCAAACTTTCCTCTACAAGCTCAGCAAGAAATCGGGTTAGTTTTGCAAATGTCTTACACAGAATACATTCGAGGCTGTATGTGTGGATTATAGGGTCTGTGTTAGGTGGGGGTTGTTTCTGTTGTATAAATCCAATGAAGAAATCGTGAAACAGACTGGAGGTTATAACACCATTTAATTGGCCGAGGTCAGACAACTTCATCAAACAAGCACACTTACAAATCACTTGACTGACAAAGTGTTGACAAAGTAACAGTGTTCACAGTGCTGCTTGTATTCTGTTGAAAAGGTGCAACCCACAAATTCCTTTCTATTTGGGTGCATCACCATAAACAATGAAGATGACATGACACTGATTTGTATACGTATCAGATGTAGACTCTCTGTCCAGCAGACAGTTGCTGACAACATATAGTTGGCTCCTATCCATATATAGATCTGCTACTCCTTAGGTGCTTCACCCATATAAGGTTACAGCTTCAGACACCTAAAGGTAGGAGTGTTAACAAGTGGTAGGCAGACTTGAATGATACATTTCACAAAGTTACCAAGATGAATGAATTTCATGACAATTCGTACTAACAGTCTAAGAGAGATAACTTCTTTTTATCGTCTTTTTTTTCAAGGTCTCCAGTTTTTCAAGAATGTGGTGCTGGTGGGCTCGCTGCAGGATCGCTATGTTCCCTATCATTCTGCTAGAATAGAAATGTGCAAAACTGCATTAAAAGACAAACAAACAGGTAAGTAGTAGAGCAGGAGTGGTTTGAGATGAGCAGCATTCAAGCAGAACAATCCCAGAGTCCCATTAGCTCTGACATATCAAGTAGAGGAGGAGGGTTTTCTGGCACAACTTCACATACTGCCAAGGTGCATGGATAGTGAAAAACTTCAAAGGGGTCAAAAAGCTTCAGCAACACTTTAACAAAGATCAACTTTATTAGACTGAGGTGTTGGCTTATGGCCTTCATTAGTGTCATAGCAAGGAAGGCATCAAGTACAAAAGATTATGTTCGTCTATCCATCCCTCCCTTCTTTTATTACTTCTTTACAGTCACCTCATCTCAGTTCTTTCTTCATACCACAACTGGGGCCCGTTTTAGTAGGCAGCTTTTGTGCAAACACTGAAATGAGGGAAACTCTGGGCTTTCCGTTTCAGAAAGGGAGGTGACTCAAACCCGAGAAGTCTGAGTTCTGAGTCAGTGAACCTAACCTCGTCTGGAGCGGGTTTTCTTTAATGAACCCTGAGTTTCTCCCCGTCTCCTCCCTCTTTCAGAGACAGAAACGCCGTTTAATTTCCTCATTCTTTCATTCAGTCCATATCACACGCGTGTTAGTGGATATTCACTGATTGTCTGAATAAAAATCCAGGTTGTTTATGTTAGGTATAGCCTACTATAGTGTATAAAACTAACTTTTTTGTCTAACATGGCATGTCTTTTAGTAGAGGAGCCTCGAAATTAAGGGGCTACAATAGTCTACTCTGCAGGGAATAAGAGCCTACATTAAAGTCAGGAGATGTTAATGTAATTTGGGCTGATAAATAGGCCAAAACTAAACAGGATAAAGGTGAAAGGACATTTAGCCTATGTGTGTGAATACAGCATGGGGTACTACATTGAGATCAGTTTATAGATCCTCAACAATGGAACTGGTTAAATATCATTGAACAGACCAAGTCTTCCTCTTTTCAGCCTCTTTCTCTCTCCTCTTCATCAGGTCCTGTGTATGCTGAGATGATTGAGAACCTGCTGCTGCCAGTACTTCAGAACAAAGACTGTAATCTAGTGCGATACGATGTCATTCATGCTCTGCCCAACACAGCCAACTCCCTCATAGGCCGAGCCGCCCACATCGCCGTCCTCGATTCTGAGATCTTCCTGGAGAAGTTCTTCCTCGTCGCAGGCCTCAAGTTCTTTCAGTAGAATGGAGCGAGAATCGAAACACGTGGCTGGAGATGAGGAATGTGAAGCTAATACCTCACTGCATCTAAACCTTATTCTGATTTTTGGTATTTTAATTAACTCTTACTTTTTTCTATATACATGTAATCTCTTTTTAAAAAGCATATGAGCAAAATCACAATTTCTCTCATTTCATGTTTGAATCATGGTGACTATGGAGATTGCCAGTTTTATTTTTCTACTGCCATTTTCAAAAAATTTCTTTGTTCTCGTTTGGGAAATGATTTCCTCCACCATATGCTCTATTTTCAGTGTTATTTATGTGTTCTGTTTTCACTCTTTAATTATTCTTTCTCCAAGTTATTGACGTCATATTAGATACTGAACTGGAAATGTAGCTGCTACAAAAATGAAAACGGCTGTTTTTGGTGAGCTGGCCCAAGTCAAGTCTGCACATACAGTCCTCACCATGGCAAATGTTTTCCCACCAGTTCAAAGAGGCACTGCATTGATTTGCACCACGATTACATTTTACAAGGTTTTGTACTGAAAATGGTCATTTGTACAACTTACTTTTTTATCAACGATTTTCCATCATTTTTAAAAGGCAAAGGTTGCATTTGAAATAGGATTGTTGCTCGGACTTTGCAGCCTCGGCTTTGGTCTTTTATGCTGTTTCTTACCGTTGCAGCATAGTATTTGCCCAGCCTGGTGTTGGGAGAACAAGCTATGACATAACTACATTTTATGAAAGGGGTTTTAAGATATGCTCATGATTCAGCAGAAGCACATGTTGGTGATATGAACTTGTTTTATTGAAAGTATTTGGTCAGTATCTCTAGTGGTTATTTAAGTGTTTCAACTGGAAAGTATTGCTTGAAATTAAAAAAAAAAATGTTTCTTGGAAAATTGTTTATATATCGTCATACTCTACCATTAAATATGCATATTATAAACTTGTTTAAATGACCTTTCTTTTTTCACTAGATTTAGGTTTAGGAGAGTCAGGTGATCTCAAATGTTGTTCACTAAACACTCAAGCCTAGATTTGACTTACCGTACATTGAGTCATGTTTCCTCACTTGATTCGTTTTTGTTCATATATGGTTATCCTAGTGGTGCTGTTGGTGTAGCGGTTAGGTCGTCCCATATGCAGAAGCTTTAGTCCTTCAAGCGGGCGGCCCGGGTTCAAGCCTCCCGCATGTCATTCCCCACCCCCCCCCCCTCTCTCTCTCTCTCTCTCCCAGTTTTCTTCCTCTATCAACTGTCCTAACAAATAAAGGCAAAAAGACATTTAATAAAAAACTTTAACATTTCATTATTTTCAAAAAAAATCATTAAAGGCATTTCTATCATCAGTCCTGCAGGTGGCAGTGTTATCACAGAAAGCTCTTTTGTTATGGATCCATAGTAATTGTGCGATGTGTGTAAAAATGTCAAAGCTCGTACTGTTTCAACATGAAGTGTCATAATTATGTATTTGTTTCCCCCTCCCATTATGTAAAGTCTGCACAGTGAATACATTGTATAGTTTTTATTGCACATAACACAGTCCTGCTCTCCATCTTATTTTATGTACTTAGGACATTTTATCCCCACTGAAGTGTTGTGTTTTTAGGCATAAAACGTTTGGAAGCCGTTGTGCTACAAACTGATGGGAAACTACTGTTTTTTTTTGTTCTGAAAATGGTAGTTTTTATGTGAGTGATGGACAAAGAAAGAATGAGGCAACTTGTGGAAATGATGGTGGAGTCATCTGAGTAATAAATAGGACTAAAAGAGTTCTTCCTGTAAAATAATAAATATGTACCAATTTACCGTAGTCTTGATTAAAACGCAGACTTACAGAAATATATACTTCTGGAGAAATGGTCAGTTTGTATCCTCATGAAGAAGTTTGTCAGACCTCTCAAAACAAACTTTCTCTTTCAAAAGAGGCGGGAAATAAGGGGGCATGCAAATTTATGAAGTAGAAAAATCTATATTACCATCTAATGCACTCAGCCCTTCATTTTCTTTCTAGTTACTTGAAGTTAAAAAAATACAACAAGCTCACATTTTGAACTCACCTGGGTCTGAAAGCGGAAGGGAGGCAAATCTCTGCAGGTAATGTTATCTGATGTATAATGCAATTACACAGCCGTTTTGTTTAATCAGCATGTTGTGCAATTTTAAGTTCAGGCACTACACAATGCTATATAAATCCTTATAATGGCTAATGTTTCCCTATTAAGTCATAAGTGCTTTTGCAAAAAAAGTGCACTTCTCTGTTTTAAGGAACAACCATGTGTTATGCCGAGAAATGCATCCCTGCCAAGAATGGCACCTTGTAAGACAATTCAAAATATGGGAGACACAGTTTCTACACTGCTGAATTTTGCATTTACCCTTAAATTTCCTCTACAGACACTTTAGAGTCAAACACTGTTTTCAGGCTAATGAAATGCATATTCTGAGGAGTCTACAGAACACTGAGGACAGAGGCGCTGCTTGTCAACAGGCAAGGCAGGCAACTGCTTGGGGCCCCAGACCAGTAAGGGGCCCCAAAAGACTGACAAACTTAAAACTGCAGCAGTAGCTCAAAATGTGCAAATTCTGCAATGACAGTAGGTAACCTCCCTAATGAGGCCCCATTTGACAGCACTCGCTCCCGTTGCCCTGCTTAGCATCTCATGTATTATTCCTTCATTAAAAATTAAACCACTACAGAGTATTATCTGTCTGGGAGTGAAACAAGAAAGAGGAAGAGCGTTGAAACACTGGCAGACATAATGGTGGTTGGAGGGGCCCCCAATTCATTTTTGCCTAGGGCCCCAACAGACTCTAGAATCGCCACTAACTAAGGACACTTGACGTTTAAATAGAAACTTGAGATACTTTGTCATCCCAGATCTGCCCCTTGATATTAGACACCCTTCCGGGAGGTGCATGCAGTTCTCGACAGGGATGCATTTCTCGGCACAATATCTGCATGTACATAAAGATATAGGATATGCTAATTAACCCCTGACACATTTCCGGGAAAAACCTGTAATCGCTGACAGGAAGGCTTCTAGTGTTCGAATCTCCTTCTAATTAGCATGAGTTCACTGCATCAACGCAAAACAAAGGGGGGGTATACCTTTAAACTCTTCATTTAAATATTTTGATATATACATCCATGCCTTAATAGACGGTTAACTTTGATTTGATAGTTACACAGACATGATATAAAACTTAAAATGTGTATTAAACAGTGTTAAAATATTAAGAACGCTTCCAACAACAAGTAACCCCCCCCCCCCCGTACTAGTATGAAAAATGGTATGGTCCAATCATTCGGGCTCCTCCGTTGAAGAAGTTAGAGGGGGACAAGTTAATGTTTTTATCAGCTGAAGCAGACACGGTCGTGTGTTTCATCAAACTTGTGAAGACTTTAAGGCTTTAATCTTCACTACCTTTGCTCTATGTTACGGTAAGTCTTTTACTGTCTTATTTCAAAGTAGCTAGATCCCAGTGATGCACTTGTTGCGCGTGAAGTTACGGTGGTACCATCCCATCAACGAGCACGCACTTACGTTACCGTGTTAAGAAAGTACGAGTCCGTTTTGCGACTTTAACTTCTCCTGCTTAGTTTCTGAGATACATTACTACTTAATAATTTGCCTAATTGGTTTACAAACTTAAGGCAAAGGATGCAACCAAAACAGAATAATGTACAACATTGTGTCGTTTTAAGTAAACGAGAGAGTGTTCTGTCGAATAGTGCTACCCACAAATATGGTTCCATATATGATATCATACAAATACAATTAAACGTCTCTACATTGCTGTGTAAGTATTTTAAAACTGTATTATATCGTGTTTGTGTTTTACAACTGTTGTTTCTCGGGACATATCCCACTTGTACTCATGGATATAAAATGATTTTAATGTTTGACTCAAATTAAGAAACTCAGATTTTATTTCTTTCAACAAATTAGAAATGTGTTAAACGAAACAAATGCAGTTTGCAAGATAAAGATCAGGTAATTATGTCAAACATCATGTCAAACAGTAAGAGGAAAACCTGGGGCTAAAAATGAGTAATTTGAGGGATATTTGTGCAAATATGGTCTACAGGTCTGAAACTGAGACTGAATTATTAAATCCATAAATAGAAATTAAAGAGCTTTTTTGTAAGTTGAAAAAGCTTGCTATTCATGCTGTGCTGAGCCAAATGATCTGGCTCATTGAAAACATAAACATTTCCCATCTCTGGTTGCATTAATGGATGATAAGCTAATTAAAATAAAAAATATTGTATATCATAATATATGATTTAACTATTTAGATGTTTATGCGCTTGGACCAGCCTCAAAGACTTTTTTTTTTTTCTAGATTTCAGGGCCAACTTAGGGAAATAAATCACTGAGCCCTGACTCACTTATGCCTGCTTTGGCTGTGAGTCAAACCTTAGAAGAGGTCTGCTTCCCCCCCCCCCCCCAGCTGAAAAGTTGGTGTACCCTATTGTTTTCATGTGGGATGAGTCAGAGCAGTGACGTTCCCCTGTTTATTCAGATACCCCCTTCTTATCTCATTCTTTGATGGTTTTAGCCGGCAGTGCGGAGGAGTGCTTGTGCAGTGCGGCAGAGGGGATGTTGTTTTTTCCCAACAGCCAGCAGTGTGCTCAGAAGTAGGGATTATGACAGTCTTGGAGGGGAGTTAAGACGTACAGATGGCTGCTCTCATGTGATGCCAGGTTTCACCCTGGTCAGCAATAAGGGGATGTCTGCAAACTGCAGCCAGCACTGTTGTTGTTGTTGAGTGAACTCAGTCAGAAGTAAAGAGTGGTGGAGTTTATAAAGCAGCGTGTATTGTGAATGTCTTGATGAGAAAGGTTGGTATTAAGGTCTCTTCTCATTCTTAGTTGCTCAATATATTCATTTTTTACACCAGATGTTGTCAATTCAGGTATATTTTGATACAAGCTTATTGATAGCTACCACTGCTTTTGCTTTTAATTGAATACATGCTTCCTCTGTTATTCAATATGGGTTATTTCTTAGAAGAATCAAGTTTATTTTTGAGTATTTCAGTTGTTAAAATTGAATTGAAACGTTATTCCAGCAGAACGCTCTTAAGTAAATCTGTTTCATTTTCTTTATGCAAAGGTATTCATAAAAAACAACAAGATACAGAGGAGAAAGCAAACAAAGCATTGCACATGTAGTTACAGTCTTAATAACTTTATTTATTTAGCACACACAAACAAGGTTACAAAGTGCTTTACAGAATGCTTACAATGAAAAAAAAATATAAAGCAGGACGTGAATTACTAATCAATCTTTAAAAAGGCCTTCCTATGAAAATATGTTTTAAGCAAATATTTAAAAACAGGTAAGGAGTTTGCCGGCTTGATGTCTCCGGGTCTTCGGGTAGGGAGGTCCAGAGCTGAGGGGCTCTGGTGGAAAATGCCTGGTCACCCTTGGTTACCAGCCTTGACCTAGGAACAACCAATGACGGTGCTGTTGATGATCTGAGGTCACGGCTTGGAGCGTAAGGTGTCAACAGTTTTGTAATATAAGAGGGGACCAGACTGTGTCGTGTTCTAAAAGTTGTTAAAATTACTTGTTTGCTTCGTAAAGATAAGTACCAAGGCGGTTACATTTTCTAGTATTGAATCGCTTTTAAAGTCAGGAAACCAAATAAAAAGAAACCAAAGGCAAGCCAATCTCTTCTGTGAAACCTGTTTGTAATTTGGGTCTCATTGCTTCACACAGTTGGTTTTAGATTGCTCCAATATGTCTGCATTGTGCAACCTCATATTTCAGATCTCAGTAATAAAAGAAGTCATTTTGATATATTCAAAGATTCAGTTCATAGCTTCTGTGTTGAATTTCTTGAATACAGAACTGAATACAAAGTACATAAAACAGTGTTTCAACGAATCAGAGTATAGCGCTATAAAACTCTGAGTAGAATTCACACATTTGGTCTTCTATCTGCAAAAGCAGCGAACACTCAATAAGCAAATTCTCATCAAATAGATGTAAGCGTAATTGATATTTCTAGTTCTGTTGAGTTTCTTTTTTGCACCATTTCCTACAGTTATTTAATGTACAGTATAATTATCAGACTGTGTCATAAACAAGTCAGATGTGAAAGCTACCGGCATTTCTGGTTTTGTGTGTTTGCGCTGACACACAGACATGAGTGAGGCTGTGTTTGAACATGTCCAAAAATGATATTCCCTAAGATGAATGGTTTTCCCCCTCTGAGCCAAGAACATTCACTTCTTGCGTTTGCCACAACTTGTGCAACACTTAATTTATATGAAATTTTATTCTACAGGATTTATCAAGACCTGTTTCTCTGTTACATCTAACCCTATGCCACCATTCCTACATGGTTAGGTACTAAAGAAAACACATGTATGTATGCACAAAGGAAGAGCATGTTGTTTGGCTCAAGGATCCATTTCCAAGCTGGTTTCAGTTTTCTCTGTTTGAAAAAAAAAAGAAGATTTGTTCTATTTCTTACTTTTGAGGAGATTTGACACAACACCATGCAACAAACGGAGCATCTTCCCTTTGGTGTATTTTTATCTTTTCTTTAACTGGTTATCGTCCAGAGCACGGTTTAAGGGGATCAAAGTCGGCGGCGCGGCAGTAATTAACTGGATTAATTGATTCTGAGACGTTAATCAGATGAGCCACGTACCAGTTGGACTCTGGGTCAGGGTAGTGTGGCAAACCTCGGGAGAGCCTTGGTTGCCAATACAACACTCCCGTTTGCCAAGCCCATTTCTGTTTGGTATGTTAAGCAGAATCCTGTAGTTATACAATTCCTTTGAATAACTTTGTGTCGCTGCAGATTCTGTTGGAATATCAAAGGCATGCACGAGGATTATCTAGTTGATTGCTTCTAGTTAAGGGCTATTATCAGGATTAGAGTTTGGTAATCTCGTCGCCCGGTGCCCAACTATTCCCCTGCTTTTGTTGTGTTGGCCGGTTATTTTGGTGAAAATGCTTTGAAGGTAGACTAATTAATGTCATAAATTGAAGCATGCATTGAGTATTTTTTTGGAGAGGATAATTGTGATGGTAAAACATTCTGCCCATAGCTCCACAGAAGGCACACACCATGTTGACTTAATCTTGGTCGTGGGATAATATGAGAATATCTGTCTGAGTATTGGATTGTTGTTCCTCCAGTACAGCCTAAAATGTGGTATCTGGTATCTTTGAGCGTGCCTGATCTGATACTATAATGTCCATGTCCCACTAAAAATGATCAGGTTTAAGGGAATTCATTATGTGGCATGAACAAAAACCCGACAATGCAGACAGTGGTAGTAAAGAGAGTAATGTTTGTAAAGGTAAGGAGTCAGCAGTCAGAGCTTTTCCACCAATGATGTCATTGTTTAAAACCCTCTGGTGTTGGATGAGTTCTCTCTGTGTTAGGCTTTTGATGATACCAGGATTTTAAACTTCCATTCTGAGAAAAGTTAATTGATTTCATATCTGTTTCGAAACCACAGTAACAAAAAATAAAAGTAATTGGCATCCAATATCGGTAATTTCTAGTTTTCAATGACAATAAATTGCGAGAAAACATCTGCACACTGTCTTAATTGCACAAATACATTGGCAATGGGATTTAGGATGGATCCACTCCTCTAAAACACACCTGTCCTATGATATAGATTAACTTTATTTTCAATATTATTGATCATAAGAAGAACAGAGATCGTATCGTTTTAAAAACTTGGAATCATAAAGTATGATGATCGAAGTATGTATCAGAAAAATCCACAGTGTTACTCCTTATCAGCCAAAGGAAGGACATGAGTCCAAGACAAGTTTCCCTTTGGAGGGAATAAAGTATATCTCATCTCATCATTTCTTATTGTACAAATTGGGAGTGCTGGGAATCTTTGGGTATCTCACGATTAGATTTTCATTCTCAGGGTCACGATTCGATTCAGAATCTATTTTTGCTTGCTGCTCCATTTTCTACTGAGTTAAAGAGCTAGCATTAGCACTTAGCAGGGAGTGAATGATTAGCCAAAAGTAATCAAATATTTGGAAGTTATGAATCGATTTAAAATCTCAGAAGATAAGAATCTTGATTTTTCCATAAATTATACATTTTTTCCACCTTTACAAATTGGCAACTATAAGAGTAGGGAAAGATTGTATCAGAACATCTGTAGTTTTTTGTTGTGAATAATCGACAGTAAATCTGAGTCTTGACTCTTGACATAGAAAAACCTAACTTATGTCAGACGATGCTAGGAAAAATCAAACGATATGGATACCTGCTCTGATACCACGGCAACATGTCTGAAGTCCAAAACACCCAATACCGGGGAATTTCATGGTTTGAATTATTTAACGTTGCAATCAAACTCCTGAAGACTGTCTCAATTGCAGAAATGAATCAGCAATGTTTTGTTAATGAAACGTTTAAAATGTAAGATCTGAAGTTATTTTGAAGCTTAGATACTTTTTGAGACGATCAATTACAAAGATATGAATGAATGATTTATTCATTTAAGAATAACAAGACTCAAAGATATTTGTGGAAATAATCCACTTACAGAAGAAAACTGTACATGTTTACACTTGTCCATTTCACACAATGACATTCAAACAATCGATGACTAAAAAAAGGAATAGGCTGAAGCCCAAGGCTTATTTCTGCCCATCCTGTAAAATCCTTCATGTAAGTCAGAACATAAGCAATCCAACAAAAGATAAGAAAGAATGTAATAATATGTGGTACCGAAAAGTTTGAGAATCCAAAACTTTGACAACTTTTTTACACCTAAGACATTTTTCTAGGTGAACTTCTTTCTTGAACTTCTGTCTGATCTTAAATTCCAATCTTCTTCTGTCATTATTCACATTTAGCTATCATTGAGTCATGATTACTTCAGTTCTTCTCTTATCTCATTCTTTCTTTTATTAGATACACCATGGATGAAGTGCGAGGAACCGATAAAGATTGACGTGTCAGAGACTGAAAAAGAGAATCAGAGAGATAGTGCTCACCACAGACGTTCACAAGACATCATCATGTCGGCCTCAACGAAGCAGGAGAGAACCATTTGTGTTCTCCTCCCCAACAAACACCAGCTGGACATCACAGTCGGGGTGGGTGTTTTAAAACATCTCTTACTGTCTGATTTGTTTAGAACTACAATGTTACACAGTTTTTACATCTTATGAATGTGCATTGAATTCAAACCTCTACGTCTTTTTTACCTTTCTCCAGCCGAAGTCCACAGGGCAGGATGTGTTCACCCGTGTGGCTGAGCTTATTGGAATCAAAGAGCTGCACTTCTTTGGCCTCACAGTGGTGAAGGGTAAGCTCACTCCTCATTGACCCCTCACATCCAAACATCAAAAGACTGCTCACTGGAGATGTATGAAAATCAGACCCAATACCCATTGGATCATTACCGATGATTAAGATAACAATTTAGCCGATTGCAGACGCAGATAACAATTTTCTTCACTACTTCTTTTGGTGTAAGACTCCCACAATGCAACATTTCCTATCATGTTTGACCACAAAAACAGGTCAGAGTTTGTCCAACAGGTGACTTTCTCACCCTTCCCCTCCAAAAAAGTAGATGGGGTACTAAATGCCAGCATTAAATTGATATGACACAACAGATAAAAATCGGCTACACATTATTTCCCTTTTAAGAAAAAGCTAAAGACCCAGCTCTTTCATGAATACCTACTAAGTTAATGACGATGGTTTTTGTTTGATAACGACGACTTATAAGATGGTTTCTATACTGATTAGAGCTCTCAAGAACTGCCCTCAATGTTGTGCTTTGCCTCTGGTCACTTCCTGTCAGCACCTGTGTGTCCAATCAGACTCAAAGCTGATCGTTTGCTCTTACTGACATTGTTCCCTTTTTTCTAGATCCTTGCTTGTGTTGTTCTTACTCTCTGCTGTACGTCGCTTTGGATAAAAGCGTCTGCTAAGTCAATTGTAGAACCATTTGTCTATAAACAAGGCCGATATTAATCACACCAGAGTTCACAGCTGTATTTTCAGAAGATTATAAAATATGACATTCTTGTTCAAGGCCTCATTGTGGTCGTCAAGTAGTTGTGACTACAAATGAATTAATCTTTCTGATGTTGTGTGTTGATTGTCCTGCTGAAGTGTGTCATTATTGAGTGTTGTTTTGTGTTTGTCTCTCCTGTTACTTTAATGTCTTTGTTTCGTTTCTTTCTTTTCATATTTGTTGTCTGTATCGTATGTCTTCCACCTCCTCGAATCGAGATTCATCTCAAGGAATAAACACATTTATGAACTAGGAAGGTTTCTGAGACAAAGGAGTTTTGCAGTGCCACCCTTTAGAAAGTGTCTTTTCATGTAACATGGTGGAAAATGTTCTCTGCCAATTGGCTACTTCATCAAAACCCAAACAATTTAATTCCTCCGACCCCAGTCTGCATAATTGAACGATGTAATCCACTTTAGCCCAGGAGCAAAGTTCTGAACTTTCTATTTGCATGTGTCCCTGCTCCTTTTCCCTCGATACAAACACGTTGAATTGCCTCCGTAATCTTGTGCGGCTCACCACTTGAACAAGCAGCCTTTTGTTTTTTGTGGTGTTGGTTCAGCGATCACTTAGGGCCTGGATTCCTGCAATATTAACTTCATTAAGCCTGGAATGCACCCTTGCATTCCTCCACTTCACTGAGGGGAGGGATGGATTGATGATGGGAAGAGGAGGGTGGGCGAAGAAAGAGGGAGCTGGCTGGTCATGACACAGGCGCCTTCCTAAACTCTTACTCAATCGCCTCAGTGAAGGATGAGAGGTGAAAGGAGGAGGTGTGAGTCAGAGTAGGGAAATTAAAAAAAGCTGAAAGGAGGGATGGATGTTTGAAAGAAATGAGTTGTGAAATAGCTTGGTGAGAATGATTTAGTTGGACAAAAGAGATAAGGTGGATCAAATAGAAAGATGCCCATGTCATGACTCATGACAACTTTCTCATCAAATTCTGCAAACAGCTTTTAAGCCCCTGGCAAGTTCCAAATGTATTTAAAAATGAAAGGGGACATATGATGAAAAATCCTCTTACACAGTTTTTCTGAACATATATGTGGGTAACCTGAGTGTCTACTGACCCACAAAATGTGAAATAAACCCATCCAGTCCTTTGTTTGTGGTCTGCATAAGTCTTACAACACAGAGGAAAATGCTCTGTTTCAAATGTGCTCTCCTTGTGATGTCACAGTGGGATTCTGGTAAAAAAATAAAAAATAAAATCCCCTCCTCTCCCCTGGTATCTCCACCCCCAGCCTAGAGCAAAACTTGTGCAGGTTCGGCAATTTCATTCTCGCTACAGAGGAGTGATGTCTACGGGGAAAACTCAGGGGGGGGCTCATTGCATTTAAAGAGACACACACACCAAAACGGAGCATTCTGAGAGAGCTGGTTTATACAGGGTCACAAACCTCCTCTGGTGCTTGATTCATGTTATATTTTGACCAAAGCACAGCACAGATGTTTCATTTAGACCACGGGGAGTGTTTGAAAAGGTTGAGAAGGTTGGATAATATGTCTTCTTTAACCCCAGGTTTCTCCCGCTGCTTAGTCGTAGGCAGGTGAATGTGTATGAATGGGATTAGTTCAAACTGTTGGACACATGGAGGTCTCTGGCATCAGGGTGTGAGTGGGTAAGGTTTGGCATGCAGTGAAGAAGCTCTTTGAGTAGTCAGAAGACTAGAAAAGAACTTTACAAGCTGAGGTCCATAAACTATTTCCCATTTGTCTACACGTGCATGCAGAAGTCTATTTTATGGAGATTAATTGAGGCTGAATCGATGACTGCAGATGGAAGCTGGGATTGCATTACAGCTGACACATTCTACCTCTTCTGTTGTCCATATAGACTGTTTGCTAAAAACTACTTGGACGATAACTGAAAACCAGAACCATTCAAATCTACCTTATTCCTTAAAGGTTTCTCCAAAGCTGCCCACCAAAAACATTTAATATTAGGATAGAAAGGTCTGCTATGTTTCATACATTTACCCTTCTTGGAAAAAGACAGGAGAAATCATAAACCTGAAATGTGTCGAAGGAACAGTTTTATAAAATCTTGTTCTATTTTTAGAACTTGCAATTTTAACAAAGGCATTTTAATCTTTCTTCTTAAGGTGAGTGTCTTGGTTTTTCCTGTCTTTTTTTAAAGATCTGCTCATCATACCCTTCCACCAAAGAGCATCGTCTTTTTTTGTATTCTGACTTGTTGAAGCCCTCCTGTTCAAAGACTTGGTTGTTTAACCAACAGAGCTCCGGCGCAGGGTTTTTGTCTATGCTGCTACGCTACAACTTGAATTACAGAATGGATACATAAACATTAGCACTATTGTCATTTAGCTTCCTGGTAGCCTCATTCACAAATTATAGAACAAGGGCTTATTTCTTTTACCCTAATGAATCCCATTGTTGGGGCAAATTTCACGCTTGGGTACATCAGGGTTTTGTTTGCTTGCTAACTGTCTGCTTGTTTCCTGATTGTGTTTCCCCCAATACCCCCCCCTCCCCCCTCCAGACAATGAGCACATATTCCTAGACATGGAGGAGAAACTGAGCAACTACTTTCCTAAGCAGGGCAGGCAGGACACGGGAAAGGTAATGCAGCCTGTTATGAACACTCAAACATTTATATTTGATATTTTAGGAGTGATATATTTGATATGTTTTTCTTGCTCTAACCCCTCACAAGTTCTTGTACGCATGAGTTAATTGGGAGGCACAGTTCAGTGGCCTACATGCCCCAACTTTACATTTAGCATGACAAAAAGATGCTAACACACTCAGGCCTTTTCTGACATGTCTCTCTCTCTCTCTCTCTCTCTCTACACACAGGGATCACAGAGGAGACTCTTGCCGCTGGTGCTCTGCCTTAAAGTTCAGTACTACATAGAAAACGGTCGACTGCTATGGTATGTCCGTCCAGCTCAGTCTTCCTTGCTGTGTTTTTGTTTTTCTTTCAGTCCCATCCCATCTTTGTCCTCCTGTTTGACATCTTTTGTCTCCCTTCCCTCCAACGCCCCACCCTTCCTCTTTTGGGTGTTATTAGTGAACGAAAGGCACGGCATCTCTACTACTCTGACCTGCGGGAGCGGGTGCTGCGCTCTGAATGTCGTCAGCAGGAGGAGGTGTACTTCCAGCTGGCAGGTTACGCCCTGCAGGCTGACCTCGGTGACCACCCGCTGCCCAAGAGGGATATGGAGACGACCCCATACTTTGAACCCAAGGAGTACTTTCCCCCCTGGGTAGGTATAACTGTGTGGTGACAGAATTTAAAAACACACATACATTTGTCTTCATTTCACTTAATATACTGCATTTTGAGCTTTTCCTTAAAACATTCCTGTCCTATGTTCCTCCCATAGATCATAGCAAAGCGTGGAGTAGACTATCTGCTCTGCCACGGGCCCAAGGTGCATCAGGAGCTATGGGGCATGTCAACTCGTGATGCCACCCTGCTCTTCATCAGGGAGTCCTGCAGACTAGAGGATGTGCCCGTCACATTTTACAGACTGCAGAAGGTATGAAGTCAGTTTAGTATTTTTAGTCTCATTCTTAAAGTACTGATTTTTCTGGGAGACATCTGTGCACAGGGTTCTTTACAGCTTAGTAAATATATATTGAAAGATGCAAAAATCAATTGATTAATAGAAATGTAACTAATCTGCAACTATTTTGATAACTGATTTGTTGTTTTAGGAATTTTATGAAACATTTGCTGCTTCTAAAATGTAAGAATTTCTTGCTTTTCCTTGAAGAGAGTAAATTGCGAGTCTTTGTTTTTAGACTGTTGGTCAGCGAAGAAAAAGCAGTTTGAAGACATACCATGAATTTGTAACGAGCTTCTTTCCAAACTTTTGACCTTTAAAAACTCAACAACCTATCGATTAATCCTGAAATTGTCAGCACCTGAATTGCCGATTAAAATAAAGGTTGGTTGAGGCCCGGTCTGTATTATTAATTGGATGAAATGAACTTTGTTTTCAGCACATTTTGAAATAAAAGCCCCTTCAGGCATTTTTTCTTCCCCCACACTGAAATACCATCCCCTTTTAATATAAATACATCCAGTGTGGCTTCATTTGAGCTGTGCTGGACAGGGCAATTATGTAACCCTGTATCTTTTCCAATTTATTGTCCTCCCCATTTCAAAACCACTCATCCACTGAGTGATATTTTGAAAGCTGGCCCAGTCCATTGCGTAATGCTCTCTGCTCTTTGGATGTGTTGTCAGCAGCAGCCCCCGTGTTTCTAGGCGAGGGGCTCAGCTGTGGTAAAGCTGTCTTATCTGAACTGCTCAGATGCCTGTCTGACATCTCATCATTCATTTGTGCAGGACAAAAAGGAAGAGAGAGGAACAGCTCTGCTCGGCCTGACCCTGAGAGGAATGCAGGTTTATCAGGTGCGTGCATGTGTGAGTGTGTTTTTCAATGCACAGCATATACGTCAACACATGACGTGCCCGGGGAGGGAATCTGCGTTTGCTCAAAGGTTCAGTCTTTGTATCTGCCCCGCTATAAAACCTCTGACTAGACGTGTGAGGAATGTGTGGGATTGCCACCAGCAGCGGTGCATGAGTAGATAGGAGCCGTCCACTCTGCCTGTCAGTTGTTTGATCTGTCCGTCAGGGGGCCATCTGGGGGGATTAGGGCGCGGGGCCTGGCTGATTAAAGAGCCAACAGACCGTGAGATATCTCGAGAAGCTCTTGGCCTCTTTGCCAAGTCCAGATGGCTCCTGCCAACAGACAAGACAACTGATTATTGATCACTAATTTGAAGATAAAAGCAAGTAGCTTACACGTCATGAAGGCTGTTTTTCTTTTTTGTTTAAACACAATAGTTCAAGAACATTTTAGCTTTTTCTCTAATCTCTGTGTGTGTTTCTGTTATCATAGGAGGTGAACAACATACGGCAGCTGCTGTACGACTTCCCCTGGTCAAACGTGGGACGTCTCACCTTCCTGGTATGCCCGTTTTCTATTTCTCCCTTCAGATGAGGTGGAAAGGTTGTTTATTATTTAACGGCCATTAGCTGTATACGCTTCAGTATTTGCAATATGTGGTTCCTATTCAGGGTAAGAAATTTGAGATCCAGCCAGATGGTTTGCCTTCAGCCAGGAAGCTGGTTTATTTTACCGGCTCGTCGTTCCGCTCTCGCCACCTCCTCCTGCACCTGAGCAGCAGTCACCGCATCTACCTCAGCCTCCAGCCGTCCCTCAAACACCTCCGCCAGCTGGAGGAGAGCGAAGGTAGGAGAGCGATATGTGAATACAGTTTGGTACCTTTAGTTTGGCTTTGAGCTATTTATATTCAGCTGAAATATATTTAACACGTGAAGTCAAATGGTTAAATTAGGGTCACTTTTATTAGCCTGTACCTTTTTGAAATATTTGGCATTTTATACTTTTATAGTACATTTGTTAGATTTAAACTATTTGGAACAAACTTGAGTTAAAGAACAAATGAATCATTTAAGAGAAGATATCATTGTGATGCCTCATATTGCTCCTTGAATGAAAGAGTTTGTCAAAGATCTAAATATAAAAACCCGTTTTCTAAAAGTTTGGCCGTTGGGTAAAATGTAAATAAAAACATGATGGGATGATTTGCAAAACATTGAAACCCCATATTTTATAGAAAATAGCACAAAGACAAAACATACCAAATCAAATTGAGAAATGTCATTATTTTTGTAAATAAATGTCCAATTTGAACATATTTCAAACAAAGTATTTTATTTTTTTCCAATTTTAGAGAAGAAACGTTACAGAGAGTCGTATATCAGCGATGACCTCGACTTGGACCCCCCGGGCAGCGAGAGCAGCCCCGGCCTGTCCCGACGTTCCACCAGCAGCTCTGGAATCGAAGCCGACGCTCGACAACACAGCCTCTCCACCGAGATTACCTCCATGGAGGAGGAAGGTCACCGGCGGGTCGAGAAGTGTTTCAGCTCCGCTACCAGCCGTGGCAGCTCCTGTATCTCCGGGTTCGACGCAGGAAGTAAAGGCCGAATGGAAGACGAGGGCTGGCAGGAGGAAGGTGAGAGGCTTATTACACTGAAACACTATTAAATCCATCCCCTCTGATTGGACTTTAATATGATTATATAGTTTCAGAAAATGAGAAATCATTTTTCCTAACCTTTAATGTATGTTTTTTTTTTTTTGAAGAGATTGAGATCAATGTAGAAAGCCCAAAGGAGGTTCTCGTTGATGACCCTGATGAGATGTTCCAGCTGGCTGATCTTCTCGATGGAGTGTCGGTGGATTGTTCAGTACTTTCCTCAGAGACTTGCTCACCAGGTATTAATCCCTTGATCCTGCTGGCATATAGGGCTTTCACAAACTCCTGATAGAGCAGGAGGAGCTGCATGTGTGGACGCAAACAGCTGTATTTTTTTGCTCTGACTTCCCCCGGAGTTTCTCTTGCAAGACCTCTAGTATTTATTCTGCAGCAAGTCGGAGTGAGCTGATGTGAGAACTCAGCAGGATATTATCCGGAGAATTGGCCTTGAGCCATTGGGAGGGGGAGAGAAGTTTATATACCACTCTTTTTTTGGATGTTCTAACTTCGTCAAATTACACAGAGCATTGATATGAAAGCAAAATATTCTCATTATAGTGTCGTATAGCGGACTCTGTTGCTTTGTCTGCTACTTCTGCATGTCTTACCTCGGGAGACCCCCCGCCCCCCTCCTGTCTGACAGGGATAGTCTCCCGCTGTGAGGAGCTTATGTAAACAGCCAGGTCAGGAGAACATCCAGAGCATTCCTCCTGAAATGATCTGACCTCATCCAGATGTTTCCAGGAGTGCAGATGTGAAAACGGCTATACAGATTAATATATGTGAAAAAATAGTTCTTAGATTTTGAATCTTGTCATCTTATTGGTTCTACAGAAAACAACACGTGTCCCCCAGAGAGCGGTGAAGATCTCGTAAATTTACGGAACAAGGAGTTACAACAGGTAAGTGACCCATCTTCTTTTTTTTTTCTTTGCCTCATTCTGATTCCTCTGTTTTCTCTTCTTACCGCCTCTCCTCCTCCTGTCTCTGTTCCAGATACCGAGGACTCAAGTTTGCGTGGATCGGCACAGCCACAGTTTGGATGACGTGCGTCTTTTCCCGACCCCGGCGTCCCTTGGGATGACACTGCCTCCCGATTCCTCCCACAGCTACACCTTTGGCCTTCCAGATGCCTCTGCACACACAAAGACCCCCGTCGATCACTGTCAGTACCCCCTCTCACACTGCCAAGGCAAACCCACCTTCTACGGCCGCAGGTCGACCAACTGCCTCTCTCTGCACACGTTAGGGGATGAGCAGTTCCAGGAATTCATACTTTGAGCACGTCCACAAACACACCTGCTCTCTTCCTTTATCCACATTGCAACCTAACGCGAAGGAAGCCAACGTATGAATGTCTCGGTGTTTTTTGACAGCGAGGGATGTGTGCGCTCCAAACTGCAGAGAGACGATATTTTATAAGGGACCTCTCACTCCTCTCAGAAAACTCCTGTCCTTCATCAGCATTTAAACCACAGAACTACAAAAGAGCATATTTATTGATGTTGTACATTGTGTAAATACTTATTGCAATATTATTTTTTTTTAAACATTTTAACCACGCCCACATTTCTAATCAACGCATTTTGTAAAGTTCACACGGTCCTTTTTTTTAAAGAGTCTGTGTAAGATGTACTGAGGGCAGAACATTTTGATAATAAGGCATTTTTTAATATGATGCGGTTTCTGAGGCCACGCGGTCGTGGGACTTAATTTCCTCGCCCTCAGTCTGTTTTACTAATGTAAACAATGCAATTTCCTTGTTGTATGCAGAGGGAATCTCTATAAGCCGCAGTGCTAATGTTTGTACTCCTGTATTGCCTTGTCCTCTTGATTTTTACAATCATTTTTTGGAATGGGTTTTTATTTTTGTATAGTCTGCTCTGTCATGCTTTTCCTATTAGTCTGCCACTGAAATGGAGCTGCCGATGTGGAAAATTGAAACCCCTTTACAGCTGGTCATGCATTCACCCCAAAGCTTTCCTGTTCTATACTTGCCGCCTGCTGTCGTAATTAAAACAGAGAAGTATTATTTGTAAAGCACTATTTCTGTAACCAGCAAGTGTATAATGAAGCTGCAGAACTTTCATGTTATGTAACCCCCCCCCCCTAAAACAAAGAGCCTTTCTGTCTTTCTTCTATCCGTCATATTTTCTCTGTTTTGTAAATGATAATTGAGATTCAAAAGAACTCCTGGTTTTTGTACGATTTTAACTCAAATGGGAAAAACTTTTATTCAAAGGCAATTTTATATTGACATCCAATTTTATTTCACAATACCGAACAAAACATTTTTATCTGCAGCAGTGTTTTTTTATGTGAAAATAAATTCTTGCAATTGATTAGAAACATTTCTCATTCTTAAGTACTGTTTCACCGGTCTCATTTATTTAATAGCTTCATGATTTGATACATTTTCATGGAAACCCTTGACTTAAAATTATCCATCCATTTTCTGTACCGCTTTTCCCGTTCAGGGTCGCGGAGGGCTGAAGCCGATTCCAGCTGCCGTTGGGCAAGAGTCAGGGTACACTCTGGACTGTTCACCAGCCAATCACAGGGCTGACATTGAGAGACAGACAACCAGCCACACTCACATTCACACCTACGGGCAATTTGGAGTCACCAGTTAACCTAACGAGCATGTCTTTGGACTGTGAGAGGAAGCTGGAGTACCTGGAGAGAACCTACACATGCAAACCCCACACAGAGAGACCCTGTCCGATGGGGATTTGATTAAATGTATAATTTAAACTCATCTGTTTCTGACTTGATAAATATTATTTTACTGATGGGTCAATATCATATTCACTTGAGTAAGTGGAGAAACATTAAGCCCTCCGTTGACTGGTTCATGAATTTCTTTACACTGGTTTTCTTATCACTGGAAAAAAAAAGTCCAGCAGGATTGCAGAAAGATCAGATAAAAAAAAAAAAGCGCTGACTGGTCAAAAAAAAGTTGTTTATATTTCTGGCCCGAGGAATTTTGGAGCTTTTTTTTCTTGCTCCAGGTTTTAGTCGTATTTTATGCCTGATGGTCTTACATTTCTGAAATGATTAAATTATTTTAATATAACACCCCCCATGACAATTTGTTTGTCTCTTAATATTTACAGTCTATGGTTTGAATCTAGCTTTTTCCTTGTCTTCATTTGTATTTTTTGTTTGTTTATCCTCTGCGAGATTTTGGAGGTATATTCTGTTTTATGTTCTTAAAGTGTCAAAAACCACAAACAAACAAATATATATGTATTTTTTTTAATCCTTTTATTCGTGACATAACAAAACAAACAGTGACACAAAGGACAATTTTACAGGCACACAGAGAGAAAAAAGAAATGAAAAAAAAACTGGGGGAATAGAGTAAAGTAGAACTGGGAAAACAACAACTGGGACAAACAAACAAAAAATAAAAAACAAACAAGCAAAGAGAAAAAAATAAATAAAAATAAAACAAACAAATATATAAACACGTAGAAATAATCATGTACTTATTAAATAACCATCTCTCTTATCTTATCAAACGGTACAGGAGTGAGGAAAATCCATGCTCAACTTTAACAACTCGCGAGAGTTTGTGATGACGTATGCGGAAGTTTACATTCCGCTTGGAAAAACGTGTGGCTCATGGCAGCTATTAGAGAAGCCGGCGCGGAGGTTTAACTGTAGCGTTTTGTGTTCCATGTAGCTCAACAGTCCTCCAAAAATGAATTCACTTTTAATTACCGCCGTGTTGTCCACTTCTCCTGACCACGGCCTTTTGCTGGACTCTCTGTCCTGGTCGGGTGACTCGTGGCCGGGGACGGAGCGGGTCGAGGCGCTGACAGCTTTCATGGAGGGTCTCGGACCTCTTCTTCTGACCGAGCCTAACACGACTCAGTTATCAGCTGCGAATAAAAAGTCTATAAAAGAGAAAGTCGAGTCGGTGATATGGACAAGGTGTCTGCCTCTCCTCTCACGAATATCCGGGGAAGAAGGGGAAGAAGGCGTGCGGTGCAGGGAGAGCACCGCTGCAGTCTGCCGGCTTCTGAGCGTCTGTGTCCCGCTGTGTGACGAGGCAGTCCCGGGGAAGGTAGCTCTGCATGTCCTCCCTTCACTGCAGCTTTCTGTGGAGGAGCCAGCGGGTCCTGGACGGCTCAGTGTGGAGGTGGCAAGCGAAGTAATGTCTGCTCTGATACCTTCTCTATCAGCTGATCTCTCACTCACCATCCTCACATCTGCTCTGTCCTGCATCAAAACACTCCCTGATGCTATGGTGTCCAAAATCACAGTCCGGCTTCTCCTCACCACCCTGACCTGCAGCAGCAGCAGCAGCAGCAGCAGCAGCAGCGGTGGTGAGATGTTAACACGACTCCTCACGTTGATCCTGGATGACCTGTGCAGCTGGCACTCCACCCACAGCTCACCTGTGGTGACAGAGAGAGCACTGCTGTGTTTGACAGCTCTGTCTGACCACCTGCTGAAACCTCACAGCCTCTCTCCTCCTCTCCTCCTCCTCCTCCTCCTCCTCATGTGACCCTGACCCTCGGCTGTCCCTTCAGTTCTGGCGGATGGTTCAGGATGGACTCACGCACAGAGACGGCGTGTCCCGCAAGAGGGCGTTGTACCTGCTGAAGATGTGTGTAGCCCTGTCAGAGCAGGGGGGGGTTGACTGTCCTGTCCCTGCAGCAGGCGAAGGTAGAGCACACCTCAGATTGGCTGTCACTCGTCTTGTATGCCACTTTATACTTCCTGCTGACCTCCCCTCATCAGGGACACATAAAGCACCTGTCACTTTAAAGACAAGGTGTTCAAAACACCCCTGAGCCCCCCTTTTTTTTACCAAGTTACCGGTGCCTTACATTATTCCTTTGATTTTTGAATGCACATATTTTCTCACATTATCTTTTTGTTATTCTGTATTATTGTTCTATCTTGCATGCAAATACTCTGCACCGTGGGTCTGAGAGAAACTTCTTTTTTTTCTTTCCCATTTTGCAAAATTGACAATTATTTGACTTTGACTGGTATGTTCTGCTGTTTTTTTTTAATTTTTTTGGATTTGTTGCAGACGAGATCTTGTTCCGATGGGCCTCTCACAGGAGCGAGTTGCTCAAAGAGTTCTGGGAGGATTATGCGCTGGTGATGGAGACACTGGAGGAAAACCAGGTAGAGAATCCTACATGAGTGGTGAAAATCCATCTTGATACTTGAACCCTAACACTTTGAATATATATGTGTATATATACATTTTTTTTTGGATTCATGAGAAGGTGAAATGTATAAACCATGTGTCACATGTGTTAAGTAAACATCTGCAGAACATCGGGTTTTCAACAGAAATACATCCTGCTTTGTTTTGCATTGTAGAAACTGTTGAGTAAACTTTTTTGTATCTGTGTTAGATTACAACAACAGTTTGTACAGGCACGCTTCAGCTGCTCATTCTGCAGTTAGGTTCATTACAGCTGATGCTTAAAACACCTGAAGTGGTTAGATGTTAGATGAAAGATGTGATTTGCATTCTTACCTGTTCATTTATAGAGCGCTTATTGGGATGCTAGTTTCTTAAATTTCCCCATGCTGGTCTGGTCCTCTGGAGCACTAATAGACTTTCTTACGCTCCAGGTTCCTAGAGCTCATTCTGAGTCTGAAGATCTGCCTTTGGTGTCTTTCTACCTTCCATTTAAAATTCACTACAAAGCACTTTAAAAATCAATGCACATGTTCCTTATGGTCATTTTAGATCCTTCATTGTTACCTCTGAGTGCACCTTTTTTATTAATTATAATTCTGTTTAAGTTGATAATTTTGCTTTGATTTTATAGGTTTTTTTTTTAATACATTTTTTTTATAGCTTTTTTTTTCCCAATACAGACATACAAGATAGACAAGAACACCCAGCAGTATCACAAAAAATGATGGAAAGAAAAGTAAAAAGAGAGGCAAGGGGCTGAACTATTCAAAAAGAGACTACCCCTCTTTATAAAACGGTCCTGGGTCGAAAACAAACAAAACACAAAACAAAAACACACACATATGGGTGGGAGTCAGTCAGAATCATCAGTCAGTATGCCAAACAAGGCAGAGTTTGCACATAATATAGACATAACATAGCAGCACAGATCATAATGAATACATTTAAGTTTTATCCAACAACGTCAGAAAGGTTTGTTTGTTTTTAAATTTGTTTTTTATTTTTAGTTTCATCAGCTCGACGTCATTGTAAATGATCGCTTCACTCTCAGTGATTTTCAGGTCTAACCCGGGTCTGTTACTTTCTCGTCTCTGTGCGCTCTGCAGGTTCACGTCGTCCGGCCAGTTCTGAACAGAATAGACACGCTGATCCAAACCACAGTGGATGACAGTCAAGGTAACACTTCAGTTGGGTTAGTTTAATCCCTTTGACTTTGAAAAAAGCTGAATTTAGAGAGAGTTGTGTTTGCTTAATACTGCTTAAGTAACTCTTAACATTATTGTTTTTGATCCGCTCTGGTATCATGACGTCTTTGTCAGCTCTGTGCTTGTGTCGCAGCTTCAGGTGAAGGCCTCTTCCACCCGTCCTGGCTGCTGTGTGTGTACCAGCGGATGTTCCACAGTGAGAACAAATCCTTAATGAGGGAGGGGGTGTGTCATCTGCTCGAGCTGCAGGTCCTGCAGCAGCCGGCCTTTGCTTTGGCCTTCTCTCAGGTGAGGGGCTCGGGACACACTCGGTTCTTTATGATGTGATGATGCGCTTAATAAAAAAGTTGACTCTCTCCTGCTGCTCCTCCAGTTCATCGTTGGCCCTTTTATGGATGTTCTGTCTGAATCTTCGCTCTTCCACAGGTAAGTCAATAAATAAAATACTCTTTAAGTTTTACCGTCACAGGTCTGATCAAGTTTGGAAATGTAGGGCGCTTGATTTTTGTAATTTCAAAGTATGGATGTGTATGGATTGAAGAATGGATTTTACCATTTTGTGTGTGTCTCTGTGTGTTAGACAATGTTTGGATTGTTAAACTTGGTCACTACATTTATCTTTTAAAATGTTTCTATGAAAAATAAATAAAAAAGGTTTCACAAGTAACAATAAATTTAATTTTTCCTGACTAATCTCATTTCAATAAGAATAATAAAAAAAGAAGGGGTGTGCAAAAAAATGACATCGTTTCCAGATGTTAAGGGACAATACTCTTGACATACCGGGTCGTTTTTCTGAAGGGCTTGCATTGCATTCATCGATTGACATGATAAACACAAAGCTATTTGTTCTCTGACTTTAAAAAATGTTCTGAAAGTTTGACTGTGATATCTGGGAAAATGTGCGTTTCCTTTTCAACCCTCCTTGTGTTCACATGTAGGTCAGCCGGGCAGCGTGTTGGAGATTG